ACTATTCACTATGCTATGGAGTAGATAACAGACCAATTTATAAGTAAGATACTGACTAATGAATAAATTCGTTATATTGGTCAGTGAGTCATAAGGTATAATATAAACTAAGGGCCAATGTACTACTATCACAAAACTTACTTGTATCATTCCAACATCATTCGCTCCATCGCCTATAGCCAGAGTGACTGCATCTTTAATTGATTGACGGACTAATTTTACCAACTGTGCTTTTTGCCATGGACTAACTCTACAATAAAATATGTTTTAAAAATAAAATAATATGAAATGGTTTTAGAGATACAATGGTGTTTTAAATACATTTTATCAACAGCAACATAACAGAAATGTAAGGTCTAAAAGGTAGATTTGTGTGTGTTTTGTTGTCTAGTCCAAGGATTGATAGATCAACCATATATATATATATATATATATATATATATATATATATATATATATATATAATGTTAATTACGTTTACATAATGAGATGATAAACTAGGGTGGATAAATCTTAACTCAATGAACGACTACAATTTTCGTTGTTAAATTTAAAATACATCTAGAAGTTTCTACTACTACACTACACCACTACTACACTACTATGACTACACGTTTGATGGGAGCGAAATATCGTGAATTGGTTGAAGTTGGACCCCTGTTCAGTGGTCTAGAAGTTAGGCGTTCGCGCAGGACCGAAGTTCATGTGTCTGAGTCCCGCATGCCGGATCGTGGGCGACCACTGATGTGGGGTCCCATACTACAACGAAACAACTGTACAGTGCTTCCATGTCTTTATTGGTGGTCTGATATATTTAGCTACTCACTATAACCCTGGATATCCCAGTTCTGGAAGTGTGTTGTCATTCACAATCAAAAAATGCACAATTGCATTCAGCTCAAGCTACATAAGCTAAATGCGGAACGAATCAATATGGTTGCTGTCAAAAGCAAACATCGTAGATGCAGTTCACGAAGAACAGAGAAACTCAGCGAAACGTGTGTAAAACAAAACTAAGTAATGCAGTCTTAGCTAGCGTAAAAAATTCTAACAGAACATGCAGCTAAAGGAGTCGAGAGGAATAAACTACAGGTTTGTTAATGGAGGGGTTTTGTGATGATTAGAAGTATTCGAATTGTTGTATTAACTCGGCATTCCCGAAACAGTGCAATTTAAGCTAAACAGAACTAGGTTAGCATGAACGAACGTATCGTGTTAAGAATTCGAAATCAAGCACACATCAAGTACATGAGTTAGATAGGCGACGAAAAGGAATAAACTGGCTCTGCAAACAATGACCTTTTAGGTGTTCTTGAAAATAAGCTGTTGTACCAAGACTTTTCGACTTCATCTGTTTATTAGAAACCATAAGTCTTTTCGTGATAGCAGGTTTCTGAGTGTTGCATGACAATGTCTATTTAAAATCTACGAAAATGCTAAGCTTTGCGGTTCTTAATTATTTTAATTCTTTTATTTGAACACATAAATATTGGTACAAGAGAGCGCCAATATATATGCGCCACACAAAACAATGAGAATAGAACGAGAAAGAGAATGTAAGGTGCGTATCAGAAAAAAGGAACAATAACGACTACAGATTAGTGTATGTTAGTGAGATAACAATAATAATAATGCGGGAAACGGGGAGGTACAACCAGAAGGAATTCTTTCAGTTAAGGAAGTTACAACCACTTTTTATGAAGAAAGTAAAAGAAGATTACAGCAGGATCGCCACTGGCTTCTATTCTGAGCCATATCTGATAACGTCTCTAGCCACTGTGTAGCACCATCTCTCAGACCCCAACCAGGGAGTCGTGAAGGACCAACACAAGCCAGTCCTTTGCAGCTTTCTTTCATACCACGACACCATGTCATGCACTGACCACCTCTCCGCTTTTTCCAACCAGTCCCAGAGTCGGCAAATAATGCACGACGTGGAATTCTCTGGGACGACATTCGTAGAACATGTCCAAGCCACCGAAGTCGGTGTTTCAAGATGGTGACACCAATTGATTATCATCTCTGTGCCCGAACACACGATGCCGAACCTCTGCATTACTGACATGGTGTTGCCACTGAATGTCAGCAATCCTTCGGAGACAGCGATGATCGAACACAGAGAGTCGTCTAACGTCCTCAACTCGGAGAGGCCAGGTTTCACAAGCATAGAGCAAAACTGCTCTCACCGACGCGTTGTAGATCCGACCTTTTACAGCCAGACTAACATCACGAAGGCGCCAAAGGTGGCCCAGATTGGCATAAGCCGCTCTGGCTTTCACTATACGTGCATTGATCTCATCACTCACACCACCACCAGCACTTATGCAGCTACCCAGATACACGAACTTCTCAACTACGTCTATCTGCTCACCATCCAGGGTGAGTACAGGATTAGAATCCTGCCAGTCTTGTAGAAGTACTTTGCACTTCGAAGGTGCAAAGCACATACCATACCTACGGACACTGATTGCCAACTGATTAAGTGCGGATTGCATGCCTTGGGCATTATCGCACAGTAAGACAATATCGTCCGCATACTCAAGGTCGAGAAGTCTTTCTCCAGGCAACAGATCCACACCACCATTACTTACATTCATCAGAGCTGTTTCCAGAATGTCATCGATGGCAAAGTTGAAGAGGAATGGTGAGATTGGGCAACCCTGCCTAACCCCACTGCTCGAATGGAACAATGGAGAGAGGTGGTTGTATGCCCTCACTCTGCCTGAGGTGTTTGTATATAGGGCTTTTAGGATGTTAATAAACTTCTCAGGCACACCCTTCTTCAATAGACAATCCCAGAGAACAGTCCTGTCCAACGAATCGAAGGCAGCCCTGATGTCAAGAAACACTACGATTGTTGGCCTTTGATAAGTATGGCGGTGTTCTAACATTTGGCGGAGGGTGAAGATATGATCAATACATCCTCGACCAGAACGAAACCCAGCCTGCTCCTCGCGAGTCAATCTTTCTCGGGTTTTGAACAACCTACGAAGTATGACGGAAGCCAATAGCTTGGACGCAATCGGAAGTAGACTTATCCCCCGATAGTTGTTACAGGAACGACGTGAACCCTTTTTAAAGATAGGGACAACTATCGACTCATTCCATGACGTTGGTACACTCTCTAGTTCCCAAACCTTTGTAAACAACGTCGTCAATTCCTTAGTCAAAAAGTCACCACCATCTTTAAAAAGAGCCGGAGGTAAGTCATCTGGGCCAGGTGATTTGTAACGCTTCAAGAGTTGGAGTTCCTTGCGGACTTCCTCCTCATTTGGTGGATCAGTCGTCACCGGCCATGGAGGGCAGGACAGTCTGACCGATGTTGCCGGAGCAGCAGGCCAGTTGAACTGCCCTTCGAAAAATTCTGCCCATCGTCCAAGACGTCGATGGATGTTAGTGATTGGCATCCCATCATCCTCGCAGATTGTTTCACTCACACCAGACTTCTTGCTGCCAGTGGCTCGGATGAGTTGGAAGAGCTTCCGGTAGTTACCAGATGCAGCTGCTGCTTCCAGCTCATTAGCACGCTTCGACCACCAGGCTTCTCGGTCCTTACGCAAGCTTTGCCCAATTTCCTTACGTAACATCCTTCGTTTGTGGTCAAACTCACGGTCACCCGGAGTAGACCGACGGGCTTCAATGAGTTGTAAGGAACCAGAAGAAACCCAGTGCTTATAAGCGGGACGTTTCGCAAACCCACAACTGACTGTTCCCGCCATTTTCATGGCGTCATGCAATTGCAACCAATGCTCATCTATACTTTTCGGTGGAGTGGTAGCTAGCCTAGAGGCTAGCTCGGTTCGATACTTACTTGCAACAGAAGTTGCAACCAGCTTGCTAACATCAATCCGTTGGTGGTGGTCACTTCGTTGGCCACTGAAAAGTAAGGTAAGATTGGCGCAGACCAAGGCATGGTCAGAGTCCAGATAGGTACTCCAAAAGGAGCGGCAGTCTTGTACACAACCACGCCAGCGGTAGCTGATCGCGATGTGATCAATCTGAGTCCAGGCTAGAGATGCAGAGGGAGGACGCCATGTGGCACATCGGCGATGACTGTGCCGGAAGTTAGTGCTAGCCAGAAACATGTTGTGGTCTATGCACAGTTGCAGTAGACGGTCCCCGTTATCTGACCTGCGACCAACAAGTTCCCATCAACCACCTAAACGAGTCTCTTCTGTGCCTAGACGCCCGACCTGAGCATTCAAGTCTCCGCCTAGTACTACAATATCTGTCGAACGCACTTTCTGCAGAAGAACAGATAATTGGTGGTGGAATTCATCGTTGATTGCGTCCGGGCTGCAATTTGTCGACCTGCATAAGTGTGCGAACGTTGAAGGCAGCCAGTTTGAATGGTGCACGTGGTTTCAGAAAAGCTGTTTAAGTATTCGTATTTGGTTTTAGCATAAAATTTTCAACCAGGCAGTGACTTGAGAACGTTTAGATAGAGTCGAATTTCCACTATAGACGAGCTGCTGTCTAAGTCGAAAAGTAAGGATAGACAGAGTGGGAATAAAAGAGAGTGAATAAATGACATAGTAAATAATAATAATGATAATGATAATAATAATAGTAATAATAATAACAATAATAGTGATAATAATAATTTGATTATTAGTTGATGCATGGAAAATAGTTTCCATAATTATAGATAGTTCATCATTTTTTGTGTGTGGGCTGTGATACTGCCCGGGTGCCCAGACCGAAGCAGGTGGTTATCTTAGAGGGCCACATCCAGAGCCTTCGGCCTAAAAGTACAACCGACAAGGCAGTGGAGCATCGTAAAGAGATGCAGTACCATGGTAGCTGGTGACCGAAAATTGGTTCATACGCCATTTGTTCCCAGCTGGTAGTAAGGAATTAGGTTGTAAGGATAATGAAGTGTGATTTGCTTCAATGACTAGATTTATTTTTAGGAAAGGAAAAAGTCACAGAAACACATACATCAACCATCACGATGGTTTTGCCTGGACTTAATAACAGGTATATTAGAGATAATTTGTAAATCTTTTCAAACTGATAGGTCATCACCAGAACGCACATGCGTTTCAGCTAGCACAAACGAACTCTGAATGTTGATGCACGACGCCTGTAATTTCAAGGTCACTCGGAAGTTCCTGGCATTTGAACAACTTCACATTGCGAATGGTTCCACGGGATGTAACAGAAGGTAAGTTTGAGCCAAAATTTACTTTTATTCTTTAGTCCAACCGGATTACACTGAAATGAAAAGTCGAAGTAGTAATCATAATCATTCAGTAACTGAAAGCTGTCGCATTATTCAAGTAAATAAACCCCAGTTGGTTAACTACTGTAAGAATAATATAAGGTGATATATAGTAGTTCCTTAAAACCATTGTTTTTTAGCACTGCGAAATATAACTTCCTCACTTTTCTTCCGAAGTTCGTGACAGAACAGTTCCGAAGATATGCAAACATATTTTTCCTAGTTATCGCTCTTCTTCAGGTAGTTTCCTAATACACTTACATCACTTTTTTGTTTAGCAAATTCCTGGTGTTTCACCTACTGGAAGATTCACCACCCTTGTACCTCTCTGCATCATACTTACTGTTTCAGCTATTAAAGAAGTGATAGAGGATTTTGTATGCTAACTTTTTATCTAACTAACATTTTGATTCTAGAGACGTCATCGTGCTGACGACGCTACAAATAACGAGCAGACTTTGGGTAAGCTTCGTTATTAATAATGCTATCAAAAAAAGTGCGTGTCATACACCGAAAGCCATTATAAGGATTCATGTGATGTCAGATGTTCTCTAATCCCATATTTCTTTTCACTACATTCTGTGACCAAACAACATTGAAGAAAGGATAGTCTAATAAACCTGATCTTGTAGGTATATGAAAATAGGTATTTGGGTCAAAGCACTTATCAGTATAATTAACAACACTGTAATTCAAATTTGAGTTGTGTAGTAAAGACAGAAGGCCTATGGTCTATGTTTTTCCTTTTCTAGTATACTTCTGTGAGTTTATAGTCTTCTCTTGAATGAGTCAATTGAAGGTGCAGACACCACTGCTTCGGATAACAGGTTCCAAGAATTGATGACTTAGTATAAAAACCTGTATGCCACGAGTACTTTGTTCGTTCTTGGCTTTCCTACTTGCCTGTTTTGTGCTCTGAGATGTCCCAATCTAGTGGTGAGAAAAAGAGAAGATATATTAGGTCCAAAATCATTTCTTAGTATTCTATACATCACAATCAGATCACCTCTTAATCTGCAGTAAAACAGAGTAAAGAGGTCTAACTTCTCAAGCCGTTCTATGTATGGTAAACCCCGAGTTCCAAAATTGCACGGGTAGCTGCCCTCTTCACTTCATCCCGGATATCCGAGTCACCTTTCAAACAGGGGCGTGCAGCCTGAACGCAGTTTTCAAGCTTAGTTTTCACTAGGGTTTTGGATACTGTAGTGAACATGGCATGCCCATTTTAAAGTGCATAGGGTTCTAAACCCCTTAGCTTAGTCAGTCAGTCAGCTGCAACGTAAGACCAGGCACATACATGAATCGGTCCAAGTTGCCACACTTCATTAACACAACAAGATGGACACCGGATTCACAGGAGTAGTTAATTCAGAGGTGGTAATATATAAAAGAAAGATTGCAATAAGGATATAGTACAGAAAAAAAGAACTAGTTGGTAGAAAGAAATACGAGAAAAATTTTTAAGAGAAGACAAAGAGTGTATACACTTATGCCATTGTGATCGATTCTGAGCCATGTCACCCAGTCTTCAATCATTGGGTACGATAGTCGCGCAAACCCCAACCAAGTAGTCTGCATCTACCAACATGGCTCAGACTAAAAGTTAGTGACTTCAAGCACTGATGCCACGTTTTGGTTTGGCCGTCCCTAACTTTCTTCCAACCTTCCCCAACACCGGTTAGAATTGCATGTCGTGGTAATCGGTGTTCAGGCATATGTAACATGTGGCCCAACCATCTCAGTCGATGAAGATTCACAACCTCATCAACTGATTTACCATCATTACACAATACCCTGCGTCTAACCTCACTATTACTTACCCGATAGTCCCAGCAGATGCTAGCAATATTTCTAAGGCATCTGTGGTCAAATACTAGTAACTTACGAGTGTCTTCTACTCTTAATGGCCACGTTTTGCAGCCGTAAAGTAGGAGAGAACGAACTACCGCGCAGTATACTCGTCCCTTAATTGATAGACGAATATCTCGCCTTCGCCATAGGTGACGTAAGTTGGCAAAAGCCAAACGAGCTTTTCGAATCCGTGCTGAGATTTCGTCAGACACCAACCCATTAAGGCTGATCAGACTTCCAAGATAAGTAAAGTTGTCAACGCATTCGACTACTTCACTTTTTATCCTTAGTTTAGGTGTTGACGCAGACCAGTCCTGAAGCAGCAGCTTGCATTTAGAGGGAGAGAAGCGCATTCCAAACATTCTGGCATTGTTGCTTAGTGCTACCAAAAGACTCTGCATTTTGTCAGCGTCTTCACCAAACAGGACTATGTCATCTGCGTATTCTAAATTGATAAGTGGACCTCCTGGTAGGAGATCAATGCCCGAAAATTCAGTCGATGAGAGTATTATTTCTAACATTATGTCTATGATGAAATTGAACAAAAATGGAGATGGTGGACAGCCTTGACGGACACCACTTGAGGTTGCGAAATCAGATGACAGTTCACCATAAGCTCTGACTCAACTAGTAGTGTTCGAGTAAAGAGTCTTCACAAGGTTTATGTACTTCTGAGGTACGCCTTTCAATGACAGACACTGCCACAGGATCTCGCGGTCTACAGAGTCAAATCCTCCCTTTAAGTCAAAAAGGACCACCATCGTCGGACGCCGATAAGCATGCCTGTGTTCTAGAACCTGACGAATGGTGCATATGTGGTCGATGCAATCACCACCAGGTCTGAAGCCAGCCTGATTTTGTGTTTGCAGTTCACGAGTCTTAGTTAGGCGCCCGATATTTATTAAGGCTAGCATCTTTGATGCTATATTAGTCAAACTAATCCCTCTATGGTTATTACAGGGTGATTTTGACCCCTTCTTTTATATTGCGATAATCAGTGATTGCGACCAGTCAGATGGGATTACGTCCAATTCCCAGATTTTAGCAAAAATATTAGTCAACCTAATCGCTAAAATTAGACCACCATCCTTAAAGACCTCTGGAGCCAATCCATCTGGACCATCTGCTGTTCTTCGTTTCAGATTAACTATAGCATTTTGAACTTTGGCTAGAGTCGAAGGACCTACTTCAGTGTTCAATTCAGGCTGTTTGGGAATTGTGGGTAGTTGTAGACTAGCTGAAGGCCAGCTGAACTGCTCCTTAAAGTGTTCCGCCCATCGTTCTAAACGTATTGGTTGAGAGCAGATAAAAGTGTCGTCTTTTTCTGAAATAGTCTCACTTACACTTGGATTTTTATTTTCAGTTTCTTCTTTGAGTCTGAAGAGTTGTCTTGTGTTCCCTATAGCCGCCGCCTTGTCCATCTCTTTTGCCTTCGATGCTTACCACTGCTCACGGTCGTTTCTTAGACTTTTGCTTAACCTAGATCTGATTTGCTTTCACTCATCATCGTATTCAGAGCCTGACGGGATGAGTTTGCGAGAATCCATCAGTGCAACAGACCTTGGAGAAATCCATTGGTTCTTTGTAACGCTGTTTCCACACCTGTTCGTATATCTTTCCAAGCAACATCTGGGTCAGCCTCGTTTTCAGAACTACCTAAGTGTGACCTCAGTTGTTCCTGGAATCTACTTTGGGCTTTCTCGTCACTCAGTACAATTCTAATAGATCTTCTTGGTATGCCTTTTCTGTGTCCAGTGAGGTACAAGCAAATGCGTGCCCGTATCAGAGCATGGTCAGAGTCTAAGCATATATTCTAGAACAAGCGACAGTCTTCTATCGACTCTCTCAAACGATGACTGATGGCAATATGGTCTATTTCAGTCCATCGTTGGTTTGGTGTAGGGGGTCGCCATGTTAGACGATGTCTCTCCTTATACTTAAAATTTGTCTGCTAAAAATAAACGATTGTCTGAACACAGTTGCAGCAGAAGATCACCATTATTTGTTCGTTGTGCCGGAATACTAAAATACCCACCTAAATGCCTTTCTGCTTGGTTTAAACTACCTATCTGGGCACTAGTCACCTGCTACGAGTATTGTGCCTAAGCGTTTAACTTTTAGAATAAGTTCAGATAGCTTTCTGTGAAATTTATCGTTCACTTCATCTGAGTTGCAGTCGGTGGGAGCGTAGGCAGAAACAACGAGAAGGTAACGACGTGTTTCCCGATCCTTACGAGTTCTTATGGACCCGTTTAGCCGAAGAGCGCATAGATGAATGTTAACGGGGACCCACTCTGATAGTGCTTGTTCCGCCTTCATGCTTAGTGCTATGCCTACACCTGCGAGTCTATGAGGACTTGCCATCGGGTTGGCAGATACACAGCGGGTGTATCTCGTCGCCTCCCGCGTCTTGCCGAGGTGAGGTCACCTGAATGAGCACACTAGGATCATGTATGCTTGTTTCGGAGACACAGCATACATCAATGGTACGAGATTCTAGAGTTCCAACGAAGGAGGCCTGATGGCCGATTTAACGTTGAAAGCTTTGTGTAGTTTGAAGCGAAGTTTCAATAAACTTGGGACAGTGTTTTGCGCACTAGAATAGTTGACTGTGGTGATACTTGAGAAGGAAGCTTAGTGGTGAAAGTCGATGTAGGAGGAATAATGGGAATTAAAGAGGGAGACTGATTATGAATACAGTGGTTTTGAGTGCTGTTAGAGGTATGGGGGTATTTATCACTTCCCGGTTGTCCATACCGTAGAAGGGTTACTCTGGAAGGTTATTTATTTATTTGAACTCATAAATATTGATACAAGAGGGCACCAAATAGATATGCATCGCTCTGGAAGTACCTGAAAAGCGAATTGGGTTAAAGATGGTCTTAGTGACCTGAAAGCGTGATTTTATTGCACAAGGGACAACTGCTTGAGGTCGGTGACACACGACCATTTTGTGAGTAATTTTAGTGTTAGCTCCGTACTTGTTGAGACCTTACCGCCGGAGACATATCCGTGGGATGAGGCGAGGTGTGTATTTTTAGGGTCGACCTTTTCTACTCCCACCCCTCCTTGTGAGAAGGCAGCATCGCTGTCATGCTGGTTGTCTGAAGGAAACACCTCTGTACAGTCAGCAGTAGGACTTCGCCTTCGGACCTTTGGCTTGTTGCTTTTAGTCTTACCGCTCGTCAACTGACCTTTTTGACATGGTAGGACCTTGAGGGAAGGTTGTTCCAACCAGTATAGCTCGGTTGCTTCATCACGATAGGCGAGCCCGACCACCACGTCAAGGTAGCAACAACGGTTGGGATAGCTGGGACCTCGCAGCAGTGGCCCGTGGTCATAAGATCATAGGTACAGGCACTTCTCTTATGCTGTACCTATTTACCTTTGTATCCCGAAAGTGCATGTAGACACTTTGCTGTGTTGATAGACACCATCCACTCTTTAGACCAGGTAGTCACAATATCTAAGTCCGTCTGAAGTGTGCATGCATCTGCGTATGGTGACATTGGGGACTCAACCATACTTAGGAGGTCATTTACATACAGTATGAATAGTAAAGGACCTAGGACAGAAACTTTCAGTATTCCACTAAGTACTGGTCTCCAGTTGGAGCACTTGGGATTCACTCTTACTTTCTGTCTACGACCTACCAGGAAATCCTTAATCCAATATAGGAGAGGTCCGGCAATTCAAAGGTTTTCCAGCTTGAAGAGCAGTCTATCTGTTGGCACCTTATAAAATGCTTTGCTGAAGTCTATGTAGACAACATCCACTGATTTTCCATTGCCTAGAACCTTTATCAATTGCTCCCTTGCTATAAGGAGGTTTGTTGTGCAAGATGAACCTTTTCTGAAACCATGTTGTTCGCTGTTTAACAAGTTGTTGGTTTTCACGAATGTCATTATGGTCTTTTTGACTATTCTTCCCATTAACTACGACAGTAGTGAGGCTGACAGATCTGTAGTTCGATGGAAGTTGTCTTGGTCTTGTTTTATGTATTTGAGTGACGATTGCATCCTTCCAGTTCGTAGGTAAAACATCTTGGTCAAGTGACATATCGAATATTACAGTTAGTGAGGCTGCAATATATTATTCAGTTTGTCTCAGGATTTCGGGTTTTCAGCCGATGCTGCATAGTTTATCGCCTCTAAATGCCCTGGTACGGCCGAAGGTAGGGAGAGTCGGCTCTCCTTTTTGAAATGCTCTCGCATGGCCACGTATATTCAGCCACTGCCAGGAAAGTCCTACTTACTGCCCTCTTGTGATGGGGTGTTGTTCACTAAATTGAGAGGACGAAAAGCGAATGTCCGGCGCTTTAAACACGTTGGTGGACAAGGAAAGTTCGCTTAGGGGAGTTGAAGAACCCTGATTCCAAACCAATGGTGCACATGGGCTCCAGTATTCTGAAGGAACAAATGGCCTGCTGGGCCAATCGTTGGTCATCGGTTACCATAGGACTGCATCTTCTGACGTTGCTCCATTGCCATGTGGATCAGACCTGTAGGTCGAAGCCTCTGAGTTTGGCCCCCTAAGAAAACCACTTGCTTCGGTTTGGGCAAGCGGGCAGTATCATCACCCGCACACAAATCAAGTGACTTGTGTGACACATGTATTCGGTGCCCATTTGTACCAATATTTATGTGTTTAAATAAATAAAAATATGTCAACCTTCCATTTATTAAGACGGGCTGGCGCAGCTGTTTGACAGACCATCTCAGCCATGAACTTGAATAAGATGACTGCATGATCACTTCCCGTAGAGGTGGGGGGAAAGTCATTTGACCGACGTCATCGCTGTGTGTGAAGGCTAAGTTCAAGAGAGACAAGGAGCTTCGTAAGCCATATCTGGTGTGATCTCGAATGTGTTGGGATAAAGTTAGTGCATTTGTGGTTTCTAACAATTTGCAATCAAACGATGTTGTTCATGTCCCTACTTCTAAGTCTCCCTAGTTTATATACAGTGCATTAAAGTCGTCTACTATAAGGATTTTACCTCTATTATATCAGGACTTGAGTTTTCTTAGGAGGAAGTCATATACTACACATTCTGGATTGCGATGTACTACATCTAATTTAATATCTCGCCGCCTACATTTCAGCCTGCAACGCACTAGTTCACATGTCCTTGAATTATGTGACTCTGTCTTAACAGCTAATATGGTTAAGTTACTTTTTGTGTACAGGATAATTCCACCTCTACCACGGTTTAGTCTATCAGTCCTACTGGATAAAAAACCAACCAACTGAATTTCATCATCAAATGCTTCTGATGTTAGCCATGTTTCTGAGACAGCAACGACATCCGGTTTTTCTGTATCCACCATTGTTCTGAGCTCCGCCATTTCATTCAATGGGCTGCGAGCATTTGTGTAGCTTACCTTTAATTTTGTGGAGAACTTCCTCTTACACCCAGAGTGGTTTGAGGATCGTTCTGCTCCAAACTTTTACAATTTTCACCGTTTTGGCGGCGCTCATTTATTTTTACTTCTATCGATCGTCTCTTAGTACGGTCAACCAGACTGAGGTCCTCAAAGAAGTTTCTTTACTCAGCCGAAGCAAAAGTAACTTTTAAGAAGCGACTTTTCTTAGTACTTTCAGAGTCCACTTTTTGTCCTATTCTGTAATGCTTACAGATGCTAACTCTTGAAACTGCTTCTGGCAGTAGCTTGTTTATTAAGGACTTAATGTATGCTGAGGTCATGCTCATCTAGCCTTTGGTTACTTTTCAAATGATTCTCTTAGCTTATGAAAGTTGACTAACTTGTCAGTGAGGTCCATCTCAACACGCTGTGGGATTTTAATTCCTGGAATCTCCTCCCTGCAATCCGATCTGCCGTCAAACGCAGGAGTCTCACTCTGTTTCTGTACTTTTCTTTTTCTGAGCGTGACTGTAAGTCAGTCATTTACCTTATTATGTCTCTTGGCCACATCATCTACACCGCTCAGACTTTGCTCCCTCATAGTCTATTTTGCGTCAATATGTGAATCCGGAACTGAGACCGTAGATTCACATACGTTAGTGATGCCTGTAGTTTGTTCTCAGCGTGCTTTTTTCCCTTGTAACAATGCCTACATTCGTATGCTTGTTATCTGCTCTAAATGATTAAAGTGATCGTGAAATATGCAACGGAAAACGTTTAACTCGTAACTATCAGTAGTTTTCTAAAAGTCTTGAAATATTTGCTTTCACATAGAGTTGACAGTTTAAAAGTCAGCCATGACGGCAAAAATGTGCATGTTTTACAATAAAAGATGGGCGTAACTTCTTTAACTGGAAGAATATTTCCTGGTTATACTTTTGCTAAATGAACTCTCATTATAATTATTTCACTATCATACACTAATTTCTGTACGCTATTGTTCCCCTTTTTCTTATACGCACTTTACATTTTCTATCTCTTTTCATTCTCATTGTTATTGTGTGACGCATACGTATTTGGTGCACCTTTGTACCAATATTTGTGTTGAAATAAATAAAAATATATAAAGTTGCAACGCAAACTATTTGCTAAATTGTGAAGTTTCGTCCTCTGGGCTGGCTGGTTTAATCATGAAACCATTTTTCTTCCGTACCTCGTGATCAGCAGAAACTTCAGATAGATATGGGCTTTTCAAGTTTATTCACATATAACTTACAAGTTGTCCTCAAAATATTAGTTTTGATTACCTGACGGTATAATCTGCGATTTACTGGTGGATAAATTTGAATGGTTTACTTCTATCCGAAGTTTGTGTTGATAATTTTGTCTAGAAGGACAATAGAAATAATGCACTATACTTAGTGAAGGAAAATTTACTAAAATGACCTTTCTGGGCTAAAAATCTAAACGATCTCCAAATTTGTGGATATATGTCAATCATCCAGATAGCTGTAACAGATTCCAAAAACCATTTAAAATTTACACTGGCATCAATGATTTTGTCATACTTTGCTCTACAACGGTTAGAAGTGTCATGACAAAACTTAGGTTTCAATTTATAAACTTTCGTTTGATCACATTTCCTGTCTTCCCTGTATAATGGTTTTGTTCTGTGAATGGTACCTAAGACTACTTTTCAATAAATTACGTGTGTAAACTGATGATGTCCATTTTCGATCAGCGACTAGTTTGACGTCCACATTTGTTTTGATTTACCACATATTTTTTTCATTGAATATTCTGACAGGTTTTTATTCGTTTTATTTAACTCTTCACAGTATTACGCAATCATGTTTGGGTTAAAATATGTTGGAAGGATTTGGAGGTAGGGGATTTAGTCAAAGTTCTCAGTAATGAAGGGATCCCAGCTGATCTTGTCCTTCTGGCGTCTAGTGAACCTCAGGCTATGTGCTATATTGAAACTAGTAATCTAGATGGAGAAACAAACTTGAAATTACGCCAAGTAGGTTTACATTAAATCGTTGCGTAACTATTTCACTTGCAAGTTAAATAATTCTGTCTTTCAGACACAAACTAATTTTCAAACTATGTTGTTGTTAGTAATCTCCGTATCCTCAAATAGTATAATAACACCTATTTTATCAGCAAAAGTTGATGATAAAATAATTTCATCTGTAATTCTTTAAACATCTCACATATGCCCAACCACATCCCGCGTCGATTCTCGTTGCTGGCTGGTGTAGGAGTAGGTTGGAAGAAAACTAAATACGACATGACATTAATCCATGATGCTATTGATTATTGGACTAAGCCGTGCTGGTAGTTGCAGGCTACGTGGTTAAAGTTATATGGTTGGAGTCGTTAGGTGATATGGTTCGGAATCGGTCACAGTTGTACTGATCTGCTCAATCTTTATCTTTCTCCTAGGTCTTGATTCTGAAAATGGTCCCACACTTTTCATCTCTTCTTGAGTCATATTGTCTATACATAACTTTCTTACTACCACTGAAACTGTGACTTTCTATTTCTCTTGCATTTATCTTGATAATTCCATTTTGCTGTGTTGATACGGTCATTCATCATCATTTACGCCTGTTACTCCTCGTGAAGGAGCATAGGCCGCTCACCTTCGTTCTCCATCCAACCCTGTCCTGGGCAATCCTTTCCAGTTGTTATTCATCCTTTTCATATCTGCTTCTATTTCCCGACGTAATGTGTTCTTTGGCCTTCCTCTCTTCCGCTTCCCTTCAGGATTCCAAGTTAGGGCTTGCCTCGTGATGCAGCTTGATGATTTGCGTAATGTATGTCCTATCCATTTCCATCGTCTTTTCCTAATTTCTTCTTCAGCTGGAGGCTGGTTTGTTCTCTCCAATAAAGGCTGTCGCTGATGGTATCCGGCCAATGGATGTTGAGTATCTTGCGTAGACAACCATTTATAGATACTTGTATCTTCTTGATTGTGGTTGTTGTAGTTCTCCAAGTTTCAGCTCCATACAGTAGAACTGCCTTGACGTTGGTATTAAAGATTCTCACTTTGATATTGGTTGAAAGTTGTTTTGAGTTCCATGTGTTCTTCAATTGTAGGAATGCGACTCTTGCTTTGCCGATCCTCGCCTTTACTTATGCATCTGAACCTCCTTGTTTATCGATGATGCTTCCCAGGTATGTGAAGGACTCTACATCTTCCAGAGTTTCGCCATCAAGAGTGATTGGATTGCTGTTCTCTGTGTTGTATTTGAGAACCTTGGTTTTCCCTTTGTGTATGTTGAGGCCTACTGATGCAGAGGCTGCTGCTACACTGGCTGTCTTCATCGGCATCTGTTCGTTGTACGTGATAGGAGGGTTAGGTCATCTGTGAAGTCCAAATCGTCCAATTGATTCTGAGCTGTCCATTGTATTCCGTGTTTTCCTTCAGATGTCGAGGTCTTCATAATCCAGTCAACCACTAGAAGAAAGGAAGGGAGAGAGTAGACAACCGTGTCTGATTCTGGTCCTTACTTGGAATGCATCTGTCAGCTGTCCTCCATGCACGACTTTGCACTGTAGTCCGTCTTATGCTTATTTATTTATTTGGACACATAAATATTGGTACAAGAGAGCGCCAATATATATGCGCCACACAAAACAATGAGAATGGAACGAGAAAGGGAATGTAAGGTGCGTATCAGAAAAAAGGAACAATAACGACTACAGATTAGTGTATGTTAGTGAGATAACAATAATAATAATGCGGGAAACGGGGAGGTACAACCAGAAGGAATTCTTTCAGTTAAGGAAGTTACAACCACTTTTTATGAAGAAAGTAAAAGAAGGTTACAGCAGGATCGCCACTGGCTTCTATTCTGAGCCATATCTGATAACGTCTCTAGCCACTGTGTAGCACCATCTCTCAGACCCCAGCCAGGGAGTCGTGAAGGACCAACACAAGCCAGTCCTTTGCAGCTTTCTTTCATACCACGACACCATGTCATGCACTGACCACCTCTCCGCTTTTTCCAACCAGTCCCAGAGTCGGCAAATAATGCACGACGTGGAATTCTCTGGGACGACATTCGTAGAACATGTCCAAGCCACCGAAGTCGGTGTTTCAAGATGGTGACACCAATTGATTATCATCTCTGTGCCCGAACACACGATGCCGAACCTCTGCATTACTGACATGGTGTTGCCACTGAATGTCAGCAATCCTTCGGAGACAGCGATGATCGAACACAGAGAGTCGTCTAACGTCCTCAACTCGGAGAGGCCAGGTTTCACAAGCATAGAGCAAAACTGCTCTCACCGACGCGTTGTAGATCCGACCTTTTACAGCCAGACTAACATCACGAAGGCGCCAAAGGTGGCCCAGATTGGCATAAGCCGCTCTGGCTTTCACTATACGTGCATTGATCTCATCACTCACGCCACCACCAGCACTTATGCAGCTACCCAGATACACGAACTTCTCAACTACGTCTATCTGCTCACCATCCAGGGTGAGTACAGGATTAGAATCCTGCCAGTCTTGTAGAAGTACTTTGCACTTCGAAGGTGCAAAGCACATACCATACCTACGGACACTGATTGCCAACTGATTAAGTGCGGATTGCATGCCTTGGGCATTATCGCACAGTAAGACAATATCGTCCGCATACTCAAGGTCGAGAAGTCTTTCTCCAGGCAACAGATCCACACCACCATTACTTACATTCATCAGAGCTGTTTCCAGAATGTCATCGATGGCAAAGTTGAAGAGGAATGGTGAGATTGGGCAACCCTGCCTAACCCCACTGCTCGAATGGAACAATGGAGAGAGGTGGTTGTATGCCCTCACTCTGCCTGAGGTGTTTTTTATAGGGCTTTTAGGATGTTAATAAACTTCTCAGGCACACCCTTCTTCAATAGACAATCCCAGAGAACAGTCCTGTCCAACGAATCGAAGGCAGCCCTGATGTCAAGAAACACTACGATTGTTGGCCTTTGATAAGTATGGCGGTGTTCTAACATTTGGCGGAGGGTGAAGATATGATCAATACATCCTCGACCAGAACGAAACCCAGCCTGCTCCTCGCGAGTCAATCTTTCTCGGGTTTTGAACAACCTACGAAGTATGACGGAAGCCAATAGCTTGGATGCAATCGGAAGCAGACTTATCCCCCGATAGTTGTTACAGGAACGACGTGAACCCTTTTTAAAGATAGGGACAACTATCGACTCATTCCATGACGTTGTTGCACTATCTAGTTCCCAGACTTTTGTAAACAACGTCGTCAGTTCCTTAGTCGGAAAGTCGCCACCATTTTTAAAAAGAGCCGGAGGTAAGTCATCTGGGCCAGGTGATTTGTAGCGCTTCAAGAGTTGGAGTTCCTTGCGGACTTCCGCCCCATTTGGTGGATCAGTCGTCACCGGCCATGAAGGGCAGGACATTCTGACCGATGTTGCCGGAGCAGCAGGCTAGTTGAACCGCCCTTCGAAAAATTCTGCCCATCGTCCAAGACGTCGATGGATGTTAGTGATTGACATCCCGTTATCCTCATAGATTGTTTCGCTCACACCAGACTTCTTACTGCCAGTGGCTCGGATGGGTTGGAAGAGCTTCCGGCAGTTACCAGATGCAGCTGCTGCTTCCAACTCATTAGCACGCTTCGACCACCAGGCTTCTCGGTCCTTACGCAAGCTTTGCCCGATTTCATTATGTAACATCATTCGTTTGTGGTCAAACTCACGGTCACCCGGAGTAGACCGACGGACTTCAATGAGTTGTAAGGAACCAGAAGAAACCCAGTGCTTATAAGCGGGACGTTTCGCGAAGCCGCAAGCGGCTTTACTTGCCATTTTCATGGTGTCATGAAGTTGCAACCAATGCTCATTCATACTTTTCGGTGGAGTGGTAGCCAGCCTAGAAGCTAGCTCGGTTCAATATTTACTAGCAACAGGAGTTGCAACCAACTTGCTGACATCAATCCGTTGGTGGTGGTCACTTCGTTGGCCACTGAAAAGTAAGGTAAGATTGGCACAGACCAAGGCATGGTCAGAGTCCAGATAGGTACTCCAAAAGGAGCGGCAGTCTTGTACACAACCACGCCAGCGGTAGCTGATCGCGATGTGATCAATCTGAGTCCAGGCTAGAGATGCAGAGGGAGGACGCCATGTGGCAGATCGGCGATGACTGTGCCGGAAGTTAGTGCTAGCCAGAAATATGTTGTGGTCTATGCACAGTTGCAGTAGACGGTCCCCGTTATCTGTCCTGCGACCAACAAGTTCCCATCAACCACCTAAACGAGTCTCTTCTGTGCCTAGACGCCCGACCTGAGCATTCAAGTCTCCGCCTAGTACTACAATATCTGTCGAACGCACTTTCTGCAGAAGAACAGATAATTGGTGGTGGAATTCATCGTTGATTGCATCCGAGCTGCAATTTGTCGAGGCATACGTGGAGATGACGAAGGGACATCGTTTCTCCCGCCGATTTCTTCTCACTTTGATAGAACTTTCTAATCTAACAGCACATAACCGAGTGTTAATGGGGGTCCAATCTATTAGTGCTGCCTCAGCTCTAGCGTTTAGTGTGACACCAACGCCAGCAAGACCAGACGAAGATGCCACACGGTCCCCGAATAAACACACATAAACCAACCATTTTGAAGCGACAGATGTAGAGCGAATTTGTAGTACTTCACCAGAGTCTTGAATACGGGTCTCGGATAGACAGCAATCATCGATATTAAGACTTTCCAAAGACATAGTCAGCCCTATCTGTTGTCCGACCTGCATAAGTGTGCGAAGGTTGGAGGCAGCCAGTTTGAATGGTGCACGTGGTTTCAGAAAAGCTGTTTTAGTATTCGTATTTGGTGGTAGCATAAAATTTTCAACCAGGCAGTGACTTGAGAACGTTTAGATAGAGTCGAATTTCCACTATAGACGAGCTGCTGTCTAAGTCGAAAGTAAGGATAGACAGAGTGGGAATAAAAGAGAGTGAATAAATGACATAGTAAATAATAATAATGATAATGATAATAATAATAGTAATAATAATAACAATAATAGTGATAATAATAATTTGATTATTAGTTGATGCATGGAAAATAGTTTCCATAATTATAGATATTTCATCATTTTTTGTGTGTGGGCTGTGATACTGCCCGGGTGCCCAGACTGAAGCAGATGGTTTTTAGGGGCCCCGCCCCGAGCCTTTGATCCAAAGGTCTGGTCCACAAGGCAGTGGAGCCAATGGAGAAGATGTGGTCCCATAATAGCCGGTGCCCAACAGTTGGTTCATACGCCATTTGTTCCCACAGGATACTGGAGCCCAAGTGCACCATTGGTATGTTGTCGGGTCCTGCTGCTTTCCCGTTCTTGATTTGTCTCATGGTCATTCTGGTTTCTTCCGTCGTTGGTGGATTGACATCTATAGGAAAATCTGTGTGCGCTGCTTCGATGTCCAGTGGATTCATTGGAGCCGGCCTATTCAGGATTTCCTCGAACTGCTCTACTCATCTGTTCCGCTGTTCTTGAATTTCAGTGATTGGCTCGCCTTCTTTGTCCTTTACCGGTCTCTCTGGTTTGCTATATTTCTCTGCTAGTTTCCTCATTGTATCGTAACGCTGTTTCATATTTCCTTCTCTTGCAGCTTTTTCCGCCGTCGTTGCTAGTTCTTCCACGTATTTCTGCTTGTCGGTTCTAATGCTCCTCTTCACTTGCTTGTTTGCTTCTATGTATTCAGCTTGTGCTTGGACTTTCTCTGCTCGTGTTCGGCTGTTGTTTATTGCTGCCTTCTTGTTCTTCATTTCTTTGATCCTGTTCAGTGTTTCTATAGAGATCCATTCCTTATGATGGTATTTCCTTAGACCCAGAACCTCTTGACACGTTGAAGTTAATGCTCCTTTGATGCCTTTCCAGTTGTCCTCCATAGTAGTTCCTTCTTCCTCCAGTAGATCTTGTAAGACTTGAAACCTGTTGTTGAGAGTTATCTTGAATTTATTGAGTTTGTCAGTATCTCGAAGGAAGGTTGTATTGAACCTTTGTAGTGCTGTTTGTCCAGTTCTTCTTTAGCTTCAGTTTTAAGTTGGCCACAACTAGGTGGTGATCTGAAGCTATGTCAGCACCTCTCCTGGTTCTCACATCTTCCATTGTCCTTCGGAATTTTTTATTGATGCAGAAATGATCTATCTGGTTCGCTGTAGTGTGGTCCGGTGAGATCCATGTAGCTTTGTGTATACGTTTGTGTGGAAATATTGTGCCTCCTATGACCAATTTATTGAATGCACACAGATTTGCAAATCTTTCCCCATTTTCGTTTCTCTCTCTTAGTCCATGTCGTCCCATGATATCTTCATATCTGGTGTTGTCTATTCCAACTTTGGCATTTAGATCTCCCATCAGGATGATGAGGTCCTTTCTTGAGCATTTCTCTATGATTGACTGCAGCCGCTCGTAGAATTGATCTTTAATGTCGTCGTTGCTATCATTGGTGGGTGCATAACATTGGATAATATTCATTAAGATCCCCTCCTTCTTTGTTTTGAATGATGCTTTGATGATTCTGGATCCGTGAGATTCCCATCCTACAAGTGCATTTCGTGCTACTTTGGACAGCATTAGGGCGACTCCCTAAGTGTGTGGAGCGTTTTCCTCTTCGTGACCGGAGTATAGCAGCATCTCTCCCGTAGCTTACGTTTTCTGTCCAGCTTGGGTCCAGTGGGTTTCGCTGATTCCCAGTACTGCCAAATTGTATCTCCTCATTTCCGTTGCTATTTGACTGGTCATCCCGGTCTCCCGCATTGTTCGGACGTTCCATGTACCTACAAAAATTTTTGCTCTGGTTGTTAGAAGTGGCATCGGCCTCGTGGCCTCCGAAGGAACTCGGCTTTCATCATGAAGCGTCATAATTCTTCTAAATGAAGACCTAACTCCCAGGGCAGAGTTAAAATGGTTTGAATTATTTTTTCTGGTAAGCGTTTTTTTAGCGAGTTAGTTTTCCACGGGATGGGGACGCTAACCCCCCATGCCCAACCCTCCTCCTTTACCTGGGCTTGGGACCGACAGTAACTCTTGAAGAGCTACAAGCGGAGTTGATACGGAGTGTCCATTTAAACCGATGGATATATGTACAAAGTTCTATATTGCTTATGGCTGGTGGTTGATCTTCAGATCACTGAATTGGGATAAAATTTACATCTTAAAGTAACCCAAGTTTTACTATCTGTGATAATTTTGTAAATTTCATTTATTTTACCATTGTCTACTACATTTAAAAATTACCTATAAGTACGATTGTACGACTTCAGATAATGTAGTCTCCTTTGAATTTTTCTCGATATTCTAATAATAAACCCAACTTCTAATATAAATGTTTATAAAATAATAAAATGTCGTATTCACCCGGTACTTGGGTATAAATCACACTCTAAATTAGAGGGCTAATTGTAATTCCCAGTTCCTCAAACTGAAGCAGATCAGGCGAAGTTCGAACCCGAGATTTCGTGACCGAAAGTTGCACGCCTATGAGATTTTAGTCTGTGTCATCCAGCCTCATAGTTCAAAACGTAACCATTGAACTATTCGGGTTTGGAGATGTATTTAGCTATGATTTCGTCATTTCATGCATCATTTCTTTCATGTATGCCTTTTGTTATTTTTGTTGAAGGGTCTGCCAGTTACAACTCATCTTCTAACTGCTGGAGAATTAAACTCTTTTGACGCAGTTGTTGAATGTGAACCACCAAATAGAAAGTTGGATGAATTTGTCGGTGTTATTCGTACTGCAGATGGAATGTAAGTCAAATAGATTAATAATTATTTTTTTTACTAAATTATATGCATGCCATACCACTTTATCGTATATCAGGTGCATATTATCATTATTTTAAATCGCCTCTAAAATATCTCAATTTTCCAGTTATTTTCAAAGCGAGACAGCATCCCAAGTTGTCCAAATGTATAATACATATGCTCTAGGGGTTTCAGCAAAATTATTTATTGTTGCTAATCAACTACGGCTGTTAATCGAAAACCAAGGAATGGAATTCTAATGACTTAGTCACTGTTGCCTTTATTTTACTCATTTATTGAAAACAAATTCTCATACAATAGAACTACACAAAAGAAATGATAGTCATTGCCTTCTTGTTGTTTCTGCCTACGTCAGTACTGACTGCTGCCTGGATGAAGTGAAAGATAACTTTTACAGAAAGCTTTCTGAACTTATTCTAAAAGTTAAACGCTTAGGCACAATACTCGTAGCAGGTGACTAGTGCCCAGATAGGTAGTTTAAACCAAGCAGAAAGGCATTTAGGTGGGTATTTTAGTATTCCGGCACAACGAACAAATAATGGTGATCTTCTGCTGCAACTGTGTTCAGACAATCGTTTATTTTTAGCAGACAAATTTTAAGTATAAGGAGAGACATCGTCTAACATGGCGACCCCCTACACCAAACCAACGATGGACTGAAATAGACCATATTGCCATCAGTCATCGTTTGAGAGAGTCGATAGAAGACTGTCGCTTGTTCTAGAATATATGCTTAGACTCTGACCATGCTCTGATACGGGCACGCATTTGCTTGTACCTCACTGGACACAGAAAAGGCATACCAAGAAGATCTATTAGAATTGTACTGAGTGACGAGAAAGCCCAAAGTAGATTCCAGGAACAACTGAGGTCACACTTAGGTAGTTCTGAAAACGAGGCTGACCCAGATGTTGCTTGGAAAGATATACGAACAGGTGTGGAAACAGCGTTACAAAGAACCAATGGATTTCTCCAAGGTCTGTTGCACTGATGGATTCTCGCAAACTCATCCCGTCAGGCTCTGAATACGATGATGAGTGAAAGCAAATCAGATCTAGGTTAAGCAAAAGTCTAAGAAACGACCGTGAGCAGTGGTAAGCATCGAAGGCAAAAGAGATGGACAAGGCGGCGGCTATAGGGAACACAAGACAACTCTTCAGACTCAAAGAAGAAACTGAAAATAAAAATCCAAGTGTAAGTGAGACTATTTCAGAAAAAGACGACACTTTTATCTGCTCTCAACCAATACGTTTAGAACGATGGGCGGAACACTTTAAGGAGCAGTTCAGCTGGCCTTCAGCTAGTCTACAACTACCCACAATTCCCAAACAGCCTGAATTGAACACTGAAGTAGGTCCTTCGACTCTAGCCAAAGTTCAAAATGCTATAGTTAATCTGAAACGAAGAACAGCAGATGGTCCAGATGGATTGGCTCCAGAGGTCTTTAAGGATGGTGGTCTAATTTTAGCGATTAGGTTGACTAATATTTTTGCTAAAATCTGGGAATTGGACGTAATCCCACGACGTGCAATGCTAATCGGTGTTGGGGAAGGTTGGAAGAAAGTTAGGGACGGCCAAACCAAAACGTGGCATCAGTGCGTGAAGTCACTAACTTTTAGTCTGAGCCATGTTGGTAGATGCAGACAACTTGGTTGGGGTCCGCGTGACAATCGTAACCAATGGTTGGAGACTCTTGGTGACATGGCTCAGAACCAATCACAATGGCGTAAGTGTATACACTCTTTGTCTTCTCTTAAAATTTTTCACCTATTTCTTTCTACCAACGAATTCCTTTTCCTGTACTATATCCTTACGTAAAATCTTTCGTTTATATATTACACCATTGAGTTAACTGCTTCTATGAATCCGGTGTTCATCTTGTGCTAATGAGGTGTGGCAACTTTGACTGATTCATGTATGTGCGTGGTCCTACGTTGTAGCTGACTGACTAATCGCATTTTGATGCTTACTACCATTGACATTAATAGTAATAATAAATGACCGTATCAAGAGGTGTTCAACTGAACACCTGATAATTTCCTTGTTTTCATTGATTCTTTCACAGACACATAAGTGAGACAACAATGAACATCGTCCTTTTACTCTTCAGTTTAAAACGTTAGACGACAGTCGCACCATTAGATTTTTTAAAACATCGACATATCTTTGCCAAAATAATTATATATATGCGTGCAATATAAGCAGTTTATTTGACATATTGAAATTAATTATGCTTTGAGTAATTTATTTATTTATATAATTTATATGAACACAAATATTGGTACAAAGGTTCACCAAATCACATGTGTGCCACACAATAACAATGAGAATGAAAAGAGATAGAGAATGTAAAGTGCGTATAAGAAAAAGGGGAACAATATCGTGCAGAGATTAGTTTATGATAGTGAATTGATAGTGCAAATTGAAAGACATTATTATCCTGTTATATTAGTATGACTCATAATTTTTATTCGTTTCGATAAAACACTCAATACTGGTCGGTATGTTTGTGCGTTCCACTTAATGACTGCAATTCGTCTAATTATTATAGTAAGCGAATTGTTATTTTTACGTTACGAAACAGATAAAGAGTTTAAAGCCTAGTTGTCTTTGTTCTAATTATAACTCTCACATGGACTCTGAGTCGTCAGTATCGCATCTACAGTTCTGGTAGAATAGTCTGTAGAACAAATTAAATCCTACACCGATTTCTTCTCACTGATGGAACTTTCTAATCTAACGGCACATAACCGACTGTTAATGGTGATTGATCAACCCTACTGTATCAGAAAGCTTTTTATTCGGTTTGATATTTTTATTGACATTTAATATTATAACATTTATTGTTGCCAGTGTTGTGACTTCCACGCTTTCTTCATACCTTATGATTTATCCATATACCATGTACAGACTTATGTACTCAACTTTGAGCCACATACTTTGGTTGTGTGTAAAGAAAAAAAGAAGGCTAAGATGAGACCACATGTTAGAGGATTAAGCTGTTAATGAACCATTCACTAACTCTAGTCACTTGCCATCACAAGTCATCGTTCAATATTATCTACTAAGTTAGGAGAGTTGGCTCAAGTGAAGTATGGATGAGGTGTTCGTACACAGATAAAGTTATAGCAATCCATCACTTCAAAGCGGAAGCCCTGTGTATTAAAGAGTTATGTACAATCTTTTATTCGACGTTCGTATCACCTCTTCTAGCATTTTTAAAATCGACAGTGCTAATTATTATTTTATTCTTCCCCTTTATAGAATAGACGGTTGTCTTTTTCTTTTATTTTATAAAATATTGCTTTTTTTACTTCCAACTTCATTTCTTGATAGTATTAGACGACTTTGTTAAACGATGTAATATCACTTCGTCGGCCTAGACTTTTACATTTGATATTTGAATAGGAATTCTAATTATCCTTGATAGTTTTGTAACATGCCTGTACCTTACTACCACGTGTAAACAAATCACTACCCGTAAATACGATTGTACCATTTAGGTAAATGATATCGCTAATAAGATAATTTAACTGAAATTCCTTCTTTCAGTCGAAAAAAGCTTTACACCAGTGAATTGAAAATCTCATAGTTTACATTTCTAACTTAAATCAGTTTACGATATTGCTTGTCTGTCGTCATTTTGATTGATAGTATCTGTCTTGTTTAAAAATATATCACTGAGATTAATGCATTGTTACACTTCACTTTGTAGAGCTCATCCTTTAAATCCAACACAATTAATTTTACGAGGTTCATCATTAAAGAATACAAAATGGATTTTTGGTAAGTTCCCTTCTCACTACAAATTACTGTTGGTCTGTATGTGTCTTTCGCTTGCTTTCCACTCCAACCAATCACTGTCTATGTGAATTCACTTAGACTGCTACTGTTTTATATGATGTACTCATGTGCTTAAACACCCTTATGTTTAACCAGAATATGCCACTATTATCCATTCCACTTTTGTCATTTACAGGTTTAACTGTGTATACAGGTAAAGAATCTAAAGTGATGTTGAATTCAACAGCAGCTCCTTTAAAACGATCAACAGTTGAACGTCAAACTAATACCTATGTGAGTAGACTTGTTCTGTTTCCTTTCATCTTTCCTCCTCTCTCAAGATGTCCAGTTTTCAATTTCTTTTTTAGAAATTTTACAAATAGTTTGAAACAATAACTTGAAGTAAACTTATATGACAGATGGGATGTGGCTTGCACAGAAATCCGAGACGCGGATTTCGTCATACTGGTGACTAATTGACTGGCTGTACCTCAAAATCTTAGTGTGTTGTTAGTGTCCACATTGGGTTTCGAATCCACCATTTTTCTCTTTAGTCATCAAACACATTATCATTTGAGCTACCGTACCGTATATTCACTCACTTGTTCATCGTGTATGGTATACAAGTATATTTCCTTAACAGTTTCATCTTTTAAACATCACTAATTTTTCTTAATTTATATTAGTGTTGGAGGTGGAAGACATAAACAGGTTTATATTTTAGTGACCAAGTATGGATTTGTGTGCTTAACTTTGAGGCGTACTTTTTTACATATGAGGTGTAGTCTCAACAAATTTCGAACCAACAGTCCAATGTATCAAATTCATGTATTTCAACCATTAGATTATCGCTTTTGAAACATCTGGTCTACAGTTATTTCAAGCAGTCAGTTACAATCAACGTTAAATTTATGGTACAAACATAAATCAGCTCAATTTGTTACGCTACATCGATATAATAAAATGAGATTAACTAAGTGTATTATGTCAAGTTAAGTAGAATTTTAAATAGTATCAATGATTTAAAGCACCATTTTAGACTCAATGAAATCAAATTATAGAAAGTCAAGAAATCTAACTCATAAATAAAATGAATAGTTTATTCATTTACAGTAGTGAATATATAGCGCATTGTTTCCATTTTTCTTTCTGTTATTGACTTGTCCTGGAAATTATGGATTACTTGTTGTGTTATGTACAACATTCTACTTAATACTTCTATCTCAGTTCATTTCTTTTTTGCTCGATAATATCGACTTCAGTGACCTTTACAGGGCTATTTTAGGATATCATTTGGGAATGGATAATACTGATTTATGTTGTACGCTGAGCCACTAGTTAAGTCATAAGTGTTTTATACAAAATGATATTAATGTTTTTACAAATTATTGAGTGAATATCTCTATTTACACACCTCATTCACACGACATGGTTATGTAGTTATCATGTCAGCATCGTTATCAATCTTGCTTTTTTTTCTTTCTTAACATTCTAGATCTTATGTCTGTTCGGTGTACTGCTCTTCTTGACTTTGTTCACGTTTATTGCAAATTTAGTTTGGACATCATGGAATGAGAAAAAAATGTGGTATCTACAGGAAAATGGTATGTGTGTAGGTTTTAATGGTGATTTAATTTATTTTTGGTTGATAGACCTATTTTTTACCGTTGATATCTATATGAGTTTTCCAGTGGAAATCGTCATTGATTTAAAGATGTTTTTCCCTGAAAACCGGCTTTCTTATGGAAATAATAACATCAGTTAAAATACCAGTGGATTCACTTTATAGTTTATCGAAATTATGCAGCAATGAATACCCATCAATAAAAGAATTCACGATCTCAAATCGCTACGTTGGGAGTATGTAGCTTACTGCTAATATCCGATGTTGGGCTGAAATGAAGTTAAAAATTAATGCCTTGCGATTTCAACACATCAGTATAAGTTTGTTCTGCTTGTTACGAAATAGATATGTTGTAAATATGATCCTCTGTTTATAGAGTCGTGTATGTGAACTCATTGTCAAGATGCTATGAACTGGGTCGAAATGTTAATTGTATGATGGTAATGTCAGTTTGTGGTTAAAATGACATTGAAATCATCCCGTAAAACCCACTGTATTCAACTTAAAGATATATATTATTACTATTGCAACCATTGTCATGAGCTGCCTGATATTAATAAGGGAAATGTCGAAACCTAAAGAGGAACACTAAACAAACAGCTGTTCAGATTCCTTGTCAAAATCTTTGTTCATTTTCTACTCCATAGGGTTATATATATATATATATATATATATATATATATATATATATATATATATGCATTTTATTGAAATTCCAATTTTCTCACTGTTATTGTGTAAAGTTCTGTATAACACTGGAAAAATTAATTTTTTGTTGACAATTAAATCTGCTAACCAATAGAAGTTCTAGACTGAAATGAAGACTTTAATAGTAATGTCTGGGTGTACTTTATGATCTTCAGTGAGCTGTTTACGAGATTGGATACACATCCATAAATTTATAGAGCATATTCCACTCAATGTGTAATATCTAGCACTTTTCCCATTCATTTGGTTATTGAGTGCTGCATTTAGAAACATAATTTCCTTGAAGGGTTCCAAATAGAACTGTACCTTTATTTACTCTTTTCATCCAGCAAGTTAAGATACGTTACAGTGGCGTGTTCACGGAAGACATATACATAGCTTTAGATGACTGGAATGAAATCTGCAGTGAAAATAACACTTACATGCAGCATTGACACTAAATGAACGGGAAAATGTTCGGAAATCCTAGATATTACAATTTTTTCACGTGTTTACCCATTGTCCACTACTCTTAACATGATCGCTGCATATGATGCGTTGTGAATAGTTTGTTCAATAAGCAATCGAATTGTTTGTTTACAATACAAAAAATAGCACAATGTATCTATCTAGTGAGTTTGTGAATATGGATTGTCTCATAACGGCATAATTACCAAACTGTTTTACTTCCAAAGAACCTCGGTACAAACATGATTGATTTATTTCCTGAAAATAATCCATTTTCTGTTGTTTAAATAAATTCAAATCACTAAGCAGTAGAGATTACTGAGATGTGTGTTTGCTCGCATTCCATGAAAGTGGCTGATAGTGATTGGGTTGAATGTTCGAACGCTGTTCCACCGATATAGGTTTAGCCAACCAGGTGATTTTATAAGTTATTATTCTGCACCAAAGTCTATGACTTGAAGCTGAGTTTATACACTCATGTACTTTATTACTGAGTTATAATCGATCAGTCTGAGTAATTGGGTCATCCATGAAGTTGTAGTGGCTTGGCGTCAAGATGATTCCCTAGGCTTGTTTATCAATCACCCTGATAACCGTTATTAAGAAGTAATGCATATCTTCTACGCCCACAATATGAATTTAAACTCACTTATTGGTGTATCTAGATCACACAAAATGACTACCTATAAATTCGCTAACATATAGGTAGCGAATTCATGCATCTTTCAAATTGATACGCGTTGAGGATTTCTACCATTACAGTTATCATTATTTTGGTGAATTGGTTTTAAACAGCATGCCATTTATTATACTGATATCATATATAAAACTGTTTACATTGAAATAGATATTTAATCGGTTCATAAATTGATAATTAGACGTGTATCAATTAAAATTGACATTTAAAATATACTTGTACCTTCGACTCCGCCCGTAGTTCTTCTAGAGCTAATGCCGATACCAAGCCCGCACAAAGGAGGGGTGTTGGGTATGGGGTCGGCAACTCCATTCCGTAGAAAAAAAGCTTGCTAAACAACCAATTTAAACAAATTAAAACATTTAAGCTCTATCTTGGGAGTTCAAGGAAGAATTACAATGCCTCATGATGAAAGCCAAGATTCTTCGGAAGTCACGAGACCGATCTCCTTTCTAACAACCAGAGCAACAGTTTTTATAGGTACATGGAACATCCGGACAATATGGGATACCGGGAGGACCAGTTAAATAGCAACAGAAACGAGGAGATACAACTTGACGGTGCTCGGAATCCGTGAAACCCATTAGACCCAAGCTGGACAGAAAATATTGGATTCAGGAGAGATGCTGCTCTACTCCGCTCATGACGAGGAAAATGCTCCACACACTGAGGGATTTGCGCTAATGCTGTCCAAAGAAGCACGTAACGCATATGGGCTCCAGTATCCTGCGGAAACAAATGGCGTATAAACCAATCGTTGGTCACTGGCTACCATGGGAATGCATTTCCTCACGATGCTCCACTGCCTTGTGGGTCAGATCTTTAGGTCAAAGTTTCGGGCTGTGGTCCCCTAAGATAACCACCTGCTTCGGTTTGGGCACCCGAGCAGTATCACAGCCCACACACACAAATATGGTGTGGCGCATATATATTTGGTGCCCTCTTGTACCAATATTTATGTGTTGACATAACAGCATATATAGAGTTACATGGGCCTCATCGGATAACACTAAATTGAACCAGATACATCACATGTATGTCAATAAAAATTCAGAAGGACAATGAAAGAAATGAGAACCAAGAGAGGAGCTGATATTGCTTCAGATCACTACCAAGACGAAACTGAATCTAAAGAGGCATCGGATAACTGGAGAAACAGCATTACAAAGATTCAATACAACCTTCCTTCGAGATACTGAGAAACTCAACGAATTCAAGATAACTCTCAACAACAGGCTCCTAGCCTTACCGGATCTCAACAACGAAGAAACTACTATGGAGAACATTTGGAAATGGATCAATGAAGCACTAAATTCAACGTATCAGGAAGTGCTGAGCCGCATGAAGCACCATCATAAGGAATGTTTCTCTATAGAAACCCTGGACATGATTCAAGAAATGCAGAAGACAGCAATTAACAACATTCGAACAACAACGGAGTAAGTCAAGGCACAAGATGAATACGCAGGAGCAAACAAGGAAGTGAAAAGGAGCATTAGAGCCGACAAGCAGAAATACGTGGAAGAACTAGCAACGACGGCGGAAAAAGCTGCAAGAGATGGAAATGTGTAACATCCATTTGATACGACGAAGAAACTGACGGAAATATTGTAAACCCAAGAGACCAATCAAGGACAATAAAGGTAAGGTAATCACCGAGATTCAAGGACAAAGGCTGCTTACTCTCCCCTTCCTCTATTCTGGTGGTTGATTGGATTGTAAACACTGCGTCGGGAATCGGAAGCAGACATGAAAAGGATAAAAGGAACTGGTAAGGATTGTCCAGGACAGAGTTGGATGGAGAATGCTGGTTAGTCGCCTATGCTGCTCCACGAGGGATAACAGACGTAAGTACCCTCGACTTCTGTGTTATTAGTAGTAAAACTTGGAAATTTATCCCAGAATAATGATGAACTGGATGTCCAGATTTGCGTCTGAACAAATTTTCAGGGATATTTCTTAAAGATGAAGGGAATAATAATTTGTTTTTTGATCTTTAAAGAAGGTGAGATAACTAAAGATCAGTTGATAAAATGTTTGAGATAGGGTGGATTATACACGTCCTATCATTGACATTAGTTTAGAGGTAGATATCGAGATGTCTTTTATCTTTTTGGGACAGTCAGCTAACAGTCCTGCCATTATTATCTTTGATAGCGAATACTACAGTTAAACACAAAGTGGTTTCTACTTACTTTGAACGAGTTCTTTTGTAGTTAATTGACAGGTAGTATTTCACCACGTTTCAGCTCTATATAATAGCACTGTTTTAACGTTAGCGTTCAAAATGCTGAATTTGATCTTTGCTAACAGTTGTCTTGAGTTCTAGATATCAGTCAGTCAGCTACAACGTAGGACCAGGCACATATGCGCATCGGTCCAGGTTGCCATACCGCATCAGCACAACAAGATAAACACCGGATTCATAGCAGTGGTTAGGTCAAAGGTGGTAATATATAAGAGAAAGATTGCATATAGAAATATAGTAAAAGAAGAAAGAATTGGTTCGTAAAAAGTAAGATATGAAGTGATTTTAATCTCTTAGTTTAAGGGAAGACAAAGAGTGTATACACCTACGCCATTGTGATCGATTCTGAGCCATGTCACCCAGTCTTCAATCATTGGGTACGATAGTCGCGCAAACCCCAACCAAGTAGTCTGCATCTACCAACATGGCTCAGACTAAAAGTTAGTGACTTCAAGCACTGATGCCACGTTTTGGTTTGGCCGTCCCTAACTTTCTTCCAACCTTCCCCAACACCGGTTAGAATTGCATGTCGTGGTAATCGGTGTTCAGGCATATGTAACATGTGGCCCAACCATCTCAGTCGATGAAGATTCACAACCTCATCAACTGATTTACCATCATTACACAATACCCTGCGTCTAACCTCACTATTACTTACCCGATAGTCCCAGCAGATGCTAGCAATATTTCTAAGGCATCTGTGGTCAAATACTAGTAACTTACGAGTGTCTTCTACTCTTAATGGCCACGTTTTGCAGCCGTAAAGTAGGAGAGAACGAACTACCGCGCAGTATACTCGTCCCTTAATTGATAGACGAATATCTCGCCTTCGCCATAGGTGACGTAAGTTGGCAAAAGCCAAACGAGCTTTTCGAATCCGTGCTGAGATTTCGTCAGACACCAACCCATTAAGGCTGATCAGACTTCCAAGATAAGTAAAGTTGTCAACGCATTCGACTACTTCACTTTTTATCCTTAGTTTAGGTGTTGACGCAGACCAGTTCTAGATATTCTTCAATTATAGCAATACTGCCTTTTATCAATTCGTGGCTCGACATCCACATCAAATCCTCCTAACATTGACCAATTTTGCTGATGTGTTAAACTGAAATTATCGTTATTGGAAATCGTTCATATTAGAAGTAATTTACTGTTGCCATATCTTGGTTTGTTTGGAACTATCTTTCTTCCAGTCTACTACATTAGTTAACGAAGTAGGCGGTGGCTGCACATACGTAATACTTGTCACGACCACTTCAGTTGATAGAGATTCACTATCTCATCAATCGATTTACGCTGTTCCCTGAATCTAACTTTAGCATTAGTCACTTGATGGTCATGATGCATAAAAAGTGTCATAAGTGTATCTATTATCAAATACTAGTAACTTGGTAACACCTTTTTTAAAATTGTACATAAATGTATGTCAACTACTTTCCAATTTTAAACGACTATGTATTTACTCATGAATGTAAATGATATTGTGATTCAACTCAATTTCATTTTATTATTTCATCAAACTAATTAAAAATCGTAAAAGAAAATTAACACATGATGTACTACTAGTGGTATATATATTTAAATTGAATTATTACCTGGATCACATGTGATCGACATAGCAATTACGCACACTACTATTTTGTATCAAATTGTAAATTAGTTGGTTCTCATTTAATAAAATGAGGGCCTCAACAATAAAGATAGTATCATTGGTTTGGAATTTTTAATCCACGTACTGATCATTGGAAAACAAATGTTCTCTGTCTTGCTCACTCACTGATAAACACATACAATGAGAAACGTGTCGTAAACATGAGTGTAATCACCAGAGCGTTTCAATAGAAGAGTGATGTCAACCTTTTTAAGGTTCACTATACGAGAAACGTCATTCTCTTAGTCTTTCATCCAAGTTTCTCCTTGTATTTCGTGTATGTGTTTATATACCTTGTTCATAGATGATATTGCTTCAGTTTAGCGTAATTTTTATTGTGTGAACAAGTCGAACGGCTGTTATCAATTACCTTTATGAGTGGCTTAATGTGGTTAAATATCATTCAGTCAACCAGTCATACTCTAGGTAGAACCTGGTAAATTTGTACACCGGTTCAAGTTGCCATACCTCATTAGCGCGGCGCGATAAAATTTTCAGGACAAATCTCAGAGGAGTAGATTTAACAGTATTATTGATAATAGAAAAGATTAAGCATCAAAGATACGATTTAATTATGTAGGTTGTTTTATGATCGAATCTTATGAAGCCAAGTGTTGCGTTATAAGTTTAATGACAACAAGCAGTGCGTGTATTATATATATAATATCCTTACGAGAAACTGATCAGCGAGGTACATCCTATGGCTAGCCACATTTTCTCACTACGATCCTCTCCTATCCACACCTTTCTGCCCGAAGTCCGTTTGTCTGTGTTTATATTATATATTTATTTATAGTTGATATTAGAAGCGATCTTCGACGTTTACTGGATTTTATCACCTGTCTCATTTTGTATAACACCATCATACCAATCAGTCTGCCAGTGATGCTTGAAGTTGTACGGTTTATCCAAGCATTGTATATTAATTGGGTGAGTAGTTTTCTTATTTGCCTGATTCGTACAATATTTTGATCGGGTTACACTTTTTATACTAAGTAAAAAAAATTTACTGTCGCTCCATTGTACGCAGTGTCGTTTTTTAATTGTTTATCTCTCGTCATTGCGTGCTTTTCGCCTTTACCTTTTCTATTTGTTTTGTTTCTTTCTTTCTGCTTCTACGTAAAAAATGCCAATCTTCTCTGCTCGTCTACAATTGTATGTTTAAAAAACATGTCCTATGTGTGTGCTTAAACACGTTACATGCATACACGGCGGTGTCCTGGATCACGATTGATTTTACCGCTGTTGTTGTCGCTGTCATTTGTGTTTTGTTTCTAATGTTTTCCCTCTGTATATATTTACATTTATACGCTACTCCTTTATGTTATTTTGTTTTCTTCGTTTTATGTTTTGTACATACACACATACTACACACCGTGTTTGTTTCCGCTTCTGTTGTCGTCTCTGTGGCCGTCCTACATCTGGCTTCTATTGTCGTCTGCTGCTCACCCCTCATCCGACTTTATCCATGTTTCGCGGTTTCGTCTCTGTATTTAAACTTATGTTCATAATATCTGTAATTTATGTCTGTATGTGTGTGTTATTGGGTGTGGGGTGGTTCTGACCCGAAACGTCTCATGTATCTATTTATTTACCTATCTATGCTATGTATGCTCTGGTACATGCCCTGGCCACTCATTCTTCCTCTCTTTGTAATATGAATATATCACCTACTGACGTGTGGTCTTTGCCTCTCATCCCACACACCGTATGTTTCCTCTCGAATCCTTATCGCACCCCTTGTGTATGCGTATGTGTGTAATAAATTAACCATTACACTAATACTTGATTGTAATTGTGTAAAATTTACCTGGATAACATAAACGGTTATTTCTGTTGTTCGTATATGTATCCGTTTATTGGTTGTCTAATTTTGGTGTACTAACGACAAATTCCAATGAAATTATTATTGTAATATTTTCTACAATTAAATAAAACTAGATGAAACAACTGTACGTTATGCAATTAATATGTTAATTACATCATTCATAATGTACCATACAATGGTACCGATCAGTTTACAAGTTTGTCTGGAAGTTGTGCGCTTAGTTCAAGCATTATTACTAAGTTGTGTATGTCATAGAATTGTTTTTTTCTGTGAACACTGAATTTATCCATAAAAGTAGTTCGTTTTGTTATTGTTACGGATACAATATCACCCGGGGGTTAAGGTTGAGGATAAAATGCCATTAGACAAGATGAGGGGTCATTGTATACGTATTTCATTTCAGTAGTATGGAATTCCATGAATGGAAATTAAGATTTTTAGTTCCAGCAACAAGTGTATTACTCAATTTATTGTGTTGGGATAAACTGGCTCATATTCCCAACTTCGATCAATAAGCATGACAGTATTTCATGCTGTTATTGGTGATTAGCAGCCAATCTGTACTAAAACCAATTTATTTTCTAAAAATGTTGTTTACCCATTCCTCGTTGTGTGAAAATTTATTATAATGATTTTTTAAAAAGGTCTTCAATAACATCATCGTGATATGTTGAAGAATAAATGAGGTTGACTAATAATGTAAAGTTCTGTTTAATTTAATTAAATAAATTTTTCTGAAAATTGATTTCAATTTGTAAGTTGTACTCTTTACAGTGATCAAATCTCAGTTAAAGCATCATTGAAAAACCCAGAAAGTTTTGGACAGTTGTTTCATGTTAGCATAGGATTCGTAAGTGCTAATGGACGACAATAATTCACTCTCGGTTTATCTTCATTAAGTAACAGAATAAAATCAAATGATGAAGGTGTGAACCTCGATCGATCGCCGATTCGTAGGTATTACACTTGTTTGTTGGTGTAAACATACTTTGCAATATAAAGAAAAGAACAATAAAACATTAGTTACATGAACTTGGCTAAATGTTCTAAGTTAGACGACGAATGCAAACCGTGAAGCACGTCCAGTTCATTCTTGTCTGGAGCTCCTTAGCAGTGCTAAACCACGACCTCCCCGCGGGCCCTGAGTTCCGATTCTCGGATTTCGGCTCGTAGATGTCCATCACCGTGTTTCAGGTTTCCATCAGTTTGTTTAACTTAGATCGTTCATCAATTCCATAAAATATCAATACTTACTTCATTTCATGTTAACTTTTTCCACTTTTTGACCATCATTAAGTGAGTCAAATGATAGATTCCTGTGAATCATAGTCTACCTACTTACTATTTAAATATTCCATAATATATATGACATGTTGCAGTGTACAATATTATTCCAGTGAATCATTTCTAAAAAATGAATGTTCTCTGAAGTTTGTGATTTTATCGTTCTGCTAATATCATGCATATAGTCCTGCCTTAATGTTAATGTTCTACAATCTTTTTGCTTTCATACAGTGATCGTTGGATTAATTCATTTTTTACATATTAACTCAACTAAATCACCATTGAAAACCTGAAAACAGCAGACGACTCCCGTCCTAGTGTGTGCATTCACGTCCCCACATCCGATAACCGGACCTAGGACCTTCGTTACCGCGCCCAAATCGTAGGTCTGAACTGATGAGGAGTCCCATATTAGGGCGAAACGACCGACTAGCGCTTCAAGGTTTTCAATGTTAGTGGTTTAACTAAGATCAGTTTGTGATTTATACTGCAAAAAATTTTATAATTTCCAAAAATTTCTCCATACTAATAGTACATTTTTACTTGGAAACTGACAAGACAAACAACAAACAAACCAATGTGAAATAATTTTTTATAAGTAAATGTGTTTGTCTATAAGACTAACCGAATTCTATAACATTAAAGTAGAGGAGCTTATCTAGTGTGTTGTCAGAGCTATTTAATATAGTAATGCAAGGACAAAAGAAAATAACATTCGGTAGGAGTAATATATTAAAAAAAGGAAAAGGATCAATCTCACTTATAAATCGCGCTATTCTATTGCAAGAAATTCGTAAAAGTCGAAGTTATTGGTACATAAGGAATTTGTTGAAACTATTGAATTATGACTTAATTTTAATTAGAGAACCACTTACCTCCATGAAGCACTTATCAGCTGTTTTGTCCTCGTATGGATCCCTCACAATTGTAAATCTACAGTCTTACAGGGGATTAGAACTTGGACCTTTAGGCCTTGTGGTGAACACTCAAATTTTAGACTGCTGAGCCAATTGTTAGAAGCTAGAGCAGTTGTTTCGTATATCCTGAACTTTCGATAGTTGTCTAACTATGGTCAGCTCTTATTGTAAATGAATAATGTTTAAGTTGTGTTGTCCCCAAAGATAGCTCTCGTTAATTAAAAAACGAGGTTATCCACAACGCTTACAATGTTTTATAAATGCGTCTTTTCTGAGAACTTCGCTTATATCGTATTACTTGGATCATAAGTGCTTATTCTGTCATCTACGTTTCATGTGGAATTACATTTCAACCTTCATATATCTATGTATTTGATCTGGGGTGTTGGGTTTTACTAAAGATCATGACATTTGTTACAGTAGATAATTGAAGACAACTCGTTTAAAATGAAATTTCATGTTAAAATGTTACACTTCTATAGGACGTAGCCCATCCAAAATTCAAAGTAGGAAGGTTTTATCTCATCTAGAATACTTTCCCGTCTGTGGATAATCTTGGCCTGTCCATGTTTAGATTTTCAAAATATCCGTGGAAGTTGTCAGTTACTTCGTCTGTCAACGTTTTTGCTATGGTTGTTTGGAGAGAAATGTTTTATAAGTTTAGCGCATCAACCAATCATTTAGACAGTGAATAAGGCGTCAAAAACACTTTCTGGAATATACATAATAATCACTTGTCATCTTTTTCTGACATCATCTCCAGAATGCAACTCGACTCTTATTTAAATAGTTAATAGATTCAATTTAAAGGAACTTTTCTCATAAGTCAGCTACCAGTTTCTCTCGTTTTTGCGACTCGTTCTTCTTATCATACTGGTAGTTTCACTCAGTTTTTTCTTTCTCTTGGTCAAACTTACTGATGACTAGATTAAAGAAAATTTTCGGAGTTCAAATGAGAAACTCTGATTAGCGGAGTTTAATCGTGTTGGATGTTAGGCAGGTATCCACCGAAAACAATGGAAGATGGTCTCGAAATATCGCTAATTGACTGAAAGTAGAATTATAGATCATTGAATCTCGGCTCATTAGTTAAGCGTTCATGCTCAAAACTAACGTCGTTTGGTTTGATTCACTGTTGGAGAGTCATGGGTGCTCACTCCTGAGTAGTCTCATATTAGGACGAGATAGCTGTTCAGCACTTTCAGATTTTCAATGGATATCTAACCTTAGCCGTTTCACGATTTCATAATCTACAAAATCCCACTCTACTTGTCCGATGTCTTATCGTTTTTTGCAGTGTGCTTGTGATTCTCGCTGTTCTTTATTTAGCGCCTTCGTCGTTGTTGCTGTGCGAACGTTTGTATTATGTAGCTTTAACCTGTCGCCCTTTCTGGGGTTCTCCTTCCTATTTTTGCCAAATACTATTGATAATCTTGGTCTCTGTGTGCAGTTTCCGGAGCCTTTATTTAACAATGATCGCCAATAATCCTTCAATGGGGAAGGCATCATTGTCTTTTAGGAAATGTATATTCCCTACAAATATCCTATTTCCAGTTCTACCGTTTTTGACTCAGAGATATTGGCTCTCAAGCATTCATTCAACAAACCCTATTTAAACTTGTTAAGTTTCATAGGTAGGGCTATGTCTTATTAATGTGTATATTATTAGTTGACCAAAATCACAATTTTATTGTTTGTCTGACCTATTTACTGCTAAGACACACACATGTTCAATAATTAACACATGCACTGAATGACTAATGTTAATAAAATTTCTTGAATATAAATCAATCTACTTCAAAGGTTCTACAAGTTGACTGTTGTAAACGGTCTTATCTAAGTCCTCTGTTCTTGGAATTCAATGGAACTATCAATTTTACCAATTGTGTTAAGGATGAATAGCATCTTTCTGTACTTGAAAAGAGGATATGACAAGTATCGTACGTTGACGTTTTTCTTTAGTTGGATTATGGGATTCTTGTTTGAAATGTTAAATGGTTGATGTAATCGACTGGCAAATCTGCTTCGCCTACGTTTTGTGCTATTTATACATCACCATGGAATATCTGTAGTCTTGAAGGAACGTTTACACTGTGATGGATTCAAACCCACATAAGCCTGCTTTGCAATCCGAGACGTTCCCACTGAGCTATTCGTGCTGTGACTAACCTCATGTGGGTCTGGAATATTTACAGTTGACTATTGTGTCGTGAACAATATTATAATATTAATCTATTCCTTTGGTGTTGGTCAAAACTCATTCTCTGACGTGAGAGAGTGCTACTTTCCTTCAGTTTCTATGTGACACTAATACAACAGTGATAATCTTCAATAAGGCAAGATTTGGGCTAATTCATATTGATTTCTGAACTACGGAATGAAACAACTATCCTGTCGTCTAATCCCTTTTTGTTTTTCACATATTCTCTTGTTGTCAGTCGGTCACAAAAGTTATCTCCCCTAGGTAGATTTACCTTTGAAAAAGAAAATTAGCGCAACTATATTTAATCTATGCTTAATCACTAATAATGATACACTAATGCCCTATCATTAGTGATTTCGATTATATGAATTGTTCATGTATTCATAATTATATATACTACTGTTCTTAGGTAAATAATTTCAGCTAGATGTCAGCAGTTTAATTTTGCCTTTTTTTAAACTTCAATGTTTCAAGTGATTTGACTTGTCTAGCCGATCATTTCCAAGAATAATTAATATTATATCAATGAAGCTTGCGTTGTTTTTTGATTTTCCTTTCATTTACTGATATCCGTAGTTTCACCATACAAATAAGAGAATATATATACTAACATGAAAAAGCATGCAGATTTATTCGTATTTCTCAAGTTCTCGCTTATTACTTTTGGTTCGATTTCCTTTTTTCTTAGGATTTGGATATGTATGATCCGGATTCGGATACACCAGCTATGGCACGTACTTCCAATTTAAATGAAGAATTAGGTCAAGTACGTTCTTGTGTGATCCTGTTCCTTCTACCCCTGTTTTTTTCACAGTACTAAGCGTATCTTTTATCAGAAATATTTTGTATGTATGTGTAGTGAACTTGGTGTTAGTTCTGTGAACGAGAATACAGGTAGGACAACCAAATGTATTTCAAAACAACATAACAGAGTATCTTGTTAAAATCTGAGAACCATATAGTAAATACTTCATTTGCAAAATGTCAACCAATTGTCTCAAACTTAATTGTTTCTTCGTTTTCATATCAATCACTCTCTGTTCTCGTTCTCTTCTCGTCTGCAGCCAGGCATTTCACTTTCGATTAGTGATACGTACTAATTATATTTCTAGACATCAGTAGCACACCACATTAAGTGCTTACATGTAGTGCTAATAGGCACCCGTAAACAAGGCGTACTGACAAACGATGTGCGAGCTAATACACTCTAGAATATTCAACCTTATATCAATTAGCTTCACAGTCGTTATTACTGAGCTATTCGGGTTTCGACTGAATCGTTGTGTGACAAACGTTTATATTGATTGCTCACTGAGTGGTGATGGGCACTGTGTTTGTATAGTACTGATCGAATCCTGTAAATCTAGTTGTGTAATTGTGTTGGGATACTCAGAAAAATATCCCAAAAACAATTATCCGGTTAAGTCTAAAGCTACCCTTGAACTATTTCAGCCTGGTCTGGGACTTTGTACCACAACTGAAACTGTTTTAAAACTGCAGTCAGAAGCTACGCCAGTTTTTCGCCCGAAGCGTCCAGTCCCATACGCATCTTTACCTCTGGTTGACGCTGAACTTCAACGTTTGGAAACTGAGGGTGTCCTAGTACCTGTTTCTTATTCATCATGGGCTGCTCCAATTGTGGTTGTAAAAAAATCCAATGGTTCCATACACATCTGTGCAGACTTTTCCACAGGACTCAACGCGGCTCTACAGCAGCATCACTATCCGCTGCCGATCCCAGATGACTTATTTACTATTTTAAATGGTGGTACCTATTTTGCTAAGCTGGATCTGGCAGATGCTTACCTTCAAATTCCAGTCGCTCTCGAATCCAGAGAGTTGTTGACAATCAACACTCACCGAGGACTTTTTCAGTATACCCGGTTACCCTTTGGTATCAAAACTGCTCCAGCGATCTTCCAGCAGATCATGGACACTATTCTGGCAGATGTTCCTGGTGTTGCTACATACCTTGACGATGTGCTCATTGTCGGCTCAACTGCTGATGAATTGCATACCAGAACCCACTTAGTTCTGCAACGCCTCCAGGATAATGGTTTTCGCCTCCGCCCAGAAAAATGCCAATTCTTCTTACGTTTCGTTAAGTACCTGGGGTTTATCTTTGATGCTTCCGGACGACACCCTGATCCTCAAAATACTTACGCAATCCAACAAATGCCTGCTCCCACTGATGTCTCCTCACTGCGATCATTTTTGGGAATGATTAGCTACTATTCAGCATTTCTTCCATCACTGCATGACGTACGATATCCATTAAATCGTCTGTTAGAAAAGAATGCTACTTGGAATTGGTCAACGCAATGTGAGTCAGCCTTTTCAAAACTTAAAGCCATGCTAAGTTCCAATCTTCTGCTAACCCACTACAATCCGAAACTACCCATTGTGGTTGCTGCTGACGCTTCAACACATGGACTGGGTGCCGTACTCTCACATGTCTTTCCCGACGGGTCAGAGAAAGCGGTGATGCACGCTTCGAGAACACTAACACCTGCTGAGAAACGCTACGGCCAGATAGAGAAGGAAGCGTTAGCCCTAATTTTTGCTGTCCGGCGATTCCACAAATTCATTTATGGGCGCCGTTTCACCTTGCTCACAGACCACAAGCCGTTGTTATCAATCTTTGGATCAAAGAAAGGCATTCCTGCCCATTCTGCTAATCGTCTTCAACGTTGGGCGTTGGCGTTATTGGGGTACGACTTCGACATCCAGTATCGACGTTCCGAAGATTTTGGTCAAGCAGATGCACTGTCCAGACTTATCAGTAACCATTCTACCACTGATGAGGACACACTCATAGCCATAGTATCAACCGAAGAGGATTCCGGTGCTACACTATTAGCGAATGCCGTTCGAGCAATGCCTGTTACCGCTGAAGATGTTCGGGAAGCTACCAGAGAAGACCCGATTATCCAAGAAGCGATCACCTATGTTCAGAGCAGATGGCCAGTTAAGCAGCTGAGTGGTGATATGCAACAACTAGCGAATCGTCGCAGCGCTCTCTGTATTGTTAACGATTGTCTGATGTTCGGTGATCGCGTAGTAATTCCAACAACCCTACGTTCCAAAGTCCTACGCCAATTCCACTCTGGACACCCAGGGATAAACCGTATGAAATCCATCGCTCGCAGCCATGCATATTGGCCGAATATGGACAAGCAGATTGTCGACTTCGTCAAAAGATGTTCACATTGTCAAAAAGCTGCGAAAAATCCTCCTAAGTTGCCTCCAGTACCCTGGCCAAAGTCAGAAAAACCCTGGTCGCGAGTGCATATTGACTTCACCGGACCCCTAGATGGTACCACATACCTGATACTGGTTGACTCCTACTCCAAATGGCCGGAGATATTGCCGATTGCGCCACCCTCTACAACTCGAACCATCAAACTCCTTAATCAGATCTTCGCTCAGCATGGTCTTCCAGAAACAATAGTAACAGACAATGGTTCACAATTCACATCTAGCCAATTCCGAGAATTTTGCCTGCAAAATTCGATCAACCATGTTCGCTCTCCGCCATATCACCCGCAATCTAATGGACAAGCTGAAAGGTTCGTTGATACATTTAAACGAGCCATGCTTAAAGCACGAGGGGAGGGGACCACAGAAGATATCATAGAACGATTCCTAGTTGCGTACCGGACGACCCCGCATGACTTATTGCCAAACTCCAAATCCCCTGCTGAGATGCTTATGGGGCGAAAGCTACGGACAGTTCATGTGCGATGAAACCCAAGCAAGTGGCCCAGCAAAGCCCCCAGATGAAGAATACTCGAATTCCCTACGAAGTTGGTACAAAAGTGTATGCGCGAGATTATAGACACGGATGCGATAGATGGGTAGAGGGTGAAATCACACAAAAACATGGGAACGTCATGTATGATGTCAAGGTGAACCAAGAAATCTGGACCAGGCACCACAATCAACTCAGGTCAAGAGAAGCGAAGGAGAAAGAAGCAATTACAAAACACGTCCCACTCGACTTGCTGTTGGACACGTTTCAACTTCCGCCAATACCTCCAACAGAGACGACTAAGTCATCTACTCAAGTAGAACATCCTTCTGGTTCTGTGTGGTTGCCTCGGAGGTCGGATCGCAAAAGAAGACACCCAAAGAAACTTCAAGTAAACCCTCGGTTACGTCGCTATTAACTTCTCAAAAGGGGAGGTGTTGGGATACTCAGAAAAATATCCCAAAAACAATTATCCGGTTAAGTCTAACGCTACCCTTGAACGTTAAATGGTGTCATTTCCCTATTGGTCGTTTCCCTACTGATCAATATTTATTTCGCGTGTCATTTTCCTATTGGTCAATATTATTTAACGTGTCATCTTTCTGTTGGTCAATATTTATAGTAATCCTAACTGTATAAATATGCATTTGTTTGTAAATCATTATTCTGCTGCTCCTGACCCCATAAACGATTTTTCATCTACGGTTCGTGTTCTGATATATTGGAGATTGGGAACAGTATTGGGGTCGAACTCGGATATCTGAAGCTTGTCAATCGGTAGAATTTAGAGTAGCCAACTCGCGATTTACAATAAATTGAACTTCAAGTTTTTTTACTATCGAATTAGTGGATTCCATCACTATATAATCTACTATTAACTAAATTATTTATTAATGAGTTTGATGGAGTTTTGTTCTCAGAGAACAGTAATCAAAGTGAGTTAACAACGTTATTTTTCTTTTCCATCCCGTCTGATCACTACTAATTTAAGATAATAGAAAATCGTAACCCATATGATGTTTGAAAATATCGTCTACATTAAAACAGTCGTCACCAGTGGTATTGTATGATAATCTTCGAACTATATTGTAAATTGTTTACCATTGAATGCTTATACAATCTTCTTAATGGCAACCAATCTACTAGACCTGATTTTTTTTGCGTATGATTGTTGATGGGGTTGTGCTTGTGTAGTGCTGAGGAGCTCCACACTAGGACAAAATAGCCGCTTAGTCCAACAGTACCTCAAATTTTAATCCATAACGAATATCATCACCTACTGATAACTTTGCTCATCATTTTCCTTAAATAAAGTGAATATGTTGTAAGATTATGTTAATGAAATAATACGTTGATTTGATGAAGTGTACATCTTTCAAGTTTTTGTTTTAGTTAAAACAATTCTAAGTAGACAGTAAAAAAAAACGTTTTATGACTTTTTCATCTTTGCTTCTTGTGTTTATTTGGAATTCAGTGAATGTTAGTATGAACAAGTTTATTAATATTTTTAGTATAGTTTATATTAGCGTTTAATTAAACTCTTACATTAAATACCCATGAGTGAAAAGCTAAGGACAGTCAATTGAATGCAGAGCGCCAACAGTCTGTTGGTCAGTTGGGTGAACTAAGCTGTATCTGGAGGTTTAAACTCTCCAAGTTGAAGCTCGCATTGAATTCGTTATCAGTAATGATATTTAGATGATGTAATTCATGACTTTTCAGTGCCAATAATTTATATCCACTCTTTGTTTCTCTCCATCATCTTCAATTTTGACATCCATAATTTCTTATTCCTAAGTATCATCAGCACTTCTCAACGTTTGTTCTCCATCAATTTATTGTCCGTGTTATTATGCTTTGTGACAATTTACATCAATGAATATTTATATCCGGATATTATGTTGCGTATATTTCATTTTTAACTCATGTACAAAGTGACAGATTCATGTACATCAACCATATTTTCACAATCAAATTGCCATCCACCAAAATACCTTTAAAATCTTTCACATCAAATACAAATAGATTATTTCCTTCAACTCTTTCAAGCATGTATTTCAACTGGAAAATATTTAGCAAAGCCAGTGTAATGAACGAGAAAACAGGTGGGGACAACTAGTTGTATTTTAATACCAAATTACAGAATACTTTGTTAAAATGTGAAAATCGTACGTTCAATACTTCATTTGCCAATCCTCCATCAATTATCTCAAACTTTGTTGTTCTTTCATTATCATAGCAATTGCTCTCTGTTTCCATTCTGTTCGATTCGGCCTTCACAACCTTCTGCTGCCAGGTATTCCATTTCTGATTGGTGTAATATACTACTTATGTCGACAGAAATAGCACGCCAAACTGGTAGTCCTGTGTTCATACTTTCTGTAATATCCTCAATATTGTATCAGATACATGTATATTATTACTGTAGACAAACACTCGACATGCTCACCCATAAATGACGTTTTGCATTTGTCATTTCATTAGGTTCGTTATTTATTCTCTGATAAGACCGGAACGTTAACTCGTAATGTGATGGAGTTCAAAAGATGTTCAATTGGTGGTATTATGTATGGGTAAGTGTCTTTATTGTTCTTGTTCCTGAGTTCGTTACTCAGATGTAGGATCATGGATGCACATTACTGATTCTCATACTAGGACACGATAGCTGTCCAATGCTTCCATGCCTTGAATGATGGTGGTCTAGCTAGTATCAGTTTGTCATTTAAATTATGAAAATATAACATTACATGTTACTTCTGACAAAATAATTAATGTTTAGCTGATATTCTTCATGAATGTAACAAGAACTAGCCAATCAGCGTGCACCGAAGCAATCATGCATTGAGCATGCTTTAATCCAGTCTATGTCCCGCTAACAAGTGGCCAAACCAAAAATCGATATTAGTTTGTGAGGTCATGGATTATTATTCTGTGCAGCATTAGTAGAAGTTGTTGAGGGCTAATTTCTTCTATATCTGACTCCAATAAATGATATCCCGTTAACTGAGTATTTAAGGTAGGCTAGATCTCCTGGTAAAATTATGGATTTATTCGAGGTTATTCAGAAGCCTGAACACCAGTTGTAGAGATATTTTATTGTTAAAGATAAATAAAATCCACAAGCGTACAGCGAGCAAACACACTGTGAAACCACCACAGTGTGTGTGTGTGTGTTCAAAATCCATATAAATTTTTGAGTGTCAATCAATTGTGGATAAATTATTGATTATCTGGATGTCACAACCAATAGGAGAATAGATTAAGGTTAACGTGCAGACACGCGCTCAATCATATACACACAGAAATTAACATAGTGAATTAAGTGTCTGAATTACAGAGAGTAGACAAATAATACAAGAGTTGAATGGGCTTGCTACAAAGTAAACGATTTGATTAGGATTCGCGTGGTCACTGTTATCAGTGAATAGAAACTTTGGATAACTCGATATGGGTACATTTACTCGATATCACACTCAAGACCTTAAGTTTCATTGTTCCTTCATCCATAACTTTTCTTTTTGTCTTTTTGATGCATATTCCCGCCGTTTAGCTCTTCTCATTATTTTTGTCAGAACATTATTTCTATAACTTGCTATTTACCATGTTACGTTCATCTCGTCTTACTAATGTCGTATGGTAACTTAATTTATCAACGTAAATATATTTCAAACTCTGTCTTGACCATAAATGATTGACTAAATTCGATATACATGACAATCAGATAGAAACTATCTCACACATACATAATGTTTACTTTTCTTATCTGTTCTTTTTTATTCATGTTTAGTAATAGTACTGAAGATTCAAATGCTTTAGAAGATCAAAATCTAATTAATAAATTAAATTCTGGAGATTTATTAGTTGATCAATTCTTCACAATATTAGCTGTTTGTCATACTGTTGTACCAGAACGTAATGTCAGTGAAAATAATACCAATGATAATAATGTTGCTGTTTTCGGTAATGATAATCTCAATAATGAACAATTGATTAATTATCAAGCTTCGTCTCCAGGTTAGTGTGCGTAATGTGCTATGCTGTGTAATAGGTTTTTCTATTTATATTCAATAGACAAATTGTGGTCTACATTCTAATCCCCCAGGACCTATCATCTGGACATCTAGCTGCTGTACCTGCATCACTGTGTTGATGCTTACACTGAGATTTGTGCGTAGCAATTATCACTTCACAGACACCATTGAGTTGTCCACTGGACTATTGAGTTCAAATATCTAAAAACGTTTTCAGTGGGTATGATGCTTATACATTAATAATAGGAAGGGTTTGAATATTCAGTACTAAACATCAGTGAACAGTAACACTAAGATATAAATACACTCAACTTATGACGATAATCGCAAATCGAATGGAAAGCGTGTTCTAGATTTCAGTGCTAGCCACATTCTTTCTATCCTATGATAACTTGTTATATAATGGCTATAATCGTACCAACGAAGAGTGATCAAAATCCGACCCTGAATAATGATGTAAATGTAGTTCCTGCCATTATAAAATAACTATGTATATTCTGAACAAATGACAGAATCCATGCCAATCTACAAAAATGACCAAACATTTAAAAAGCAATGTTACAAGTGAAGGACAGACTTGTTTGAAATAATACAGTTCATAGTTAATCTCTAGTGGACATCTGTCACAAGGTCTACATCAATGTAATACAGCGGTTACTTATTTACTTACCTACGCCTGTTACTCCTAATGGAGCATAGACCGCCGACCAGCATTCTCCAACCCACTCTCTAGTTCTATCCAATTGTTGTCCATTCTTCTCATATCCGTCTCCGTTTCTCAGTGCAATGTGTTCTTTGGTCTTCCTCTTCTCGTTTGGTTTTGAGGATTCCAGGTGAGGGCTTGCCTTGTGACGCAGCTGGGTGCTTTCCCCGATGTTTGTCTCATCCACTTCCAGCGCCTCTTCCTGATTTCTTTCTCCACTGGGATCTGGTTTGTTCTCTCCCATGGTGGGTTGTTGCTGATAGTGTCTGGCCGACGGATCCGAAGTATTTTGCGTAGACAGTTATTAATAAACACTTGTATCTTCTGGATGATGGCTTTCGTAGTTCTCCAAGTTTCCGTCCCATACAGTAGAACTGTCTTGACATTTGTATTGAAAATCCAGACCTTGGTGTTGGTTGACAGTTATCTTAACTTCCAGATGTTCTTCAGTCGTAAATATGCTGTTCTTGCTTTTCCGATCCGCACCTTCACATCTGCATCAGATCCACCTTGTTCATCAATGATGCTGCCCAGATATGTAAAGGTTTTTACATCTTCCAAATCTTCTCTGTCAATTGTGATTGGATTGGTGCATTCTGTGTTGTATCGGAGAATCCTGCTTTTCCCTTTGTGTATATTGAGACCTACTGCTGCTTGGGCTGGTGCTACATTGGTCGTCTTCTGCATTTGCTGTTGCGTGTGCGATAGAAGAGCCAGATCATCCGCGAAATCTAGATCGCTTAGGTGCATTCTGGCTGTCCACTGTATCCCATTCTCCATTCTTGTTCAACTTTGTCGTCGACGTACTTTTAGAGATAACATTATCCTCGTCTAGATTTCCAGAGGTTGAACTTCTACCGGGAGGTTCACTTGTTGAGTTAGAATATGCTGATGACAGTTTTATTTTGCGAAGACGCTGGCAAAATTCAGAGTCTTCTGACCATGTTCGGCATGCGATTCTCCTCCTCGAAATGCAAAATGTTGCTTCAGCATTGCGTTGCATTGACACCCGAACTAATGATAGGAAGTGAGGTAATTGAGTGTGTCGATCGCTTCACTTATCTTGGAAGTCTCATCAGCCCTTGTGGTCTGGTGTGTGACGAAGTCTCAGTACGGATACAGAAGGCTCGACTAGCCTTAGTAAACTTGCGTCATTTATGGCGTATGCGAGATATCCGTCTATCAACCAAAGGACGTGTTTACTGCGCAGCAGCATATTTACTCATTATCCACAATAATCATGCGAACTTCAATCAGATTGTGTCTGCACCTGCCAAAATGGTTTAGATCAAAACAACTGTTAATGCGTTTATAGACTGATGTTATGCTTGATTTTAGTTTATTTTGACCTACTACGTACAAGTCAACTAACTTGAAAGTAAAGACAAAGAAAGAAATATCTAATATATATATATATATATATATATATATATATATATATTCTTCTATCTCTTCAGTGGTGTCACTGCTTATGCATTCGACAGTCAGCATATTTTTTGTATGCTGCAAAAATTTTCAGTCCCTCAATGTATATAAATTTTTCTATTGAATTAGTTAATTAATTACAAAGTTAGTGCATTTTTATAAGCTTTAGAAGATGGTACCATTTAGTGTTTAAAAGAAATATTTACAGAAGCATGAAAAACATCCGAGTCTAATTAGTTTACCGTATTACGACAAATAACTACGACAACAGAATAATGAACTAGACTGTACACAATCGGATAATAATAGAATTCTGAAGAATAAAAATAATTTATGAGTGATAAATAGGTAAACAAAAAGTTTTGAAAACATCTTGAACACTAATGATATCTACTTTGAAGAATTTGCAACTTTATCATACAATAGTTGTGAAAGAAAGGTAAAACTGTTTAGACTTAAAAAAGATTTTCAGAGGATTGATTAAGTATTATGTAACTATTTTAGTGAATATTGTCGTTAAGCTAACACGCACATTAGATTGTAAAAAGATGATGGAAAATCAATAACGACAGCACCTGTGAATATGCAATACTTTCATGAATATCGTTGGATGTCACAGGTGCATTCACTATTCGCACTTCCTTTGTCTCTTAACACCGAGATCTACTTTTCCTATATTCTACACCTAATGTTTTATTATTATTGACAGTGTTACGACATCTAATACTTTGGGACTTGTCTTGATACTATTATATTATTGTGCTAATGTGACGTGGTAGCTAGAGCCAATGCAAATATGAATCGGGTCCTACGTGGTATATGACTGACTATTACCGACACAAAGTAGATTGGTGGATTGCCTGCATTATGCAACGTTTTAATATCATTCAAACAGAGACCGATAACAGACGCTTCCTACGTGAGAGCCAACCTACTGCGCAAGTGTGAAAATATTGAGGAAGAATAGGAGGGTGCAAGTGACAATTAAATCTAATAGAACATAAAACATTGGGAATATGTTATCACTTGGAATCACCAGTCGATGCCACGCATTATACTACTTAATCGAAATTCCGATTATCGATTAGTTTAATTGCATATGTGCAGTTGGACCGGTGACCTATTAACCAATTGACCAGTCAAAAGCAGACGATACGTCGACGCTTATTGGTCCTCAAGCTCCTTCAAACCCAGCACAGTCGTTTTTGTGGCGTTAGATTAGAAAGTTCCATCAGTGAGAAGAAATCGGTGTAGGATTTAAGTTGTTCTACGGACTATTCTACCAGAACTGTAGATGCGATACTGACGACTCAGAGTCCATGTGAGAGTTATAATTAGAACAAAGACAACTAGGCTTTAAACTCTTTATCTGTTTCGTAACGTAAAAATAACAATTCGCTTACTACAAAAATTAGACGAATTGCAGTCATTAAGTGGAACGCACAAACATACCGACCAGTATTGAGTGTTTTATCGAAACGAATAAAAATTATGAGTCATACTAATATAACAGGATAATCGTGTCCTTCACTTGACAGGTCACATGCAACAGGGATAGTCTACAGACTCATCAGACCAGATAGACGTGTTAGGCGTTTTAGCAACGATTTGATTGGTTAGTTATGGACATAGCTTACAATCGGCTTTAAAAGCAATGTTTTTCGTCATGTCCGCCTGTGCCCCGACAGATTGCAGCCCGGATGCAATCAATGATGAATTTTACCACCAGATAACTGTTCGTCTCCGCTGACGTGGTTGTGTACAAGACTGCCGCTCATTTTGGCGTAACTCTCTGGACAGTGAGCATTCCCTAGTCTGCGCTAATCTTATTTTACTTTTCAGTGACCAACAAATTCATCATCCCATTGGATTGATGTCAGTAAATTGGTTGCAGCTTCTGTTGCAACTAAATAATAAACCCAGCTAGGTTCAAGGCTAGTTAACATCCCACCGAAAAGTGTAGATGAGCACTGATTGCAAAATTGCACGACGCCATGAAAATGGCGAGTAAAGTCGCATGCGGTTTCGCAAAAGGTCACGCTTATAAGCACTGAGTTTCTTCAGGCTCCTTACAGCTCATTGATATAAAATTGTAACTCTGAGTCTGGAACTTGGTGAATAATCGCATTTAAAAAGACTTCAACTTATCTCTTAACTTCTTTTCACATAGTACGTATGAACTAGGTGAGGTGGACATATTTGTAATTGTGAGGCAGAAAAGGTCTTCGAAACGTGTGAGCAATTTAGTTAGGAAATATATTCAATTATCAAATCACGGCTCTTTCATATTGACTAAAGTAGTTTCACTTATCAGATTGATTGGTAATACTTATTCTGCACAATATTTGAACCATTATACTCGTGTATCTCTATATTTGCATAACTTACTTCCCAGGTACATTTTCGATATTAAATTGTTAAGTCGACTAAATATATCTCTTAATCTCTGCTGTATTTTCAGTTCATCATAACAATTAATACATACATTTATATATATCCGAGTTTGAACTACGCCTTTTCGTGCTAGTGTAAGGGCGATTGATACTATTGGTTGAATGACGAGGACTTGAACCAACTGTCAGCCATCTCTTCATATACTGTTACTTTGGACCATTCTAGTTAGTAGTAGTTTGTGGAGATCGTTAAATTTTGCAGTTTACATCGTCGACTGACTTAAGACAGTTATTGAAAACCAAGAAGCACTGGCAGTTGTTTCTTTCTAGTGAGAGATTCTTCAATATGGGCCGTTGACGACAGTACTGAAGATTGAGCTCATAAACGCTCAGTTTTCACTACGAGAGCTAAGCAATAATTTGTAATATTGTGCATCTGTCTCCCAATCTTATTAGTAGGTAACCTTTCTTACAGTTGGTGGGATTGAATTTCATTAGTCACAACTCCTTTTCAGTTGTCAAACTTAAATTAATCTATGATGGTAGCTGTACTCTTTTACATAGCATAACCAATAATTTGTTCAAATCAGTAAACTAAATAAGAAGGATTTTAAATATAGCAGTCGAATAAATTTTTTTCAGAAATCTTTTATTGCAAATTGTTTTGTTTGAATTTTCTTTACTTGTCAGATGAAGCAGCTCTTGTGAAAGCTGCACGTACTATGGGTTATGTGTTCACTACTCGAACGCCGACAGAAGTTATTGTTAAAATTGTGAGTATTTTGTGTGTACAATTTGTGGTGGTCTTTTTTTTACTGACTTTTCTATTCAAGTTCTATCAGTCATTCGGTCAGTACTAACACAATATAGAACTTAATACATGTGTGCATCAGTCCAAGTCGTCACACTACTTCAGCATATGCCAGAGTAGTAGTATATGTAGTAACAATATCAACTTCAGGAAGAAAAACCGAGTTCTGTAGGTGTTATGTACTTTGGTCTGTCTACCAACTTTTGTTGCTGAAGCTACTTATCTAATTCAGATTAAGACCTTGGCGCGATAGGCTGACTGACCTAACCTTGAGGCTGGTACGCGTGAGTTCGAGTGGGGTAGAGAGAAGAAAACTATTCTATCACCTGGTTGGCTGACAAGCACGTGAATGAGAGAAGACAAGACAACTGGAACACTACTCGATCTATTCCCGATATCCTGATTTCAGTTCAGTTCGGATTAGTGTAAAAAGGTACATGAATAAATAAGTGAATAACCCGACCACAACGTTAGGGAAAATACAATTATATTCAAAGCTAGGAATTTGAGTAGAAAATAGGGTGCAAAATATTATGTTTAAATTACGATAGCTTCGGAACAGAAAAGGGTATGGCAATGAATCATACATCGAACGAAAGCTTATGTTCTGTAGAACAGATTAGGGACAAAAATAAACGTCAGTGTTTTACAAGCTTTGAATAAAATGGAATAGCGACCCGAAAAACAGCTTTCGTAGTTTGTCAGGGCTTCTTGTTTCCCTGTTCACATCAGTAAGTAAAATATTAAACTCGAGATTTAGAATAGAACGAAGAGTGGAAGTATCAGCGACTTTGTAATTGATTTTGACTTATTTACTCCAACATCTCGAATCATTAGGTTCGTTAACCTCCCATGTCTCAACCAGGTATTCCTCACCTACACATACAGTTCAGGTCAAATTGGACTTCACAGGCTGGTTGTACATCTTGGTCTAGCTGCTACTAAATTTTTCAACGTACTCGTATACTACAAAACAATGTATGCTGAGGTAGGCGATGGTTGTGCGTACGCAATGTGTGTTCCAACCTACTCCTCAGTCAATGAAGATTCAAGTCATTTTAATGTTATTCATAAGTGTTGTTTAGTAAAAGTGTGGTTTTTCAATATATTTAGACGGTCAATAGTTGTAAGAGAAAGAGTAGTATATTTGCGAACAACTTCAAGACTTGGAGTAGTTGCTTAGCAATTCAACCTTTCACGCTCTACAATAATAACAGAACAATGAAAGGACCATCGAAGAAGAAATGGTTGTTAGTCAAAAAACGTTCATATCGATAAGTTGGTGAGTTCAGACGTATCATTGTGCCTCCTAGCTCAAGGCCGAATTGTCAGTGAAAAGATGTGCGCTATCATTTAGACTTTATTCATTTCACCATGGTTTGGCTGCAAATCTATATATCTATGTGGTGTTGTTACAGGATGAATATTTGAAATGTCGGATCTTTTGGGATTATTTTTACGGATTGTCATTATCTATATTTCTATTGTATAATTAGTAACTGTTTTGTCGTTATCCCCATTGTAAGATTCGAGTGGATCTATCAATCATTGTTACACATTTTATTATCCCTGCGGTTTTGCTAATTAATTACCTACTGTTTTTTCCGCTTTTTGCCACTTATGCCTTGATCGTGTTTTAAGTATGATTTCCCATGCCGTGTATTATGTGGTCAGACATTTCATGCACATTTTTGTATGAGTTTTAAGTCACGATTTAATTAAGTACAATAGAGAACTGATCTACATTTCTTCCTTGTCTTCCGATTGGCTACTGGGTTTGAAGGAGCTTGAGGACCAATAAGCGTCGACGTATCGTCTGCTTTTGACTGGTCAATTGGTTAATAGGTCACCGGTCCAACTGCACATATGCAATTAAACTAATCGATAATCGGAATTTCGATTAAGTAGTATAATGCGTGGCATCGACTGGTGATTCCAAGTGATAACATATTCCCAATGTTTTATGTTCTATTAGATTTAATTGTCACTTGCACCCTCCTATTCTTCCTCAATATTTTCACACTTGCGCAGTAGGTTGGCTCTCACGTAGGAAGCGTCTGTTATCGGTCTCTGTTTGAATGATATTAAAACGTTGCATAATGCAGGCAATCCACCAATCTACTTTGTGTCGGTAATAGTCAGTCATATACCACGTAGGACCCGATTCATATTTGCATTGGCTCTAGCTACCACGTCACATTAGCACAATAATATAATAGTATCAAGACAAGTCCCAAAGTATTAGATGTCGTAACACTGTCAATAATAATAAAACATTAGGTGTAGAATATAGGAAAAGTAGATCTCGGTGTTAAGAGACAAAGGAAGTGCGAATAGTGAATGCACCTGTGACATCCAACGATATTCATGAAAGTATTGCATATTCACAGGTGCTGTCGTTATTGATTTTCCATCATCTTTTTACAATCTAATGTGCGTGTTAGCTTAACGACAATATTCACTAAAATAGTTACATAATACTTAATCAATCCTCTGAAAATCTTTTTTAAGTCTAAACAGTTTTACCTTTCTTTCACAACTATTGTATGATAAAGTTGCAAATTCTTCAAAGTAGATATCATTAGTGTTCAAGATGTTTTCAAAACTTTTTGTTTACCTATTTATCACTCATAAATTATTTTTATTCTTCAGAATTCTATTATTATCCGATTGTGTACAGTCTAGTTCATTATTCTGTTGTCGTAGTTATTTGTCGTAATACGGTAAACTAATTAGACTCGGATGTTTTTCATGCTTCTGTAAATATTTCTTTTAAACACTAAATGGTACCATCTTCTAAAGCTTATAAAAATGCACTAACTTTGTAATTAATTAACTAATTCAATAGAAAAAATTTATATACATTGAGGGACTGAAAATTTTTGCAGCATACAAAAAATATGCTGACTGTCGAATGCATAAGCAGTGACACCACTGAAGAGATAGAAGAATATATATATATATATATATATATATATATATATATATTAGATATTTCTTTCTTTGTCTTTACTTTCAAGTTAGTTGACTTGTACGTAGTAGGTCAAAATAAACTAAAATCAAGCATAACATCAGTCTATAAACGCATTAACAGTTGTTTTGATCTAAACCATTTTGGCAGGTGCAGACACAATCTGATTGAAGTTCGCATGATTATTGTGGATAATGAGTAAATATAGTAGGTGATATGGTGCACATGTATTCACATTTCTCTAGATCTGGAGTTTTACTACTGTTTCACCATCTTTTATTTCATAAATTCATTTTATCTACTTGAATCATATTCTTTCTCTAATCGTGTTTTCGTTTATCATCACTGAAACACACAACCGTCATTTAGATAATTGCATGTTACTATAACGATGTACTGTGACGACTTGTGTCGATGAACATATCCTCTGTACTCTCTACGTTGATTTCAATTAACTTGATTGATCGAATTTTCAGGGTTTAGAGTAACCTATTGTAAAACGCTATTATACTTTATCACTGTCAATTTGTAAAGAGTTAGACTGAGTAGAACTGATTGTCGTCAGGTTGACAATCTGCCTTTCTGTTTTACATATAAAGAGGGAAAGGAACCAATTAAAAGTAAACTGAACACTTACTTTTTTATATATATTTGATTATTTTTTTTTATTGGTTTCATTAAAACAAGCATTTTACAGAAATTTGAAGGACAAAAGGAATAAGGTTATCGTTGTTTCTTCTTCTTCTTATCATTATTCAAGCACATAAACATTGGTACAAGGAGGCACCAAATAGATATGCCCTACATAAATCATTTGATTTATGTGAGGGCTGGAATACTGCCCAGGTGCTCAAACCAAAGCAGGTGCTTTTCTTAGGGGGCCCCACCTGGAGCCTTCAACCTAAAGGCCTGATCCACAAGGCAGTGGAGCAACGCTAGAAGATGCAGACCAATGGTTACCAACGACCAACAATTGTTTCATATGCCATTTGTTCCCTCAGGATCTTGGAGCCTCATGTGCACCACTGGTTTAAGAACCAGGGTTTTCCAACTCTTCTAGGTGGGCTCTCCGCGTCCACCAACCTAGTAAAGCGCCTTTAGAATGTTGGACTATTGACGTAAAGCATCTTATGTCACTGTGATATGATATTCTTCGAATGAATGTATTATGTTCGGAGGATGATACTCTTTTTGGAGTCCTAGGGTTGGGATAATAGAGTTGTAATGTTAATGTTTCAAAATTCTAGATTTTTTTAATTTTACCGTTTTCCTTTCTGAAATATCTTTTTTCATTTACAAAAGCTAAATCGTGGTTGACTGTTATTTGATTAATTTAGTTCTACTCTTTTATATATAGTATTATTATGTAGATTTTAGTCATTTTGAAAATACATGTGAATATCAAGATATACGACCGAAATACTATTATATCATGAGAGACTGCTCTGGTCTAATCCTAAATGCCGCAGAATGGAAGCAAAAACGTTTACCATCCTGTATATACATATTGAACTAGTTATTGGTTTCTTTAACTCAGCTTGGTTAATGATATGTTAGGGTTCTAATTGTTAAGTAGACACCTAGATTCATTGTGAGTATAAATACACTACGATGCGGGGAGTGATGTATTTACCTGAAAAAGCCCTAGATTAAAAGAAACCTATAACTAGACACATTTCAAAAATCTCATGAACATATATGAAGCCAATAAATATGTTTCCTCGTTTAATAGATTCATTTATATAGTTTATATTTTCTCTTTTTAAATAAAATGATTTAGCGCGGTGTCGAGAAACGTTATGGAATATTACATGTACTTGATTTTACCAGTTTTCGTAAGCGTATGGGTGTTGTAGTTCGTGAACCTAACGGACGTATTTCCGTAATGGTCAAAGGAGCGGTAAGAGTGTTTTTATGTGTCTTCTCTAATTAAGAAAAACTAATTATACTATGTCTTATTTAGGTTTACTTGCAATGTATTTATTCTCAATCACAGATATGTGACATCCTAAAACTGTAATCAACTGACAATGCTTGAATATGCATTAAATATGTGTATGCTCGGACACTTCGTAATTCAATATGAAGTAGTAGTTAAAAGTCGTGTAGTAGGAAGGTGACTAAGTCAACAAGTTTGATAAGTTCATATGACCATGAATTGTTGACTGCTGTATCGAAATGATGAAAACATTCTGGTCTATAATGGTAATGTGTATCTTCAGATCGATCAAATATCGACAACCTATGCCTACATGAAATTTGAAATAATTCTTTTTTATATAGCTCACTTTATTGTCTTAATCGTAGCCTGCTACTTTGGTGTAGTGATCGGGGTTGAGTACCGTAATTACTCAATCGAGCTTTATCGGCTGAAGCACTTGTTGCCTTAGGTCCTGTGATATCAGAGAAGCTAAATGAAAAACGGTACAACGAGGATCGACAATTTTGTGATTGGGGTCTGCTGTGGAGTTCTATTTTGCGAATAATCGGCTTTCTTGTGCTTCCTGACTTTTAGTGGATGACTACTTACTCCTAATGGAGCATAGGCCGACGAGCAGCATTCTCTAACATCCAATCCGTACTCAGCAATATTGAAATCTCTCGACAAACAAAGAAATTAGAAGCTGAACGACAGTTTTCTAATTTAAATAATCATAATGATTTATCAACAGCTAATCACAGGAAGAAACTTAGTATTAAATCTAATGTTCTTATTTTATTAAATGTCGTTGGTCAAATTATGAGACACTCAGCAGAGCTATAAGAGCTGCTTAGCAGCACAGTTGCACTTTCATTCACTAAACGTAACCAGGATGAACGTGTAACCAGCATTTTAAGCACATATATTTTAGTAATATTCTCTTATTTCAGTCTTATGGATTAATAGTAAAATTTGACAGAAACATATACTCGATATACGAAGCTGGGATGGTTCTTAGTACACGCCTAACAGTGTAATAATAATGAAAGCGACAGTCGTTTTAAAGTGGTGGTTGGAGGTAGTCGACAGAAAACCCTTCTTCACCTAGGTTTTGTGCTAATTGATACTCGTCAGTGTATTCATGAGTTAACTTATGTTGCCGTATCACTCAGCTTTACAATCAGAGATGTTACCACTGACTTATTCAGACCATGATTGACCTCCTGTAGGACTGAGATTTATTTGCAACTGACTGGCCACTGAATAGATACCAATGTCATGTATGTCAAGTCCTTCCTAGTGCTAGTCGAATCTTGTCAATCAAGTTGCAATTCGAACTATAGTCCAAGTGACTCTACCTCACATGAGTTGTGTTGATATTTAAGGTTGGTGGAATCAACAGTTCCCTTAAGATGAAACGCAAATGTTACCGACGTTTATCGAAAAGCACAAAACCTAGGTCAAGAAGGATTTCCTGTCGACTTTCTCCAACCAACTTTGTGTACGTTTACGAACTATTCAAGGATCGGACTCAGTACGTTCCGGCCTTACACCGGTCAGTTCCACTTTACTGAAATTGTTAATTCAACAAAATTGTATCTCTATTTGATAGGAACCCGTCAACATGTAAAGAAAAGGTTTTTATTGATAGGCAGTAGCTCAGTATTATTCAATTCTTTTTAAAAAGAGCCAGAACAACGATTCTAGCAGAATAACATGAATTCTTCAGGGTAATAATCAAGATCAAAAATATCAAAGAAATATATAGCGTGTACCTGTCAAAGCAGATACACTGGTCGAACAGAAAGGAGGAGGGCATATCTTAGATTTTTTAAGATGTTCCAAAAAGCCTCACATCAAGAGAAAGAAAGACTCTTAACAATTCAATCACCTAACATCTCCTTAATACAGGACATCAAGTCGATACCTTGCAATCCCTCAAGGTGATTAGTAAGCAGCCAAACTTCAGTCTTCTGAAGCCGTCACTGTCTAGCGTCAAAAACCTGGTTTATGTGTTCAAACAGTGATGGTTATAAATCTTTCCTTTATTGGATCTTGAAACATTAAAAAAAAGACGTTTTCTTGTACTTACTACATCACTGAGGTATTTTTTCATTTCAACTCTCTTCCAAAATAGTAATCTTATTTTATTAACTGACCTTTACTCAATTTGTTCCAATCATAGTTTACGCATTGCGTAATCACTTATATTCCGGCAGTTTGAACTCTTGTCAAAATCAATGCTGTGGAAAGTTCTTTTACAAAAGATATATGTTTACAGTATTCGGTTTATTGAATTTATTCACACCCTTGCTATATAATACTAATGTGTCTACAACGTAACTTCCAAATGAACTGTTTCACATAGGAAATTTAAACCAATTTCGTAATTATGTTTTAGATATTCTAGGTTGTAAGCAGCTGTCCGGCTGCAGTTTTCACAAACTCGCTTGCTCGATAGACAGAATAAATACAACATAGCAAGTAGATAACTTCTAATCACAGTTCAATTTTATGACGCAACTCAGACGACGTATGCCTGAACACTTATTACCACGAAGCGCAATGTTGACTAGTGTTGGGGTTGGTTGGGAGAAAGTTAGGGGCGGCCAAACCAGAACGTGGCATCACTCCATAAAGTCACTAACTTTTGATCTGAGCCATATTGGCAGTTGCAGACTACTTGGTTCGGATCCGCGCCACCATTGTAACCAATGGTTGGAGATTCTGGGTGACACGGCTTAGAATCGACCACAATGGCGTAGATGCATACACTCCTCTGTCTTTCCTTAAACTGTGAGATTAAAATTATTTTATATCTTCCTTTCTACGAACTGGCTCTTGCTCCTTGTATCATATCTTTATATGAAATCCTTTTTTAGTACCATTGAAGTAACTGCTTCTATGAATTTGCTATTCGTCTTACTGTGCTACTGAGGTCTGGCAACTTCGACCGATGCATATATGTCCCTAGTCCTACGTTGTAGCTGTCTGGCTGAACAGATACAGTTAATAAATATCATATGTGACCTTCAACTGCTTAAGTCGATTTATATGTACTTGTAAAATACATGTACGTTGGATGGTTAGAAAGATGGGTATCAATAAGTTTTGTTGAACATATCTCAAAGAACCTGTGACTCCGAGGACTAAGTTCTGCTTAGTTAATTATACAGCACTACATATAATGGAGGTCGTTACATAAAGTAGATGCAATGAACGTATTCAAAATAATCGAAAAATAACTCAATTTAACACTGCTAAGATTTTTTGACGTCACAACAATTGTGGCTGCCAAGATGAAACTAAAGTCCAAGTAGCACTGTGCAACTGAAGAAACAGCATTACTAAGGTTTAATAGAGTCTTCCTTCAAGATACTGACAAGCACGACGAATTCAAGATCGCCCTCAGCAGCAGGTTCTAAACCTTACAAGATCTACTCAAACATGAAAATACTATGGAGGAAAACTGGAAAGGGATCATAGAATAACTAGCTTAAACGTGTCGGAAGGTTCTGGGCCTGAAGAAGCATCATCATAACGAATGGATCTCCATTGAAACCCTGGGCAGAATTCAAGCAAGGAAACCAAGAAGACAGCAGTCGAACAAGAGCAGAGAAAGCCAAGGTGCAGATCTAATACACGGAAGTAAACAAGCAAGTGAAGAAGAACATTAAGGCCGACAAGCGAAAATACGTGCAAGACATAGCAATGACAGCAGTAAAAGCTGCAAGAGAAAGAAATATGAGAAAACTATGTGACACAACGAAACAGCTGGCAGAAAAATAAGATAAGTTAGAGAGACCAGTTAAAGACAAAGAAGACAAGGCAATCACTGAGGTTCAGGAAAAGAGGAAAAGATAGATAGAACTTTTCGAAGAACTCACCGGACATCGGAGCAACAACACACAGACATTCGTATAGATATCACTCCACCAAAGACCAAAGAAATCAGCATGGTCATCAGACAAACCAAGAGTGGGAAAGCAGCACGACCTGACAGTATACCAGCTGAAGCACTGAAGTCAGGCATAGAAGTGACTGAAAACATGCTCCCCATTCTATGAAGGACGATTTGGGAGGAAGAACAAGTGCCTCGGACTGGGAAGAAGGACACGTCATCTAGATACCTCTACGATTATAATGTTCATATTGTGTCTCTTAATGATCTTTCACTTCAGACACTGAACACGTTATCTATTGTGCTATTGAGTCTAGGTAGTCACTAACATCTTTAACGGATATAATGTTTATATGATTTGACAAATAGGTCTGAGTTATGCCAACAAGGACTGGTCGTAATTTAGTATTGAATATCAACAGTAGAGTAAGTAAAATGGTTGCTAAATAAACGACATGAACGTTGAAATCAGTTTTCCTTTCACTGTCACTTTACGTTTCAAAATGTTTGTAATTGTTTTTGTTGGTTTTACGTACAGGATACTGTTATATTTGAACGGTTGGCTTGCACTAGTCTATTTACTCAATCAACTATGGATCATCTTGAGAATTTCGCTAAAACTGGTAATTTGTTTTGTTCTTGTTATACGCGTTAATTACTTTATGTTTTCTGATAACCTATCCATCTATCCGCCGAATTTATCGTTATATTTCATTGTGATTCACCAAGTACATAGATTCATCTGTTGTAGCTAAGTGTTTAAGCCATGTCTAAGACGTGACAACTGTGGATACTACTGTTGAAGCCAGACTAGTCAATCCGAAGTAAGTAGAGGAGTATCGCGGTTCGGATCTGAGAAGTATTAAATTGATCGATAAGAAGTCTAGTGCTTTAATCACTGAACCCTCTGTTTCACAGTTAAAAGTACTATCATGTTTCAGAAAAGAAAATCAAATTGTGAAACAAAAAGTACAAGATAATTTTGATGCTCAAGATCTCCGAAAAATGGAGAATGAATTCAACTACACGATTGCAATTGATTTTTAACCGTACCACTGGACATCAACCACTGTTTACAATAAGGACACAGCTCAACACACTAGTTAACATCTAATAGCAAAAAATCAGTTATTAATTATTAACGGATTTATGCAATATTATATTTTAGTACAATAGAGACTTCTCAACGAGTTTAATAGTCAATAGATTTATGGACTAGCTTCTTCTTTTCTGTTTGTCTCCTTCTACATTTTCTCAACTTACTCCTACACCGGCAAACATGTGTCAAGTTATGTAGTCGTTGGACATACGCGACTCATACTCATAACATACCTTCATTTATTAGACCTATTGTATTTTGACACAATTGTTGATGTCCTGTTCCTTGTTTTTGTCATATTAATCATCGGTGTGTGTGTCCGTGTCTCATAGGATCCCTGCACTGCTTCTGGTCAATAGATTGTCAGTACCCATAGTACTCTCTCTACTAAGATCTGTAAGATTGTGTAACTATTAATAATATTGATTCTTAAAGTGATTCCAACGTACAATATATATTATACTTTTCACTGTCAAATTATGTATTTTGATTTTTATATTTCAGGTCTACGAACATTATGCATTGCATGGACTGAAGTTGACCCAGCATTTTATAATAAATGGGTAGGAAATTTTTACAAAGCTAGCACAGCATTAAACGATCGTGAAGCTAAGCTAGAATCGGTTGCCAATGAAATTGAACAAGTTAGTTAATCTGCTGCTCTCCATGTTTCTTTATCTGCCATCTGCTTTATTTTACTCTCTTTCTTGAATATATATATATATATATATATATATATATATATATATATATATATATTCCGTCAATCACATGGCATTATATCACTAGCATTCACGTTTATAACGTTTTTTTAAGTGAAGTTAATAAATGTTTACCTGGTCAGTGATTTGTCAAGTATATGGTTGTATAATCGATTTAAATTGACGCTTCATGTGATTTCTCGTGATACTACCCGATTGTCTTTAATCGAAATCAATGAAGAGGGTATGTAGTCCTCTCTCTATCTCTCTCTCTCTACCGGAATTGGTACTTAGCCGTGTGTTTGTCCATGATATTTATCGCTTCTACATTTTAATCATATTTCTTTTTTTAAATAGAACTTACGTGTTTCTGCTCTTTTCCTCTCATCTAAAAGAATCTTCAACTTCTTGGAGCAACTGCCATTGAAGATAGATTACAAACGGGCGTACCACATACTATAGCTAATTTAATGAGAGCTGGTATTTCTATTTGGGTTCTGACTGGAGATAAACAAGAAACAGCTATCAATATTGGTGAGTACTTTTTTATTGTGTGTGTAAGTTTTCATCGTGTGTCTTTTGTTTGTAGATCAGTTAGTTCGCCTTGGAACATTAACTTCTAATTATAGAGTTTAAAAATTTTTTGTTATTGTTGAGCATTGATGTGATGGACATGCGAGTTGTTTTAGTGATGAAAGATTATTATGACGGGTCTATCTGAGTTGATGACAAGTAAAATGGTTGATTTGACCTTAGTTGATAATTTGTTCTTGATGACGTAGGAACCTAACCATACACTTCAAAGGAGACAACCACTTAAAGCTGGTCACATACAGCCTTTTAGCGAGTAGTTTTTTGTGTGCTTATGTGCTCGAAACTCTACACGACTGTAGAAGCAAATACATGGGACACGGCGGAATATGCCATTTTTAGGTTCGATGTTTTATAACCCCTACCGACCTACCTAGTATATTGAAACCTAAGGAGCTAATATAGCTCAATTATGTCATGACGATACACATACCTAATCGCCATGTCAAGGTAACAGTTATGATTGGACGAGCACTTAGTAGCTTTATAAAATAGAACCACTAGCTAACGTTCTGAATGCAAAGATGGAGGACATTAGGAAATTTATACCACCATTTATGTGCAAAGTATTTAACCGAAATCGAGTATCTATTACATGGTTCACTTGAAAGTCCACAAATAAATAATCAAAGATAAAAATGAGAAAAACTTTGTGGAGTAATAACCAAAATCATTTCGTCATTGTCCGTTTCAAATTGCTAGCCCTGAAAGAAAATTGTTAGTCGATTAATCAATTGAATGGCTCGTCTTATTAATATTACGAATAGTAGTTAATCATAACAACAGTAGCATTAATCATGGTAGTAATAATACTACTAATCCATTTAAGCGATCAACTTCTTCATTATAAGCTATCACCGCCACCCACAACCGTGTATATTTCCTACTTTATTATTATTATTTTCCCAAATAGGCTATTCTTGTCAGTTGTTAACACAATCTATAAGCTTACTAACTATGAATACCAAGTCGTTAGATCAAACACGTGAGCAATTGGTGAATTTAATTGAAGATTTCGGTGATCGAATACGGATGGAGAATGATTTTGCTTTAATCGTTGATGGTGAAGTGAGTGTTCCATTAACTTTTTCGCTCATAGAAATATATTAATGTATGTATTGTTAATTAATTTAACGATTATTATTATTACTCGATCATCATACTGAATAGTAAATCTATCAAATGAAGTAGCGATCTGAGGGTGTACCTACATATCTGAATAGTGAAAGTCACATAAGTCAATTATTCTTACTTAAGAATTATCATGAGGTGAACCCCTTCTCGAAGTCGTAAATCAAAATGGCAGGAGAAAACAGAAGGGTTTACTGAAGTAAATGTCGAAACGTACAGAAAAAAGTTGTTTTTATAGGTTTTGGTATGGTCTGTAAGCATCATTATAATCCACCCAATCCACACACGAGAATTTTATACAGTTTTCTTATAACAGCATACCTTTTCGATATTCTAGACTGTGACTAGATAGAATCACTTCGGCTCCTTCAAAGCATCTATAGGCTACATCGCGCTTTCTTGATACCGTCCGAACACCTCCACTTTTTGGAGTTTACAGAATTCGGTTTCCTGCTGAGGTTCACTTGTAACCTCACTATATTTCGTTGAATATTCACTTGTTGTGGTGGTTGAGTTATTTTGACCTTGTGTTTCTTTCTGTTTCCTTGCTCATTAGTGCTTCTTTGAAAAGTGTTCATCAGTGTGTCAAATGAAAGTCCGTCTTGTATGATAACTGTCCTTTCATCCCTGCGCATCTGATTTACATGTCTTCTGTACGTGCTACCACTTCCCCGAACCAATACTACACTTTACCGATTCTTCATTCGGTTATTCCAGCTTCCTGTTTGTTTTTACATTGAATGATCTAATTAGTACCCTTTCTCCCATATGAAAGTTGCGCGTAGGCTCGTTTTTAGATCTGTCTATTCGTCTGGGTAGCAACATGCTGTTGAAAATAGTTTGAATTTTTCTCCTGAGCATGCACTCAGTTGGAGAACCTCTCTTCCAACATGGAAGGACTAGGAGTACCTCGATAAGATGCTACCTGCGTCGGTATTTCGTTACCTCTTCCCTTTATCTGACACATTTCAAATGTATCTACAAACTTTTCAGCTTGCCCGTTGGACTGTGTGTGCAATGGTGGCGGTGATAAATGTATAATGCCCTTTCCGTTATAAAACTGCTCAAATGTCAACGATATCAATTATGTACCATAAGATCTCCGGAACCTTGAAAAGGATGAACTAGCCCGATGGTGTTGCTTCCACTGTCAGGTTTGGCATAGCACAAACGTCCGATCAGTTGGTAAAGGCGTCCACGATGACCAAATAATTTTTGTCGTATATAGAGTCAGCGAAATCAGCATACATTTTTTGTTAGGAATTATCCGGTTTCGGTCAAGGTAGTAATTTACATTTTGCAGGGTTTTTAGCGGTTTGTAGGCATTGACTGCCGATATGCATAGCTTCGTGTTACTAACTTTAATTATTCCCGAAATACTATTGTAAAACTGTTTCGAGAATTGACGCTGGAGGATTCCTGGTATTACGATGCAGTGACCAGTCATGACGCATAATTCAATTATTATTATTGAACCTCGCCGCTGACAATACTGTAGTAGTTTCCTGTGGAACTTGGATGTTGGCTATTTAGTCAGGAGATCACTCTGTACGTCTTACAAGATACTACTCTTCTCGGTGGATTCTTCGATGGCTTGAAATCACATCCGTTAATGCTCTATAAACTTCAGCTTCACCTTCTACAGCTGCCACCCTCTGGTTTTGAATGGGGTTAATCTTGACAGAGCCTCCGCTTGTCTAGATTTATTCATTGATCGGTACTTTGTTTTCCAATCGTAGCCCAACTGTGTGGTTCAACAACCTTGCAGACTCTTTGGAGTATGTACTGGGATGGCCTTCTTAGATATGAGAACTTCGGTTAGTGGTTTGTGGCTTGTTTAAGTCGTGAACTGATGACAAGGCAACATTTTGTGACACTTTTACATGGCAAAAATAATTGTTAGTGCTCCTTTTTCTCTATTTCATTATGACTTCTTTCTGTCACTGTCAGCGACTTTATGGCACGAGCAGTATCTTTCTCTGATTTAGTAGGCGTATGAAATAACTTATGCTGGTCTCTTAGCTTGAAGCATCGGAAGCAACCACATTTGGTAGGACTGGATTGTTATACATAAAGGGAAAGTCTGACATCTGTTTTATTCTCATGAAGACTATTTGACAATCGATCGACTAATTCCATCTGCTATTCTTTATCAGTAGATGATTTAGTGGTGCACGTAGGTGAGGGAGGTCTAGGAAAGAAGATTCCATAGTGTCTGACTTCCCAAGAAAGATCAGTCAGATTAGACATGATTTTAAGAGTGTCGATGTTTTCAGTATCTGATCTTCGGTTTTTATCCATTATAAAGCCCAGATAATGTACTTCTTCGATTCGGAATTCGCACCTCTCAGCACGTAACTGGAATCCGATTTTATGTGTGTGAACACCATATCCATCTTTTGGTCTGTCTATATAATAAGTATATCGTCCAGCTAGGCCTCGATGCCGCGTGTTTTTTGTAGCATAGTGTTCATGACGTGTTGAAACGTAGATGACGGTTTCTTTACTCTATAAGATAGTCGATTATACCGCAATAGTCGTTTACGGACGTTCATGGTCAGGTAGTGTTTAGTCTTCGACCACTAGGATCTGCAACATGCCTCTTATAAGTCTAACTTTGCAAATTAATTCCCCCCATTCAGCTTCGGGTAAGGTTAGTGCAGACGAGTGGGCTTCTAGTGCTTCATTCAAGTATTCGGCACATAATCAGATGATTCCATTAGGCTTCATGACAATTACAATCGTTGCTGCTCATTTATAAAAATTTACTGGTTCATTAATTCCACTTTTCTGAAAAAGTCTAATTCCTGTTCAACGATAGACAGAGAAGCATAGCGTTCTGGTCCATTTCATCGATAAACGAGTGTTGCTTGTTTATATAAATAATTTTTTTTATTATTTATTTTATTTCGAATGCATTACGCATTAACACTTTCAGACACTAGAGTTTGCGTTATTATGTGAATGCAGAGAACAGTTTTTGGACGTTGCTTTATCCTGTAAATCGGTTATATGTTGCAGGCAAGTGATCATAATCATAAATCGTAATTATAATAATAGTTTTTAAAATGAAAACCATCATTCAACTCATAACAGCTTGGGAATGTGAAAACATTTCAAATGAATAGCCATGGAAAGTGGTGCCCAAAATAACTAGAAATATAATCTCCAGATCAACTATTCCCGGATATAACGTTGCTCTATTTAAGATAATAAAGGGAACTATGTGTATGAAATTTCATAAATTAGTGCTGTCTTATAGCAATGAGTAGATTACTAACCGCAAAGCTTAGCATTTTCGTAGATTTTAAATAGACATTGTCATGCAACACTCAGAAACCTGCTATCACGAAAAGACTTATGGTTTCTAATAAACAGATGAAGTCGAAAAGTCTTGGTACAACAGCTTATTTTCAAGAACACCTAAAAGGTCATTGTTTGCAGAGCCAGTTTATTCCTTTTCGTCGCCTATCTAACTCATGTACTTGATATGTGCTTGATTTCGAATTCTTAACACGATACGTTCGTTCATGCTAACCTAGTTCTGTTTAGCTTAAATTGCACTGTTTCGGGAATGCCGAGTTAATACAACAATTCGAATACTTCTAATCATCACAAAACCCCTCCATTAACAAACCTGTAGTTTATTCCTCTCGACTCCTTTAGCTGCATGTTCTGTTAGAATTTTTTACGCTAGCTAAGACTGCATTACTTAGTTTTGTTTTACACACGTTTCGCTGAGTTTCTCTGTTCTTCGTGAACTGCATCTACGATGTTTGCTTTTGACAGCAACCATATTGATTCGTTCCGCATTTAGCTTATGTAGCTTGAGCTGAATGCAATTGTGCATTTTTTGATTGTGAATGACAACACACTTCCAGAACTGGGATATCCAGGGTTATAGTGAGTAGCTAAATATATCAGACCACCAATAAAGACATGGAAGCACTGTACAGTTGTTTCGTTGTAGTATGGGACCCCACATCAGTGGTCGCCCACGATCCGGCATGCGGGACTCAGACACATGAACTTCGGTCCTGCGCGAACACCTAACTTCTAGACCACTGAACAGGGGTCCAACTTCAACCAATTCACGATATTTCGCTCCCATCAAACGTGTAGTCATAGTAGTGTAGTAGTGGTGTAGTGTAGTAGTAGAAACTTCTAGATGTATTTTAAATTTAACAACGAAAATTGTAGTCGTTCATTGAGTTAAGATTTATCCACCCTAGTTTATCATCTCATTATGTAAACGTAATTAACATTATATATATATATATATATATATATATATATATATATATATATATATATATATATATGGTTGATCTATCAATCCTTGGACTAGACAACAAAACACACACAAATCTACCTTTTAGACCTTACATTTCTGTTATGTTGCTGTTGATAAAATGTATTTAAAACACCATTGTATCTCTAAAACCATTTCATATTATTTTATTTTTAAAACATATTTTATTGTAGAGTTAGTCCATGGCAAAAAGCACAGTTGGTAAAATTAGTCCGTCAATCAATTAAAGATGCAGTCACTCTGGCTATAGGCGATGGAGCGAATGATGTTGGAATGATACAAGTAAGTTTTGTGATAGTAGTACATTGGCCCTTAGTTTATATTATACCTTATGACTCACTGACCAATATAACGAATTTATTCATTAGTCAGTATCTTACTTATAAATTGGTCTGTTATCTACTCCATAGCATAGTGAATAGTTTAGTTATTTAACAATTATGCCATGAAAATATGCGCATATTATTAGTCCATAAATGGATCACAAAAGTTACCATTCATTATGCTTATCGGGGCATAACAAATAGTTACTTACATACTTACACATGTTACCTAAACGTTTTTGCTGATAGTTATAGTGGTTGTCCAGATTTAAGCTCCGTACTGTAGAACTGACTTGATATTCGTATTGAAGATGCTGACTTTGATGTTTGTTGAGTTGTTTTGAGTTCCATATGTTCTTCAACCGTATGAAGACTGTTCTTGCTTTGCCGATCCTTGCCTTCACATCAGCATCAGATCTTCCTTGTTCATCCATGATGCTGCTCAGATACGTGAAAACTTACACCTCTTCCAGGGCTTCCCCATCAAATATGATTAGGTTAGTGCTCTCTGTGTTATATTTCAGAGTCTTGGTGTGTATGGGATTAGAAGAGCTTGGTGATCTGAGAAGTCTAAATAGTCTAGTTGCACCCAATCTTCCAAATCTTCCTTAATAGAATGGGGAGCATGTTTTCAGTCACTTCTATGCCTGACTTCAGTGCTTCAGCTGGTATACTGTCAGGTCGTGCTGCTTTCCCACTCTTGGTTTGTCTGATGACCATGCTGATTTCTTTGGTCTTTGGTGGAGTGATATCTATACGAATGTCTGTGTGTTGTTGCTCCGATGTCCGGTGAGTTCTTCGAAAAGTTCTATCTATCTTTTCCTCTTTTCCTGAACCTCAGTGATTGCCTTGTCTTCTTTGTCTTTAACTGGTCTCTCTAACTTATCTTATTTTTCTGCCAGCTGTTTCGTTGTGTCACATAGTTTTAAAGCAATTAGTCTCTTTTATAAATTTCGATAGAATAATGAGAAGACGAAGTTGATCTGAAAAATGTGATGTTTTTGAGCTATACATTTTGAACAATCTGGTCACACATATACTTGTCAAGGCATTTTTATATGAAAATCAATAAAGGTCAAACAAATAAAAGTACAATTCCAATAACTAAGGGGAGAGAAAGAAGAAGAAATTGTACCGTTATCCTAGGGCATAGAATGACTTGAAGATTTCCAAGGTAAATCAAGGTTACGACAAATTGTTTTTGTACTAAAACCTTCGGGTTCAGTTCTCCCAATTTTATATGGATTACCTAAAATTCATAAACCTAATATTCCATTACGACCAATTTTGTCTATGCGTGGCTCTCCCACACACGAGCTAACTAAATGGTTAGTAAAACTGTTAAACCCAATTCGCACTAATCTATGTAAGTTCTCTTTAAAAGATACATTTGAACTAATTGACCATCTTGGTGACATTAATATTAAAGATAAATCTTTGCATTCATTTGATGTAAACTCTATCTTCACGAATGTACCGTTAACAAAAACGGTCGATTTCCTTTGTGACTATATTTCTAAAAACTTTCCCGTTTTTCCTATTCCTTTACCATTTTTGAAAGAATTACTTTTATTATGTACAGCTAATGTTCAATTTACGTTTGATAGTGAATATTTTCGACAAGTTGAAAGTGTAACTATGGGTAGCCCTTTGGGGCCTCTCTTAGCTGAGGTATTCATGTCATATGTGGAAAATATGACGAGCGACCTTATTAGTGAGACAACTCTATATAGAAGATATATGGACGATATCCTAATTATATGTGATAAGGATTTTAATGGTTACCGATTATTGGATAAACTCAATGGTGTTCAAAACGATATTGTGATGACACATGATTCAGAAGGTAATGGCTAAGTAGCCTTTCTAGACATACTTTTAAGTCGAAGGGATGATGGCACTATTAGACGGTCAGTGTATAGGAAACCAACTTGGACGGGACAATACTCAAATTTCCATAGTTTCTGTCCATTGCAATACAAGAGAGGTCTGGTTAAGTGCCTCTTTAAGAGGACTGGAAGAATATGTACCTCTGACATGGTGGAAAAAGATGAAAAGTTACTGACTGACACATTAGTAGCAAATGGTTATTCACTCAAGTTTATTAACAGGTGCAAAAGTCAGTTAATGCCAAGACCTCTAATTTATTCATTGCCAATTTACATGTTTGTGTGCACACACATACATAGTCTTCTCATATTTCTTTCTCTTGCAGCTTTTACTGCTGTCATTGCTATGTCTTGCACGTATTTTCGCTTGTCGGCCTTAATGTTCTTCTTCACTTGCTTGTTTACTTCCGTGTATTAGATCTGCACCTTGGCTTTCTCTGCTCTTGTTCGACTGCTGTCTTCTTGGTTTCCTTGCTTGAATTCTGCCCAGGGTTTCAATGGAGATCCATTCGTTATGATGATGCTTCTTCAGGCCCAGAACCTTCCGACACGTTTAAGCTAGTTATTCTATGATCCCTTTCCAGTTTTCCTCCATAGTATTTTCATGTTTGAGTAGATCTTGTAAGGTTTAGAACCTGCTGCTGAGGGCGATCTTGAATTCGTCGTGCTTGTCAGTATCTTGAAGGAAGACTCTATTAAACCTTAGTAATGCTGTTTCTTCAGTTGCACAGTGCTACTTGGACTTTAGTTTCATCTTGGCAGCCACAATTGTTGTGACGTCAAAAAATCTTAGCAGTGTTAAATTGAGTTATTTTTCGATTATTTTGAATACGTTCATTGCATCTACTTTATGTAACGACCTCCATTATATGTAGTGCTGTATAATTAACTAAGCAGAACTTAGTCCTCGGAGTCACAGGTTCTTTGAGATATGTTCAACAAAACTTATTGATACCCATCTTTCTAACCATCCAACGTACATGTATTTTACAAGTACATATAAATCGACTTAAGCAGTTGAAGGTCACATATGATATTTATTAACTGTATCTGTTCAGCCAGACAGCTACAACGTAGGACTAGGGACATATATGCATCGGTCGAAGTTGCCAGACCTCAGTAGCACAGTAAGACGAATAGCAAATTCATAGAAGCAGTTACTTCAATGGTACTAAAAAAGGATTTCATATAAAGATATGATACAAGGAGCAAGAGCCAGTTCGTAGAAAGGAAGATATAAAATAATTTTAATCTCACAGTTTAAGGAAAGACAGAGGAGTGTATGCATCTACGCCATTGTGGTCGATTCTAAGCCGTGTCACCCAGAATCTCCAACCATTGGTTACAATGGTGGCGCGGATCCGAACCAAGTAGTCTGCAACTGCCAATATGGCTCAGATCAAAAGTTAGTGACTTTATGGAGTGATGCCACGTTCTGGTTTGGCCGCCCCTAACTTTCTCCCAACCAACCCCAACACTAGTCAACATTGCGCTTCGTGGTAATAAGTGTTCAGGCATACGTCGTCTGAGTTGCGTCATAAAATTGAACTGTGATTAGAAGTTATCTACTTGCTATGTTGTATTTATTTTGTCTATGGAACGTGCAAGTTTGTGATAACTGTAGCGTGACTAAGAAGTGTTAGATTATCTCGACTTCAACTTAAGGTGAATCTTCGCATTCGCGAAACATATCATCGGTGATGATTTTGGACGCTTGACTAGAAACGACATAGTTCACTTTTGGTGAAGAAATATTATGGAAGTCTTGGTGAATGTGATTAAGTTGTCTCGATCCGACATTGTTCATTCATATTATTTATATTGTAGTGTCAGTCATTATTTTAACACCATAATATAGTTTATTCTAGTTTTTGAACAAAACAATGTACTCATTCCACTTGAGTCATATTTTTACCTTGTCAGTTATTCGCTCATCAGTCTTGACTGTTTTTATATGAGCGTGTATGTGTGTTCACTTCATATCCCATGTCTCATCACGTCTGTAGTTTATTTTGTCTGCTTATAAATATTGAGTAACGCTTGACTAAAATTGAGTTGGCTTACCAGCCATCTCCCCTGCTCATCCTTTTTGCTTTGTTCTATCGCATTCACTTTACATACAAAATATATGTATTCAATTGCCATTCTCGTTAATTGACTTATCTAAATCCGTTATTGACTAACGCGATTCAAGTCGATGGTTATATACGAGGATAGGTGACATTTAATATTAATACGATCTAATTGGAGTCAGATCAACGGGCCACTAAGGTGGAGAGCCTTTTCGACATCATTCTATCTAAACAAGGACAAAACTATGGGCCTCATAAAAATATCAACAATACTTCCCTAGTTAACGACAGTTCGTACATTGAAAAACAATAAATCTTCAGCAAACCTACTGTTTTTTCGGTGATTGCCTAAATTCTCATGTCATTTCATTTCTGATCCTGATATCCGTCTTTATTTTTTGTAGGCAGCTCATGTAGGTGTTGGGATAAGTGGCATGGAAGGCAGACAGGCAGCATGTGCGTCGGATTATGCAATAGCCCAATTTCGTTTCCTAAATAAATTACTATTAGTACATGGTGCATGGAATTATAATCGATTGACTAAATTAATACTTTATTCGTTTTATAAGAATGTTTGCCTTTATTTAATACAATTTTGGTTTGCCATTCTAAGTGGATTTTCTGGTCAAATTGTGTTTGAACGATGGAGTATTGGTTTATATAATGTGGTAAGTGGTTGATAAGCTGTATTGATAATACATTTTTTTTATCTTGTTGGGATTTTTATTTCAAGTAACAGTTTACATGCACCCAGTAAAATTGACGAAAGCAACCAGAGGGTACTGGGCAATGGTTTCGTATGAGGGTAGACCATTCAACAGTGTTAGTCAGACATAAGTTAGATAGAACCGGGTAAATATGTATATCGGTTATATAACACAAATCGAACCAATCTCCCTAAAACACTTTTGACGCGAAAGGTAGAGTGTACAACACAACGGCCTTTTATTATCATGTACTGGAAAATATCAATTGTTATTGTGAATTGATGATGATACGTAAGTATCATACAGATTTCTGAGTTTTCCTAATGATCAATAACATGTGTAAATTTTTTTGAAGCAATGCTAGTATCTTGGCACTAGTCGACAGCTGTTTTTAGTTTCTTTTAAAAAAAAATTCATCTGTTCATTTGAGATGAGCTTTTTGATCAATCCGATCATTTCATGTCTTAAATTGTGTATTGTCGTCCTAAGTATAAAGTAGACTATTGTAGTTTAATTTGTTGGTGAATAAGATAATACTTGGACGCCTTCATTGTCATTGTGGGGAACAACATCTTCAATTCCTACTTCTTACAGAAGTGTGATGTCCAGTTATCCTAAAAGTGCCATATCATTGTGTTTCGTTGCCTTTCGTTCTGATTGGTTGTCTTCATTTGTTGCCTTCTTCAAAAGCCCAAAATATTTAATTTCACAATAAAATTCCTGTTCTATAAGCATATAATTTATAAATAATTAAAATATGTACATTTATCGAAATTCTTCGTTCTGTTGCCATTTATATTCCTCTGTGCATGTTAACGATTAGTTTTATCCCCTCAGTATCTTTTTTCATCATCTAATATATTTGATGTGTGAATTTAATAATAATCGCTTTTCGTTTGTTTTAAAGACAAAGAAAGAAGGAAATATACAAATCATTATGATGGTATTGTTTCTCAATAATTGGATTTGTAATAGGTTGTAAATAAATTTATTAAAAGCGCTTAAATTCATGCGACTAACAAATTTAATTAGTCAATTGAAGCACTCCTAAAACACTACCTATCGCTATTAAGATATGATTTGATAATTTTGAAATGAATTTAGAATTAGGTTGACTGTTAATAATGATTTATTTTGTTGAAACCCAATAAGTAAAAGGTAGCATTTCTGACGTTTCACGATTTAGTTTAAGTCATTTTTTCAAAGAATATAAATAAATAACTAAATTAAATGGACACAATTAACACAAGGGTACTATTTTAAACTCGAGTTAATATAACTCGGCTATTTCTTCGTTCTATATAAAAGTGACTCGAAGTAAATCGTGAAGCGTCCCATATTTTAATTTTTCTACTCATTGGGATATCATAATGTGTAACTCTTAATAGTTGAGATCATGAGTCATTTGAAGCTAGACCACCATAAAAAACCTGGAGGCACTGGACGGTCGTTTCTTCCTATCGTAGGACTCCTCAACAGTGCGCATCCACGATCCCGCCTCGCGCGATACGAACCCAGGACCTATCAGTCTCTCACGCGAGCACTTAATCATTAGACCACTGAGCCGACATCCAATGGCGTCAATGTCTTACTTCAACTAATTCACAAAATTGGGCAACACACCCACTATTGTCTTCAGTGACTAATATCTCACAACAGACCCGGTTTGAACTCCACTGGTCACTGCTTCTCACTAGAATTCCAGGAAATACCTCTTGAAGCCAGTCACTAGTGAGCATATGTTGATTAATATCAGAAGGGGTTTTGTGGATATTATAATTTTAATAGTTGAGATCAGGAGTCAATTGAAACTAGACCACCATGGAAAACTAATGAAAGTCAATAGATGTTTAGAGGAAAAGTTAATGAATAATTTTGAAGATTGTCAGTCTTGCTTTCATGTTCATTATCGTTGTAATGCATGATACCCGAATAAAATGAGTGATCAGTTCTAGTCATTATATATCGCTATCAGTATAATATTATGGGACAGTGGCTTAATGCTTAAAGCCGTTCAACTTCCAATCACCAATTCCTAGGTTCGAGTTCTACCTCTCCGACTTCGGTTTGGTCACGAGGTAGTAGTTTGATCAGCCCTCATACTTAGGGTATGTCTCATATCCAAGTATCTGATGAATGAGTTAACCATAATTTAAAAATATTACATACTTTCAGCATAAATTTAATATTACTCCGCCAACTATTACGAGCGATCAATTATTTTGTTTGATATGGGTTGTTTGTATAAACCGTTGAAGGTTCTGAATGTAGTTTATAGCTAAGTCTACCAAGTCCATTACTGCATACTGTACTGAACTACATGAATTTATCTTCAATGAATGAAAAAATTATATCACATGTTCCATTTTTTCACTCTGGATCATCGACTCTCCTTTCCTGTATTTGATGGTCACTGAGTAATGGTACCTGATGTTATTTTTGTCTCATCCTCTTAGTACTAGTCGGATTCTTTCAATCAAGTTGCATTATGGCTGGTATTTTAAGTTCCCCGTCATCACATAAACTATCTTTTGATGTTAGTTGGTTGGAGGTAGTCTGTGGGGAGCTCTGTACTAACCCGGATTCAATGTTAATTGACACATGCGCCAACAAACCGTACCTGCAATTTTAAGGAAATTGATACCTTCTATGGCATTCGAACCAATATCACTCATAGTTTCAGTCCATAATTTACATCCCGAATATCATTAATCATTTAATTTTTCTTTGTCATCATGTTTATATTTACATCCTCCTTTCATTGTTTGTCTTGTTGTAAACACGTAGATATTCACTGCAGCACCACCAATGGCGTTAGGACTATTTGATCGAAGTTGTAGTGTTAATAATTGTCTTAAATATCCAGAATTGTACAAAGATACTCAAGCATCAGCTTCGTTTAATCCGAAAGTAAGTCTATGTTAATTATCATATTCCATATGTGGTTTAATGGTGGTTGAAGCATTTGGACTTTCAGGCTCGAACCGCGCTCTATCTATTTCGTCCTGAACAACAAGGTAGTATCGTCAGCCGTCACACTTGGAGTAGAGCTAATATGTACCTTGTGAATGAATTTATTAATGAGTAATATTTAAAATTCATGTGTGATTAGTATTTTTCTATGTAAGTACTGTTGTGAATTCTAATGTCGGAATGTATTGTGTTCCTGTATTTACAATTTGAAATATTAACTATATCTGTAGGGCTTTTGCTCCCATCCGTTGAGGGTTGTTTTTTGAAAGATAAATATTCCATGTCCATTACTGAGAAGTATCATACTAGGAGTAAACGAGTGTCTAATTCTACTTAATTTTTAACTATGTTCTCCAGTTGACGCTATTTCTAATCAGATCTTCCACGATCATACAAAATCTAGCTTTACTGTAAGATCAATTTTTCTCAATTCAAGGTATAATCGTTAAAACCTGGAACAAATTATCGTTGGCCTTCAAGCATACATCAAATAAAGTACACATAACAATCGATACTCACTATCTCCTTTCAGCTATTTTTCTCCATCAAAACATTACAACGTGATGATGATCAGTGTTTATAACTTAGTTGGTATGAGTCGCACTTCTTTTTCCATACACAACTGAATAACCAAATTTATAAAGATAGTTATCGTTAAACCAAAACACAATCAATAAAATCGTCCTTAGAAGAGCAGCAGCAACCTGAATATGTAGCGGAATTATGTGATCATGGAAATCCTAGTGAGATCTACGGTTATCTAGTTTTTATTTATTATTCGTGATCAGTTGATGTTTATTTAAATCCCTTTACTCAGTCAGTCACACACCTACAACGTAGGACCAGGTACATATACGCACCGTTCATAGTCGCCATACCTCGTCATATCTATATCGGCACCCGAGGTCATCTTGTTCACGAATCGAATGCCAATATGGCTCAGATCAAAAGTTAGTGACTTTATGGAGTGATGCCACGTTCTGGTTTGGCCGCCCCTAACTTTCTCCCAACCAACCCCAACACTAGTCAACATTGCGCTTCGTGGTAATAAGTGTTCAGGCATACGTCGTCTGAGTTGCGTCATAAAATTGAACTGTGATTAGAAGTTATCTACTTGCTATGTTGTATTTATTCTGTCTATCGAGCAAGCATCTTCATCAAACAGGACTATGTCATCTGTGTATTGTAAGTCGTTAAGTGGACCTCCTGGTAGGAGATCAATGCCCGAAAATTCAGTCGATGAGAGTGTTATTTCTAACATTATGTCTATGATGAAATTGAACAAAAATGGAGATGGTGGACAGCCTTGACGGACACCACTTGAGGTTGCGAAATCAGATGACAGTTCACCATAAGCTCTGACTCAACTAGTAGTGTTCGAGTAAAGAGTCTTCACAAGGTTTATGTACTTCTGAGGTACGCCTTTCAATGACAGACACTGCCACAGGATCTCGCGGTCTACAGAGTCAAATCCTCCCTTTAAGTCAAAAAGGACCACCATCGTCGGACGCCGATAAGCATGCCTGTGTTCTAGAACCTGACGAATGGTGCATATGTGGTCGATGCAATCACCACCAGGTCTGAAGCCAGCCTGATTTTGTTTTGTTTGTGGTCCATGGTTATGTGCCTGGTAACTATAAATTCAACTAGCTCGCTTCGCCTAGTGCTGTTGGGTGATAGAACGAGGTAATGAAATCTTTTTGTTAATGTCCAGTTCAATGTGATGTATGATTTAGTTGCGAAGCCCTCTTTTTCGTTAAGTAGGACATTATAAGCTCCTCATGTGCGATAGCACATCGCATTAAAAGATCGGCTGAATTCCTAATCACTAATACAAATTGGAAAGTCGGCTTCGAGGCTGGAACACTTGAATTCCAATCATTGTGTTCGAACCCCAGCTTCCACACTTTGTTCTCAACAGTCTATATAGTAACGCCCATTCATAGGTGACTGAATCGAATCCCAAAGTAATTTCAAGCAACTAATATAATGTGTTATCATTTTGTCATTAAAATTTCAGGTTTTCTTCTGTTGGATTCTCAATTCAATTTATCATTCATCCGTGCTATTTTGGATTCCATTATTGGCTTTCTCTGTAGGTACGTAATTCCGAAAACCAAAAGTTGTGTATTATAATACAAGATTGTTTATATAAGTTCTACGTAAAATCCTCTATTGTTTAGTTTGTAAGCTGTTTAAAATTAATATGTTGTGCAAACTTAAATACTGAATACAACAGCCCTGTTAACTAGAGCGAGCAGACCAGATTCAGTCAGGAAAAATATATATCTTACACAAACAGCCCGAAAGCACGAAAGAGCAAGCACACAACTCATGCGTACATGTGCAGAACAAAAACGTAATTGAGAAACAACACAGAATAGCATACTAAAGTGGGAAACGAGCCAATTACCTTTAAAGTCTCTCCAATTAGGAAATATAAACTGCAGGTGAAAACGCGCGCTTTTGGCTCGAAAACGAGAAATTAAATTTTCCATAACACAACTACAAAAACGAGGCTTTTACTAAATGATTTCTGGGGATCTAGCATCCCCAACAGTATAATAATTCAAGATGAAAATTCGAATGCTTTTAGCACGAACAATATTTTTCTCAATTCGATAAGTGTGAAGAAATTAATAAGCCACTGAATACCGATAAACCGTTGTAGTATTAACGATAGTGAAAGACTACAACTCTGGAGAATACAGAATGTAAAAAAGAAATTAGGCATGAAGGAATAAGTAATTCATAAAACTTCATACTACTTTTAGTTGGAAAATATCAGCGTGCGTAGACCCTCATACATACACATGCGAATCTAGCAACTCTGCCACCTTGTGGCACAGAATAAAAAAACAGATGAAACTTGCATTTTCCAAGCAATATCGCGTGTCAATGCAATCATAGGTATCAGTAAGAAACCAAACCAGAAAATACCGCATCCATAAACAGCAGAATCCTAAATGATGCGAAGAAAAAAACAGGGAGAAGGAAATCACGTAAAATAAGTCAATTACTCATATACAATGCAAAACGTAGCAGTAGAAAAGATTAGGTAAAAAAACAAAGGGTATAAATCGATTTCAGGACTCAGGTTCTAAAGCAAGACAAAAAATGAATGCGCCGACGCCTTTGTAAACTATTCTGAGTTGTTGATGGAGCTTTGTTCCCTGAGCTGGATGGTTTGGTTGTGGAGCTTTCATCGTTCTTCTGAGCAACATCATCAGCACAGACTTCAGGTAGAAGTGAAGTGTTCGAATTTCTCCATAGGGTAAAGTGATGGTGACATCTTTAGGGCTGACGTTTTCTAACCCCTTCTTCGCGTTGTTAGAAGGCTGCGTCACTGCAGGTGCTGGTTTCCTATGAGATGCGTCTTACTTAAATCACACCTTAGTGATCAGCTGTACGACTTCGCCCTCATCGTTCCCCAACGGACCTTCCTAACATGATAGGACCTAAAGGAATATGTGTCCCAGTTAATATAACTCGGTTGATTCATCACGATAGGCAATCCCGACCACCTCGCCAATGCAGCGTCTACGGCTGTGAATGATCTTATTTTGTGGACAAGTTTTGGTACGGCACCTAATTTGATTTAAGTACCGACAAAGCCTATTACAATGCCTAATAAGTTCATGCTGTTGTTGATGTTGAGTACGTGGCTACGATATTTACTGTTATAGGAACTCTAATGTACATCCTTTGGTAGTTTTGCATCTGGCCTGTAGGTAACTTGTCTGCTAGTACAGTGTTAGGAGTAGTGAGTGAGTTTATCCGGAAGAAATAGATACAAGATGAAAAGTGAGCTGACTACTCAGTAGAAACATAGTGTACGTGGATGTAAAAACGAAAGCGATCGACACCAATCGGAATTTACACGAGCGTGAGATTAAGAAAACCTGACAATTTACACAAGAAGTTGATAGTGTAAGGTTTCGAATATGTTACACTTCAAATGTTTTAGCTACTCTAATATAACTAAGTTCTCTTTGAAATCGTTAACGGCCGTTTACACATAATACATATCAACACGCTATGGTTAACATAGGAAGAAGATGAATTGTGGGGAACTTGTTGTTCGATGTGAGACAAGCAGTATACGTTGAGTTGGTTTAAGCCCAACCGTAGCTGCTACTTTGACGTGGTGGTCGTGCTTGCCTATCGTGATGACCCAACCAGAGCTATATTGGCTGAAACTTTTAGGTTCTACCAGCACAAACTTCAGGTAGAAGTGAAGTGTTCGAATTTCTCCATATATGGTTCTGAGTTGTGTAACCGATTCCAAAGACATTTCGCCATAAGCTATGACTCGATCAGACATTTTTAACTAGAGAGCATGTACAGGGTTAATGTGTTTCTTTGGTACTTTTTTAACGTCCGAACACTATGCCAAATAGGAGAACAGACTTCCTTAGCTAGGACTTTTGAATATCGCGCCATCAATGTGTGCTGCTTCTCCGAAATGCGCATATAGGGTCCTGTAGCGTCATTCACTTGACCTCACCATATCAAAATAAAGAAACAACTCGATTCACGCTTCGTGTATCTGGAAGTCATGATACTGCTTCCCGTGGCCTCGCTGATGTAGGTATAGCATTAAGCCCTAAGGCAGAACTAGCTCTCTTAGACTGAGTCCCAGTAGACAGTCGTTTGTACGCTATCAGACCAAAGGGAACAGTAAGGACTCGGAAAGATAGGGACACTCGTCGTTGCCTCTTCGTCGTCTTTGCCCATTCTCCCACTAACTGTAGCTCAGATGTAATGCAAAAGATGAGTTTTACAGAAAGCTTTCCAACCTTCTACGAAAAACTAAGCGCTCTGATGTAGTAATAGTGGCTAGTGACTTTGATGCTCATGTAGGTAAACTGATCGGAAAGGAATGACACCTGGGTGGGTGTTGTGGCTCATAGAACAGATAATGGCGACCATCTGTTGCATCTATGCTCAGATAACTGCTTGTTTCTAGCAAATTCTAACTTGAAGCATAAAGAAAGACATCTTTTGACACGGCGACCCCCTAATTCGTCCCAACGTTGGACTAAAATAGATCACATCGCTATCAACCACTGATGGAGGGGATCAGTAGAAGACTGTCTCTCGTTCTGGAGCACATGCTTAGATTCAGATCATGCTCTAGTGCGGGCACGTATTTGTATGTGTCTTACTGGACGTAGTAATTACACTGCAAGGAAACTTCTTAGGATCCTACTTAATGATAGTCAAGCTAAGAATATATTTCAGGAACAAATAGAAAAACAGTTAGGCAGCCGTGTAAGTGATGCCCACCCCGAGACAGCTTGGAATGATATCTATTAGTAAGGTAAACCATATGGTTAGGGAGAAATACTGGATCTCAGTAGCATCTACCGGACTGATAGATGCTCGAAAACTTATCCTATCTCGAAATGTTTTCACATGGCCACGCGTATATAGCCCCGCCTTCTTGTGGCGGGGGTGTTGTTTACGAAAGTGGGAGGACGGAAAGCGAATGTCCGGCGCTTTAACCGGAGATCTTATAGCTTTTTCAATCTCATTAGAAGTTGGAGGACTTACATATGGGTTACTTGGAGATAGTAGGTAACTGAAAGTCAGTTGAACAGTTTCCTAAAGTGTCCTGTCGATCAGTTTAATCTCCTCGATTAAGAGTGAATAATAGTCCCGGCTTTATCTCACTAACAGCCAGATTTCTAACACCCGTTTCTTTGATAAGTCTGAACAGTTGTCCACTGTTATCGTTGTTGTCTTTTCCATCTCTTCTGCTTTTGACACCCACCACTGCTCACGATCATTACGTAGGCGTTTGACCAACTTACGTTTAATTTGTCTCTGCTCCTTATCATGATCGGAGTCAGACGGGACGACTTCCTAGCATCTGTTGGTTCATTAGACGTCGCTGAAATCCACTAACTTTTCCTAACATTTTGGTTTCAAACACTAGTAAATATCATTGCTGCTTCTACAGCATTTTGGATATCACACCAAGTTACCTCAGATGGATATCACTGTCATGGTTTACTACCTCCTTCTCTAGTTCTTCCTAAAATATGTTTTTGACATTTTCAACATTAAGTTGATCCCTAAAGGCTTTTCTTCATATGGCTTTTCTAATTCCAGCAAGATGCAGACAAATACGTGCCTCAACTAGTACATGATTCCAATCTAAATATGTGCTCAAGAAAAAGTTTTCAATCGAGTCTATCCAATGACGACTGATGGGAGTGTGGTTTATTTGAATCCATCGACGAGTCGATTGTGGAGGTCTCCACCCCGACCGTTTTTTGCTACCTTGACGTTGTGGTTGAGCTATAGTGATGAAGCAGCTGAGCTATACTGGCTAGAACAACCGTTCTTTAAGGTCCTACCATGTCAGACAGACCGTTGGAACTCTAGAATCTCGTACCATTGATGTATGCCGTGTCTCCGAAACAAGCATACATGATCCTAGTGTGCTCATTCACTTGACCTCACCTCGGCAAGACGCGGGAGGTGACGAGATACACCCGCCGTGTATCTGCCAGTTCGATGGCAAGTTCTCATAGACTGACAGGTGTAAGCATAGCAAAAAGTATGTGGGAGGAACAAGCACTAATCGAGCAGGCCCCGTTAACATTCATCTATGTGCTGTTCGGCTAAACGGACCCATAAGAACTCGTAAGGATCGGGAAACACGTCGTTGCCTTCTCGTTGTTTCTCCCTAAGCCAGTACTGAATGCTGCCTGAATGAAGTGAAAGATGGCGGTGAAATATGATCGATAGACGAACCCACCAATAATACAGTGAAACGCACACCACAACATTAACTCCCTTTAACCTTGTGCGACTGTATCTCTTTATTAACCAATCGCAGTTTGATGTTCATTATAAAACAATATTTGCTTTGTTGACTCATTTTTCCTATTCTCTGGTTACTGTTCGGTATGTTATTTGTCTGTATTAATAGACCGTACCCTTTGTTTATACACTAACGACGTTAATTTATGTTTTAGAAAAAGATTAAGTTTATCTAGCCAAATAGGTTGCTTGTTCTGACTTTGACCAAACCGAAACTCTGTGTTCGACGGTCTAGGAAATAGCTCAGAATTAAACCTATAGGAAATTGCTTCATACAATGACTTTTAAAGAAAGCTTTCTGAACTTATTCTAAAAGTTAAACGCTTAGGCACAATACTCGTAGCAGGTGACTAGTGCCCAGATAGGTAGTTTAAACCAAGCAGAAAGGCATTTAGGTGGGTATTTTAGTATTCCGGCACAACGAACAAATAATGGTGATCTTCTGCTGCAACTGTGTTCAGACAATCGTTTATTTTTAGCAGACAAATTTTAAGTATAAGGAGAGACATCGTCTAACATGGCGACCCCCTACACCAAACCAACGATGGACTGAAATAGACCATATTGCCATCAGTCATCGTTTGAGAGAGTCGATAGAAGACTGTCGCTTGTTCTAGAATATATGCTTAGACTCTGACCATGCTCTGATACGGGCACGCATTTGCTTGTACCTCACTGGACACAGAAAAGGCATACCAAGAAGATCTATTAGAATTGTACTGAGTGACGAGAAAGCCCAAAGTAGATTCCAGGAACAACTGAGGTCACACTTAGGTAGTTCTGAAAACGAGGCTGACCCAGATGTTGCTTGGAAAGATATACGAACAGGTGTGGAAACAGCGTTACAAAGAACCAATGGATTTCTCCAAGGTCTGTTGCACTGATGGATTCTCGCAAACTCATCCCGTCAGGCTCTGAATACGATGATGAGTGAAAGCAAATCAGATCTAGGTTAAGCAAAAGTCTAAGAACGACCGTGAGCAGTGGTAAGCATCGAAGGCAAAAGAGATGGACAAGGCGGCGGCTATAGGGAACACAAGACAACTCTTCAGACTCAAAGAAGAAACTGAAACTAAAAATCCAAGTGTAAGTGAGACTATTTCAGAAAAAGACGACACTTTTATCTGCTCTCAACCAATACGTTTAGAACGATGGGCGGAACACTTTAAGGAGCAGTTCAGCTGGCCTTCAGCTAGTCTACAACTACCCACAATTCCCAAACAGCCTGAATTGAACACTGAAGTAGGTCCTTCGACTCTAGCCAAAGTTCAAAATGCTATAGTTAATCTGAAACGAAGAACAGCAGATGGTCCAGATGGATTGGCTCCAGAGGTCTTTAAGGATGGTGGTCTAATTTTAGCGATTAGGTTGACTAATATTTTTGCTAAAATCTGGGAATTGGACGTAATCCCATCTGACTGGTCGCAATCACTGATTATCGCAATATAAAAGAAGGGGTCAAAATCACCCTGTAATAACCATAGAGGGATTAGTTTGACTAATATAGCATCAAAGATGCTAGCCTTAATAAATATCGGGCGCCTAACTAAGACTCGTGAACTGCAAACACAAAATCAGGCTGGCTTCAGACCTGGTGGTGATTGCATCGACCACATATGCACCATTCGTCAGGTTCTAGAACACAGGCATGCTTATCGGCGTCCGACGATGGTGGTCCTTTTTGACTTAAAGGGAGGATTTGACTCTGTAGACCGCGAGATCCTGTGGCAGTGTCTGTCATTGAAAGGCGTACCTCAGAAGTACATAAACCTTGTGAAGACTCTTTACTCGAACACTACTAGTTGAGTCAGAGCTTATGGTGAACTGTCATCTGATTTCGCAACCTCAAGTGGTGTCCGTCAAGGCTGTCCACCATCTCCATTTTTGTTCAATTTCATCATAGACATAATGTTAGAAATAACACTCTCATCGACTGAATTTTCGGGCATTGATCTCCTACCAGGAGGTCCACTTAACGACTTACAATACACAGATGACATAGTCCTGTTTGATGAAGATGCTTGCTCGATAGACAGAATAAATACAACATAGCAAGTAGATAACTTCTAATCACAGTTCAATTTTATGACGCAACTCAGACGACGTATGCCTGAACACTTATTACCACGAAGCGCAATGTTGACTAGTGTTGGGGTTGGTTGGGAGAAAGTTAGGGGCGGCCAAACCAGAACGTGGCATCACTCCATAAAGTCACTAACTTTTGATCTGAGCCATATTGGCAGTTGCAGACTACTTGGTTCGGATCCGCGCCACCATTGTAACCAATGGTTGGAGATTCTGGGTGACACGGCTTAGAATCGACCACAATGGCGTAGATGCATACACTCCTCTGTCTTTCCTTAAACTGTGAGATTAAAATTATTTTATATCTTCCTTTCTACGAACTGGCTCTTGCTCCTTGTATCATATCTTTATATGAAATCCTTTTTTAGTACCATTGAAGTAACTGCTTCTATGAATTTGCTATTCGTCTTACTGTGCTACTGAGGTCTGGCAACTTCGACCGATGCATATATGTCCCTAGTCCTATGTTGTAACTGACAGACAGTCTGGAGGTCGCCACGTCAGACGATGTTCTTCCTTACGCTTAAAGTTGGTGTCACTTAGAAATAGACGGTTATCTGAACATAGTTGCAATAGGCTGTCGCCATTGTTTATTCGATGAGCTGCGACACTGTAAGATCCGCCTAAGTGCCTCTCGATTTAGCGTAGTATACCCACTTGGGCATTAAAATCCCCAGCCACCATTGCTACATCAGTGCATTTACCTTTATGAAGAAGGTTGAATAGTTTCCTATAAAATTCATCTCAGTTGCAATCATTGGGAGCGTAAGCAGAGACAACAGCGTATGTTCCAATATTTTTGAGTTCTTACTGTCTTGCGTAGTCGAACGGCACACAAGCGATTGTCCATTGAAAACCAGTCCAGGAGATCCGGTTCTACTTTTGAACTTCAGGTTAGACTTACACTACTGAGGCCACGAGAATTAGCAGTGAGGTTTTCAGATACGCTAAAGGTAAATCGTGCCAGTTTTTTACATTGACATGGTGAGGTCAGAGAATAAATGTACTTAGATCCGGTATGTGCGTTTCGGAGACTCAGCATACATTGATAACGCGAGATTCTCGAGTCCCAGTTAAAAAAGGTCTACTATCCTATCTGACACAAGGTTCGAACATTAAGAGCTCCATCATGTGGTTTAGAGTATGGTTTCACGATACCAGGAATAAGATTTCGTAAACTCAAATCATTAATATTGATGGCGCGTGGTGATAAAGATATGAGAGTAGGGTTAGTCATAGGGATAGGAAAATAATTGGCAAGTGAAGGAGGGATTCGATCGCGAACAAGATGACCTCGTGGCCGATAGAGGTATGAAGGCGGTTGTAACTTCCTGGTTTCCCACACCACAGAATGATATTTCCCCTTGAAGGACCTGAAAAGGAAGTTGAATTAGTAGTGGTTTCAGTACCCGAAAGACAGCTGATACAGGCCATTCGCACACAGCACTTCAAAAAGCCTCAAAGTTGGAGAAATCCGTAGGGTAATGTGATGGTTATACGTTAAAAATGGTGAACTTTAGCATCTGTTACGGGAAAAATTAGAAAGGTCGTTTAATGATGGTCAGAATAATTAGTAATAAGGTGTCTAGTTGTAGTCAATATAGTAGTAATGTGGTGCGTGCTACTTATATTGTTATAAGTAGTATATGACGCGAGTCAGGAATGTAATTTCTGGCAGCAGAAGATGGGGGAAGATCAAGAAAGCAAGAGCGGGAATAGAATGCAATTTCTATAAAAATGCATGGGCAATGAAGTCTGAGGCATTTTGAAACAATTGGTGGACGTTTTGCAAATTAACGATTCGATATATGGTTCTCAGATTTTATTGAGATGCTCTGTAATCGTGTAAAGTACACTTGATTGTCCCCACTCGTGTTCTGTTCACTACAGTAATACAACAGACACGAGTACAATACCCGGGCACCCGGGCAATATCATGGCCCTCACACACATGGAATGAGATTTGTGTGGCGTATATATAATTGGTGCCTCCTTGTAGCAATATCTATGTGTTAAAATAAATAGTAATGAATTGTAGTACATAAAATATTTGGTTCAATAATACGTGGACGCCTAACTAAAGCTCGTGAAGAGCAGGTTGATTTACAGTTTACTGAAAACTGGCTCATTTCAAGAAGATGCACAAATGTTCCAATGCGTAGTTGTAATTGGGTAGAGTATCACTATCCCTCAATTTAGACAAGTATTATCAACAGTCATGACATTCAATTGCACGCTGGCTTTAATCTTTCTCATGATTGTAGATGCTACTCATCGCCACTGTAGAAAGACAAATTAAATTGAATGAATCAGTCAATATGAGACGCTTCCCCTTAGTTTAAGACTCACTAGCCAGATGCGCCTGGATCCTAGTGTTGATGTTCACATTGGGACTTGTATGTAATAAATTTCCCTTGCAACGCGTTATCCACGCAGTGGATCCCGCTGTTGTCTGCAATCCATCTGTTCTTAAGAAATTTTGAAAATTGCCAATTTCGAGATCATCCACACAGTATGCATATATGCCAACAAAAATTGATTAAGATTCAGCCATGAATAATGTAAAGCAATTGCTTATAATAATAAAAATTTGTTCGACGGTTTCGAATGCCTTGTTCTTTTCATCCACTCCGTGGTGACAAATTTTATGTCATCTTACCTTTGTCTATTTGTTTGTCGTGCGTGTGTGTATGAAGGAGAGAAATTCGGTAGGTACTCGGTTCGAATCCCGCGGGCTGAGGATTCCCATACTGGGACGAAATGACCGTACACTGTTTCTAGGTTTTCCATGGTGGTCTAGCTTTAATCGATTCAACTATTAAATCATATTACACACAAGAGTACACTTTTTCTCTTTCCTATTTAAGGTACTGTCTATGCAAATGGTCAAACTTCAAGTTTATTAGTCTTGGGCAATAGTGTTTACACAGTAAGTTAGTTATTCTCATTTCGCTGAGGTTATCGAATTTTATTGTTATTTTGAACAATGTACATCGTATCCGACATTTTTGTTCATTTACTAGGTAAATTAACTGTTAAGTATTTTTCTAAATGGTTTCACTTAAGATTATTATCTCTCTCTGATAGTGCTATTTATCTCAGTATTCGAAATACCATTTACTGATGTTCATTAAGTGATGCACACTGCCGAAGATTCCCATGCTAGGACTAAACGGTCATCCAGTCTAACTTAAACCATTCTGTGGTTTAAACTGAAAATACTGCAGTCTTCACAAATCTATACATATTTTCTTTGTTGAACATGGTGTGGTCTAAAGTTGACAATAGTATATACAATTATTGTAATAATTTATTATGGTCTTTCTCTCCTGTTCTTAAATCGATTTAATACTACTGATACCGGCTAATCATTGGCGAATTGTGATTTGCTATCGCTTATTAACCCACGCAGAATTCCTCTCTCTCTGAGCTTCAATAATAACGTGTCGATCTTCAGGTGATATGAGTAGTATATACTGACGTCATCAGATCTGAGGTCGACTAAAGTGGTCAAAAAATAAGATGATCTGTATTGTAGCTCTAAACAACCCTGAGCGTTCAGTTCTGTCATTCTATGAACAAACTTTTACGTGTTTGCGAATACCGTTTAGGACGTTCAAACAAAGTTGTACAGTTAAAATTTTTATCTTTTCTCACCCAGTTCAATTGAACTACAAGGAAGTTGAACATTCACCACTCATTTTCAATAGTCTTTTTGTTATGTTGTGTAGTCACCCCAGTCAGATACTATCACATATGTACTTCCTATACACATGACTAACTTCTACTTGAGTAGGAAAACTGAGAGTGAGTGAATCGAAAACATGCACAATCTCATTCTTCTGTCAGCAGTTCATTTATCATTTTTTGCTAAACTGATCTGTCTAATTGGCCCAACCGATCACCTTTTCTTCGTGAAAAATAAGTCCGGATTCAGTGCAAGGACTGAGGTGGGGATTCGTACGCCACAAACTCGAAATAAGCAGTAGCAGCAGCGATTGTTGTAAATATCTGTGGTTATGGGAATAATTTGAATTTATGTATTCATTTTTCCACCTGACTGATGGAATATCATAACATGTCATAAAGGACATAAATTAATAGCGTATATGTATGTTAAATTTGAAAAATTCCATTCCTCAACTTCTCAAGAAAATTAAATAATGTTTTTTTTGTGGGCGATAGAATATAGTTATTGGTTGTTATCCTGGATAAAAGAGTAGTAGATAGTTTGACAAGTATTTGATATGTCGTATAAATTTCCTACACCTGTTTCCACTTGATTGTCGGTTGTTGGCTTAACTAACACACGTACTAGTCGGGTGAAGCACGTGTCTAGATCTGAGTTCTGTTGATGCCTTGTCTCGTTTTCCTCCTGTTATAATCATGTTTTTTACTTATGCAATTTTCACTTTTCTCTCTCTCACTTACACTTTGTTTTTACAGTATGTAGTTGTGACGGTTTGTTTAAAAGCTGGTCTAGAGCATACCGCATGGACATGGTTATCACATTTAGCAATATGGGGTAGTATCGGTTGCTGGTTCTTATTTCTTACTATATATCCTCATGTTTATCCAACTTTACCATTGGCATCAGATATGGTTGGTATGGTAGGTTCTCTTCATCAATATCCCAGAGTTGTTTTGCTTTTTTACTTGTCATAATAAAATGTGTACATGTTGTCTTGACAAATGTGTGATTTAAAATCATAATCAGTGAGTCAGTAGCTTAGAGGTTAGTGCACTGAACTTTCAGCCACTGCCAATTCTCGTCCGTGAATCCCACTTCACATTGGTTTGGTCAGTTGGGTAGTGTCCTAACTCTTCATACTGAAAGTTTGGTTCATACCCAAGTTCCTGGTGAATGAAGAATTTGATATCTCACTATCAGGTTTCTCGAGATTGATAAATTCTTTTTGCTTTACATCAGAAATTGACCTTGGTCCATGACTGGATCACCAGATACCTAAACTGAATACTCACTCCCATTTCCTTTTGTGTTTATATCTTTCTTAATCTGCATATTCATCTTTCCCAATCCACATGAATACATTTTTATCGTAATTATCTTGATAACACTTCTCTTATTCATACAACGTTATTATTATTTCTCCAATTAACAAGGCGAAACTCTCCCATAAAGTATTGTACTCGTGTCTGTTGTATTACTGTAGTGAACAGAACACGAGTGGGGACAATCAAGTGTACTTTACACGATTACAGAGCATCTCAATAAAATCTGAGAACCATATATCGAATCGTTAATTTGCAAAACGTCCACCAATTGTTTCAAAATGCCTCAGACTTCATTGCCCATGCATTTTTATAGAAATTGCATTCTATTCCCGCTCTTGCTTTCTTGATCTTCCCCCATCTTCTGCTGCCAGAAATTACATTCCTGACTCGCGTCATATACTACTTATAACAATATAAGTAGCACGCACCACATTACTACTATATTGACTACAACTAGACACCTTATTACTAATTATTCTGACCATCATTAAACGACCTTTCTAATTTTTCCCGTAACAGATGCTAAAGTTCACCATTTTTAACGTATAACCATCACATTACCCTACGGATTTCTCCAACTTTGAGGCTTTTTGAAGTGCTGTGTGCGAATGGCCTGTATCAGCTGTCTTTCGGGTACTGAAACCACTACTAATTCAACTTCCTTTTCAGGTCCTTCAAGGGGAAATATCATTCTGTGGTGTGGGAAACCAGGAAGTTACAACCGCCTTCATACCTCTATCGGCCACGAGGTCATCTTGTTCGCGATCGAATCCCTCCTTCACTTGCCAATTATTTTCCTATCCCTATGACTAACCCTACTCTCATATCTTTATCACCACGCGCCATCAATATTAATGATTTGAGTTCACGAAATCTTATTCCTGGTATCGTGAAACCATACTCTAAACCACATGATGGAGCTCTTAATGTTCGAACCTTGTGTCAGATAGGATAGTAGACCTTTTTTAACTGGGACTCGAGAATCTCGCGTTATCAATGTATGCTGAGTCTCCGAAACGCACATACCGGATCTAAGTACATTTATTCTCTGACCTCACCATGTCAATGTAAAAAACTGGCACGATTTACCTTTAGCGTATCTGAAAACCTCACTGCTAATTCTCGTGGCCTCAGTAGTGTAAGTCTAACCTGAAGTTCAAAAGTAGAACCGGATCTCCTGGACTGGTTTTCAATGGACAATCGCTTGTGTGCCGTTCGACTACGCAAGACAGTAAGAACTCAAAAATATTGGAACATACGCTGTTGTCTCTGCTTACGCTCCCAATGATTGCAACTGAGATGAATTTTATAGGAAACTATTCAACCTTCTTCATAAAGGTAAATGCACTGATGTAGCAATGGTGGCTGGGGATTTTAATGCCCAAGTGGGTATACTACGCTAAATCGAGAGGCACTTAGGCGGATCTTACAGTGTCGCAGCTCATCGAATAAACAATGGCGACAGCCTATTGCAACTATGTTCAGATAACCGTCTATTTCTAAGTGACACCAACTTTAAGCGTAAGGAAGAACATCGTCTGACGTGGCGACCTCCAGACTGTCTGTCAGTTACAACATAGGACTAGGGACATATATGCATCGGTCGAAGTTGCCAGACCTCAGTAGCACAGTAAGACGAATAGCAAATTCATAGAAGCAGTTACTTCAATGGTACTAAAAAAGGATTTCATATAAAGATATGATACAAGGAGCAAGAGCCAGTTCGTAGAAAGGAAGATATAAAATAATTTTAATCTCACAGTTTAAGGAAAGACAGAGGAGTGTATGCATCTACGCCATTGTGGTCGATTCTAAGCCGTGTCACCCAGAATCTCCAACCATTGGTTACAATGGTGGCGCGGATCCGAACCAAGTAGTCTGCAACTGCCAATATGGCTCAGATCAAAAGTTAGTGACTTTATGGAGTGATGCCACGTTCTGGTTTGGCCGCCCCTAACTTTCTCCCAACCAACCCCAACACTAGTCAACATTGCGCTTCGTGGTAATAAGTGTTCAGGCATACGTCGTCTGAGTTGCGTCATAAAATTGAACTGTGATTAGAAGTTATCTACTTGCTATGTTGTATTTATTCTGTCTATCGAGCAAGCATCTTCATCAAACAGGACTATGTCATCTGTGTATTGTAAGTCGTTAAGTGGACCTCCTGGTAGGAGATCAATGCCCGAAAATTCAGTCGATGAGAGTGTTATTTCTAACATTATGTCTATGATGAAATTGAACAAAAATGGAGATGGTGGACAGCCTTGACGGACACCACTTGAGGTTGCGAAATCAGATGACAGTTCACCATAAGCTCTGACTCAACTAGTAGTGTTCGAGTAAAGAGTCTTCACAAGGTTTATGTACTTCTGAGGTACGCCTTTCAATGACAGACACTGCCACAGGATCTCGCGGTCTACAGAGTCAAATCCTCCCTTTAAGTCAAAAAGGACCACCATCGTCGGACGCCGATAAGCATGCCTGTGTTCTAGAACCTGACGAATGGTGCATATGTGGTCGATGCAATCACCACCAGGTCTGAAGCCAGCCTGATTTTGTGTTTGCAGTTCACGAGTCTTAGTTAGGCGCCCGATATTTATTAAGGCTAGCATCTTTGATGCTATATTAGTCAAACTAATCCCTCTATGGTTATTACAGGGTGATTTTGACCCCTTCTTTTATATTGCGATAATCAGTGATTGCGACCAGTCAGATGGGATTACGTCCAATTCCCAGATTTTAGCAAAAATATTAGTCAACCTAATCGCTAAAATCAGACCACCATCCTTAAAGACCTCTGGAGCCAATCCATCAGGCTGTTTGGGAATTGTGGGTAGTTGTAGACTAGCTGAAGGCCAGCTGAACTGCTCCTTAAAGTGTTCCGCCCATCGTTCTAAACGTATTGGTTGAGAGCAGATAAAAGTGTCGTCTTTTTCTGAAATAGTCTCACTTACACTTGGATTTTTAGTTTCAGTTTCTTCTTTGAGTCTGAAGAGTTGTCTTGTGTTCCCTATAGCCGCCGCCTTGTCCATCTCTTTTGCCTTCGATGCTTACCACTGCTCACGGTCGTTCTTAGACTTTTGCTTAACCTAGATCTGATTTGCTTTCACTCATCATCGTATTCAGAGCCTGACGGGATGAGTTTGCGAGAATCCATCAGTGCAACAGACCTTGGAGAAATCCATTGGTTCTTTGTAACGCTGTTTCCACACCTGTTCGTATATCTTTCCAAGCAACGTCTGGGTCAGCCTCGTTTTCAGAACTACCTAAGTGTGACCTCAGTTGTTCCTGGAATCTACTTTGGGCTTTCTCGTCACTCAGTACAATTCTAATAGATCTTCTTGGTATGCCTTTTCTGTGTCCAGTAAGGTACAAGCAAATGCGTGCCCGTATCAGAGCATGGTCAGAGTCTAAGCATATATTCTAGAACAAGCGACAGTCTTCTATCGACTCTCTCAAACGATGACTGATGGCAATATGGTCTATTTCAGTCCATCGTTGGTTTGGTGTAGGGGGTCGCCATGTTAGACGATGTCTCTCCTTATACTTAAAATTTGTCTGCTAAAAATAAACGATTGTCTGAACACAGTTGCAGCAGAAGATCACCATTATTTGTTCGTTGTGCCGGAATACTAAAATACCCACCTAAATGCCTTTCTGCTTGGTTTAAACTACCTATCTGGGCACTAGTCACCTGCTACGAGTATTGTGCCTAAGCGTTTAACTTTTAGAATAAGTTCAGAAAGCTTTCTTTAAAAGTCATTGTATGAAGCAATTTCCTATAGGTTTAATTCTGAGCTATTTCCTAGACCGTCGAACACAGAGTTTCGGTTTGGTCAAAGTCAGAACAAGCAAGCTATTTGGCTAGATAAACTTAATCTTTTTCTAAAACATAAATTAACGTCGTTAGTGTATAAACAAAGGGTACGGTCTATTAATACAGACAAATAACATACCGAACAGTAACCAGAGAATAGGAAAAATGAGTCAACAAAGCAAATATTGTTTTATAATGAACATCAAACTGCGATTGGTTAATAAAGAGATACAGTCGCACAAGGTTAAAGGGAGTTAATGTTGTGGTGTGCGTTTCACTGTATTATTGGTGGGTTCGTCTATCGATCATATTTCACCGCCATCTTTCACTTCATTCAGGCAGCATTCAGTACTGGCTTAGGGAGAAACAACGAGAAGGCAACGACGTGTTTCCCGATCCTTACGAGTTCTTATGGGTCCGTTTAGCCGAACAGCACATAGATGAATGTTAACGGGGCCTGCTCGATTAGTGCTTGTTCCTCCCACATACTTTTTGCTATGCTTACACCTGTCAGTCTATGAGAACTTGCCATCGAACTGGCAGATACACGGCGGGTGTATCTCGTCACCTCCCGCGTCTTGCCGAGGTGAGGTCAAGTGAATGAGCACACTAGGATCATGTATGCTTGTTTCGGAGACACGGCATACATCAATGGTACGAGATTCTAGAGTTCCAACGGTCTGTCTGACATGGTAGGACCTTAAAGAACGGTTGTTCTAGCCAGTATAGCTCAGCTGCTTCATCACTATAGCTCAACCACAACGTCAAGGTAGCAAAAAACGGTCGGGGTGGAGACCTCCACAATCGACTCGTCGATGGATTCAAATAAACCACACTCCCATCAGTCGTCATTGGATAGACTCGATTGAAAACTTTTTCTTGAGCACATATTTAGATTGGAATCATGTACTAGTTGAGGCACGTATTTGTCTGCATCTTGCTGGAATTAGAAAAGCCATATGAAGAAAAGCCTTTAGGGATCAACTTAATGTTGAAAATGTCAAAAACATATTTTAGGAAGAACTAGAGAAGGAGGTAGTAAACCATGACAGTGATATCCATCTGAGGTAACTTGGTGTGATATCCAAAATGCTGTAGAAGCAGCAATGATATTTACTAGTGTTTGAAACCAAAATGTTAGGAAAAGTTAGTGGATTTCAGCGACGTCTAATGAACCAACAGATGCTAGGAAGTCGTCCCGTCTGACTCCGATCATGATAAGGAGCAGAGACAAATTAAACGTAAGTTGGTCAAACGCCTACGTAATGATCGTGAGCAGTGGTGGGTGTCAAAAGCAGAAGAGATGGAAAAGACAACAACGATAACAGTGGACAACTGTTCAGACTTATCAAAGAAACGGGTGTTAGAAATCTGGCTGTTAGTGAGATAAAGCCGGGACTATTATTCACTCTTAATCGAGGAGATTAAACTGATCGACAGGACACTTTAGGAAACTGTTCAACTGACTTTCAGTTACCTACTATCTCCAAGTAACCCATATGTAAGTCCTCCAACTTCTAATGAGATTGAAAAAGCTATAAGATCTCCGGTTAAAGCGCCGGACATTCGCTTTCCGTCCTCCCACTTTCGTAAACAACACCCCCGCCACAAGAAGGCGGGGCTATATACGCGTGGCCATGTGAAAACATTTCGAGATAGGATAAGTTTTCGAGCATCTATCAGTCCGGTAGATGCTACTGAGATCCAGTATTTCTCCCTAACCATATGGTTTACCTTACTAATAGATATCATTCCAAGCTGTCTCGGGGTGGGCATCACTTACACGGCTGCCTAACTGTTTTTCTATTTGTTCCTGAAATATATTCTTAGCTTGACTATCATTAAGTAGGATCCTAAGAAGTTTCCTTGCAGTGTAATTACTACGTCCAGTAAGACACATACAAATACGTGCCCGCACTAGAGCATGATCTGAATCTAAGCATGTGCTCCAGAACGAGAGACAGTCTTCTACTGATCCCCTCCATCAGTGGTTGATAGCGATGTGATCTATTTTAGTCCAACGTTGGGACGAATTAGGGGGTCGCCGTGTCAAAAGATGTCTTTCTTTATGCTTCAAGTTAGAATTTGCTAGAAACAAGCAGTTATCTGAGCATAGATGCAACAGATGGTCGCCATTATCTGTTCTATGAGCCACAACACCCACCCAGGTGTCATTCCTTTCCGATCAGTTTACCTACATGAGCATCAAAGTCACTAGCCACTATTACTACATCAGAGCGCTTAGTTTTTCGTAGAAGGTTGGAAAGCTTTCTGTAAAACTCATCTTTTGCATTACATCTGAGCTACAGTTAGTGGGAGAATGGGCAAAGACGACGAAGAGGCAACGACGAGTGTCCCTATCTTTCCGAGTCCTTACTGTTCCCTTTGGTCTGATAGCGTACAAACGACTGTCTACTGGGACTCAGTCTAAGAGAGCTAGTTCTGCCTTAGGGCTTAATGCTATACCTACATCAGCGAGGCCACGGGAAGCAGTATCATGACTTCCAGATACACGAAGCGTGAATCGAGTTGTTTCTTTATTTTGATATGGTGAGGTCAAGTGAATGACGCTACAGGACCCTATATGCGCATTTCGGAGAAGCAGCACACATTGATGGCGCGATATTCAAAAGTCCTAGCTAAGGAAGTCTGTTCTCCTATTTGGCATAGTGTTCGGACGTTAAAAAAGTACCAAAGAAACACATTAACCCTGTACATGCTCTCTAGTTAAAAATGTCTGATCGAGTCATAGCTTATGGCGAAATGTCTTTGGAATCGGTTACACAACTCAGAACCATATATGGAGAAATTCGAACACTTCACTTCTACCTGAAGTTTGTGCTGGTAGAACCTAAAAGTTTCAGCCAATATAGCTCTGGTTGGGTCATCACGATAGGCAAGCACGACCACCACGTCAAAGTAGCAGCTACGGTTGGGCTTAAACCAACTCAACGTATACTGCTTGTCCCACATCGAACAACAAGTTCCCCACAATTCATCTTCTTCCTATGTTAACCATAGCGTGTTGATATGTATTATGTGTAAACGGCCGTTAACGATTTCAAAGAGAACTTAGTTATATTAGAGTAGCTAAAACATTTGAAGTGTAACATATTCGAAACCTTACACTATCAACTTCTTGTGTAAATTGTCAGGTTTTCTTAATCTCACGCTCGTGTAAATTCCGATTGGTGTCGATCGCTTTCGTTTTTACATCCACGTACACTATGTTTCTACTGAGTAGTCAGCTCACTTTTCATCTTGTATCTATTTCTTCCGGATAAACTCACTCACTACTCCTAACACTGTACTAGCAGACAAGTTACCTACAGGCCAGATGCAAAACTACCAAAGGATGTACATTAGAGTTCCTATAACAGTAAATATCGTAGCCACGTACTCAACATCAACAACAGCATGAACTTATTAGGCATTGTAATAGGCTTTGTCGGTACTTAAATCAAATTAGGTGCCGTACCAAAACTTGTCCACAAAATAAGATCATTCACAGCCGTAGACGCTGCATTGGCGAGGTGGTCGGGATTGCCTATCGTGATGAATCAACCGAGTTATATTAACTGGGACACATATTCCTTTAGGTCCTATCATGTTAGGAAGGTCCGTTGGGGAACGATGAGGGCGAAGTCGTACAGCTGATCACTAAGGTGTGATTTAAGTAAGACGCATCTCATAGGAAACCAGCACCTGCAGTGACGCAGCCTTCTAACAACGCGAAGAAGGGGTTAGAAAACGTCAGCCCTAAAGATGTCACCATCACTTTACCCTATGGAGAAATTCGAACACTTCACTTCTACCTGAAGTCTGTGCTGATGATGTTGCTCAGAAGAACGATGAAAGCTCCACAACCAAACCATCCAGCTCAGGGAACAAAGCTCCATCAACAACTCAGAATAGTTTACAAAGGCGTCGGCGCATTCATTTTTTGTCTTGCTTTAGAACCTGAGTCCTGAAATCGATTTATACCCTTTGTTTTTTTACCTAATCTTTTCTACTGCTACGTTTTGCATTGTATATGAGTAATTGACTTATTTTACGTGATTTCCTTCTCCCTGTTTTTTTCTTCGCATCATTTAGGATTCTGCTGTTTATGGATGCGGTATTTTCTGGTTTGGTTTCTTACTGATACCTATGATTGCATTGACACGCGATATTGCTTGGAAAATGCAAGTTTCATCTGTTTTTTTATTCTGTGCCACAAGGTGGCAGAGTTGCTAGATTCGCATGTGTATGTATGAGGGTCTACGCACGCTGATATTTTCCAACTAAAAGTAGTATGAAGTTTTATGAATTACTTATTCCTTCATGCCTAATTTCTTTTTTACATTCTGTATTCTCCAGAGTTGTAGTCTTTCACTATCGTTAATACTACAACGGTTTATCGGTATTCAGTGGCTTATTAATTTCTTCACACTTATCGAATTGAGAAAAATATTGTTCGTGCTAAAAGCATTCGAATTTTCATCTTGAATTATTATACTGTTGGGGATGCTAGATCCCCAGAAATCATTTAGTAAAAGCCTCGTTTTTGTAGTTGTGTTATGGAAAATTTAATTTCTCGTTTTCGAGCCAAAAGCGCGCGTTTTCACCTGCAGTTTATATTTCCTAATTGGAGAGACTTTAAAGGTAATTGGCTCGTTTCCCACTTTAGTATGCTATTCTGTGTTGTTTCTCAATTACGTTTTTGTTCTGCACATGTACGCATGAGTTGTGTGCTTGCTCTTTCGTGCTTTCGGGCTGTTTGTGTAAGATATATATTTTTCCTGACTGAATCTGGTCTGCTCGCTCTAGTTAACAGGGCTGTTGTATTCAGTATTTAAGTTTGCACAACATATTAATTTTAAACAGCTTACAAACTAAACAATAGAGGATTTTACGTAGAACTTATATAAACAATCTTGTATTATAATACACAACTTTTGGTTTTCGGAATTACGTACCTACAGAGAAAGCCAATAATGGAATCCAAAATAGCACGGATGAATGATAAATTGAATTGAGAATCCAACAGAAGAAAACCTGAAATTTTAATGACAAAATGATAACACATTATATTAGTTGCTTGAAATTACTTTGGGATTCGATTCAGTCACCTATGAATGGGCGTTACTATATAGACTGTTGAGAACAAAGTGTGGAAGCTGGGGTTCGAACACAATGATTGGAATTCAAGTGTTCCAGCCTCGAAGCCGACTTTCCAATTTGTATTAGTGATTAGGAATTCAGCCGATCTTTTAATGCGATGTGCTATCGCACATGAGGAGCTTATAATGTCCTACTTAACGAAAAAGAGGGCTTCGCAACTAAATCATACATCACATTCGAATTATCATCTTGAATTGTCACTACGCTATCTGAAATTTTATCGGTTCGTCAGCATAGTGTAACTGAAATTTATTTGGAGTGCGAGTACTTTTCGTTCTTTGTAAATTAGCATTCAGTTAACAAAACTGATGTATAAATCAACATTTCAAGTCGTTGATTTATGAGGTAGACATTTTTCTACTTTTTATTTTGGTTCGTCTATTTCGATTGGTAAACCAAACATCGAAAGGCATGTAAAAATGTAAAAAAATTGTGATTTTTCCATTGAATAATGATACATGACAACCACATTCTACGTTTCTGGATTGACTTAGTTACAACAAGTGTATTCATGACTCACAGTAATACTTCTGTCTAAGATTAGTACACAATGAAAGTTAACACTTTAAATATAGAGAATACTTTCATATGAACCAATCGGATTATTGCCTTATGTAATGCATTTGTGTTGGATTAGAACTCAGAATTATTTAAAAGTGTTATGGTTACTGTGATTTTGTATTCTATGCACAATGTTCTGGATGAACAATTTTTGATTTGTCTAAATAAACAACCTAGAATGAAGCAACTGTTTAAATGGTGCTCAGGTGACCACCAGTCGTCCTATAAAGAAGTTAAATTCTAGAAAACAAGCCTTTAAATGCTCTGGTACGGCCGAAGGTGGAGAGAGTCAGCTCGCCCTCTCGAAATGCTCGCACATGGCTACGTGCATACAATCACTGCCACACAAAAGTCCTACTTATCGCCTTCTCTTGGCGGGGGTGTTGTTTACGAAACTGAGAGGTTGAAAAGCGAATGTCCGGCGCCCGGATCTAGTTGATGAATATGGAGGATCGTAGGTGATATCTTAATCTTCTCACTCATATCATCTACATACGTTCTTCGAAGACATATTTGATTTCTATTGAAATATGTAACACGAGATTTTATGGATTCATTGACTGTTATTGTGTAGTTAACAGAACACGGGTGGGGACAATCGGATGTGTTTAGCACAACAATTACAGACTATCTCAATAAAATCTGAATACCATATAGTAAATCGTCAATTTGCAAAATATTCATGCATCAAATCAAACTGGACTGTTTCTGTTGCAAACACCAATCCATTTTCTCCCATTCCATTGTTCATGCGTTTTCTTACAAATTCCATTGTGTTTTCGCTCTTCTTTTCTTGATCTTCCCCTCATCTTCTGCTGCCAGACATTACGTTTTAACTCGCGTCATATACTACTCATATCAATATAAATAGCTCACACCACACTTGTATGAAACGTTTAGAAGGAATCCATGCGAACAATTTGAAGATGCAAACAACAATACACAGTTAGTAGGTTGTGATATACCTAACAAAGCTTCTAATAGATCACATTTTCTTCAAGACCATACGATGAGTAAGAGCCAAATGTCTCTGTCCATATACTAACGTATAAGTACTTATGAGTTAGAAACATAATTCAGATTTCGGAATTCTAGACTTCATTTTCGTGCTATTTACAGCTCTTCAATAAGGTGCATTTACAATCTTGAGAGGACTGATGTCTCTTAGTGAATTCAAAGCGGGGTAACGTGGTTTCGTGTTTAGAGATGTTATCACTGAGCTATTTGAACCAAGTCAGTATCGTGTATCATTTTTCTTACATACACGAGACAATCAACTGCTTCTCGTCATTATAAAAGTTGTTGAATTATTCTCTATGAAGGTTTTATTTATACTTGGTGCTCTACATCAGTTTCTGAAATTTAATTATCTTTTTAAACATGGCTGAGGTTGTCTGCAGCGTTTTCGATTATCGATATGTGTTGTACAGATAATTTTCGGCCACTTATCTGTTCATTCAGCTAATGAATGATGCAAGTATTTCACCTCAAGCGTCTGGAGTTGTTCACGCCTATCTGTTATGAAAATGTCAGTGTAACTCATCCTCAATATACCCGGTGAAAAATGGAAACATAATTCAAGTTAGAGCATCAAATAAAATCTCTATGCAGCACTCATCCGCCAAATAAATGAATGAAGCAATGGCTTAATGGTTGAGGTGTTCAACTTTCAATCGTTTGGACGTCCAAAATTCCGAACTCCACTCCACCTACTTTGGTCTGGGCAACCAGTTAGTATCATTAACCCTCAGACTGATAACATGAGTCATATTCAATTACCTGGAGGGTGAATTAATCTAAGTTTGTTTTTTTATTAACGAAAGGATGCTAGGGATCGAAAGTCCCAGGAATATATATCAAACTTGTTACACACTAAAACACGTTGTAGATAACTTCAACGTTAAGTTCTCGATTAATCCAACTGTCTAGTCTATTCACTATCTTTTATCTAACTATCGTTTTTTCGTTATGTATTTTAATTATTAAAGGGCTAAACGTGTTACAGCTGGTACGTTACGTGAACAAGTCATGCAAATGGAACAAATGCAAGTTGATCCAGGTCGTTTGATTCGTGCCAGTATTCGTCCGAAGTTAGTTGTTTGTAAAATATCTCTTTATATATATATATATATATATAAATCTTTTTTTCATTTGAACTTATTCTTTATTGATCATATATGTGCATGTGTTGGTGTGTTTTGAGATGTGAATTACGTCTAGTAGTTATGAATTCAAGTTAAGATTCTTCTCGGATAAAATTGTAGAAGTACTGACATTTTTAATGGGATATTAGTTATAATCTTTCATAATATCTATTTTATAAAGTATACTCACCTCTTTCAAATAACTGTACTTTTTTTGTTCTTAATGTTGGTTGACTGTAGGTTACTGGGAGGTTGTTTAATGATTTTTTAATAGCTCTTATTATACTCTGAACTTACTTAGCTCCATGATGATGATGATTGATGAAAGATCTGATTCCCTGTCTTGAAAGCTTTTGCTAAAATCTATTGCAAAATGATTATATCGGTGGAAGCCGTCCAGGATACACATACACCAACAAAGAATAATCAAAACTTCATCCTGAATATATCAACACTTAGATTATGGTATAGACACTATAGTTGTTTAACATACTAATGAATGTGTGGGTTGAATAGCTTATCGCATGGTGTGTAAGCTTTCAAAACTATATAAAATTACTAGGCTCGAGTCTCAGTTTGAATATCAACATTGAGATGCAGATACATCCAATTTATGAAGAGCGTTATTTTGCTAAAAACATGTGTCCTAAATTTCATTGCTAACGTCCAATTCTACAAATTCTGTTGCTTAATCCTGATATAAGCTCAGTAAGTTATACAGATCATTTAGCTTCATTAAAACCCCGAACCTACCTAAGTTAGACTACCACTGGAGGCACCGGACGGACGTTTCCTCGTATGAGACTCCTCAGCAGTGCTTATTCACGACCCCTCAAGCGGGATCTTAGAGTCATTCACTATAATGCATTCCATACTACATGAATTGACTGGTACCAGTTTTATTTTGTTTCTTCCCTGTGTTCGAGCCCCATTCAACTTCATTTAATTTAGGAAATTTCTACTAACAACCACATTTTCACTCGTTAACAATAACCCTAATCAGCGATCTTATTTTACTCATTGATCATTGCTTTAAGAATGACGATATCATAAATATATAACATGGATAACATCAAATTGACATTCATTTTCTGCATTTGAAAATAGAATTACTTGAATACGTGCGGGACAGAGTTCTCAAACAATAATATTGATGGTTGAAAGTTGACTGGTTTGAACCGTGGTAGATTTCAATTTTTAAATCATGTAATAATCTTACATCATATTGAGATGTTTCAAGTAAAAATAACTAGGACATTATAGTTTACATTAGGAACTGATCATAGTTAGAAAATTGGAGGGCATTTATTTTTCTCGTCCCTGTATGCGACTCTTCAGCAGTAGGCATTCTACCAACGTGATCGATTCCGAGGCCATCAGGACTCATGGTAAGCGCCGAATCGGTATCTAGTACTTAACGTTTCTAGCAACAATCAATTCGCGGTATTGGGATATAATCCCTTCGTTCCGGTATTGACCGGAATTAAAAGTATATACATATAACCCTCGGTTTTCCTTGTCTACACGAATGAGACGTTAATTTGCCTTAGGTGAATTTCTACACTAGATTCCGCAACTTCGTGGATTGGTTGAAGTTGGACATCAACACCGTTGGATGCCGGCCCAGTGGTCTAGTTGGTTAAGCGCCTGGCGCGAGACTGATAGGTCCTGGGTTCGAATCTCGCGGGGGGGGGGCGGGATCGTGGATGCACACTGCTGGGGAGTCTGCTGAGGCTAATGTCCTCAATATCTGACTCCAATAAATGATATCCGGTTAACTGAGTATTTAAGGTAGGCTAGATCTCCTGGTAGAATTATGGATTTACTCGAGATTATTCAGAAGCCTGAACACCAGTTGTAGAGATAATTTATTGTTAATGATTAATAAAAATCCGCAAGCGTTCAGCAAGCAAGCACACGGTGAATCCAAGTAAAAATGATGCGCAGTGGAGATGGCTGGTAAGCCAACTCATTTTAAGTCAAGCGTTACTCAATGTTTATAGTCAAACAAAAATAAGCTACAGACATGTGATGAATGAGATGGGAAGTGTACACACATATGCGCTGCTCATATAAAAACAATGAAGACTGATAAGCGAATAATTAACAAGGTCAAAATATGACTCAAGTAAAATGAATAGAATGGGATGTCCGAAAGCTAGAATAAGGTATATGGGCTTAACATAATAACTGACACTAAAAGTCCCATACTAGGACAAAACGGCCGTCCAGCGCTTCCAGGTTTTCCATGGTGGTCTAGCTTCAATTGATTCATGATTTCAACCAGTGAATTAATAATAATAGTAATAATAAGGATAGGAGGATGTATAGCTCATCTAGTTACCTATCAGACTACCTACAGGTCTGACTATGAAAACAACCAATTATTATTATCCGCGCCCACACATCACCACCCTCGTGACGTTTCTTCGTATGACTTCACCTCTTGGTCTATTTGAAAAACCTCGTTTTTTCCGTTCTCTCGATGACCAACTAGCTTCTGATTTCCACTTATTTCAACTTGTGGTAGTTGTGGCGGAATAATAAATGTATCACATAATATCTCTACTGGCGAAGATTTGGCTTTAGATGACTCATTAAATTTTTTTATCTCGCAGTTGATTTACTTGACTAATAATTAGTGTATTTTCAACCATCACTTCATGCAATACCGTCCCACGTCTTTTTGTATACACCCAAATATCCATTTTGGCTTTCAAGGCCAGAAATCGCGTGCATAGACTAAGTCACCTGCTGTTAATTCTCGAATCTCCGGGCCATGCCCTTTCTTATTTTTTTTGTAGTCCACTCATTCTGTCTTTCGAGTTCAAAACATCACGAAATGTCCTAATTGGTCGGCCAAATATTTCGGCTGGTGATTTTCCTTTTTGAGAGTTTTAACTAGGTGTAATTCCATTAGAAATTAGACACTGTTGCAGAGTTTCTTCTACGTTATCTTCTCCCATCTTTAAGAGAGCTCGCTTAAGAATATCAACAAACTTTTCTGATTGCCCATTTGACTGAAGGTGATACGGTGAGGTTCTAATATGTTCAATTCCATTTTGTTTACAGAACTCCGCAAACTGACGACGTAAACTCTTTTCCGTCATCTGAAACCAAAAATTAGGTGTTCCAAACCTACCAAATAGTTGTCTTCGTACTAAATAGATTTCAGGCCATGTAAAGTAAGAATCTACCACTACCAAAAATATTGCCTATTTATTGGTCCAGTATAGTCGATGTGTACTCGGACCCAAAGCTTTTTCGTCTCTGGTCATGGCTGAGATTCGCCTTTTGGTGTATCCAACGGTAGATCCCACGAACTAAACTTATCCATCCAATCAATATCTAATAAGTTGGTATGACAGTTCACAGATATATAACATTTTCCGGTCATATTCTTGTTACTCAATGTGAAAGGTAGCTGCATTTCTCCAGGAAGAGTAATATTAGTTTTGTCGCACTCTTAGCGTTATGATATGTAGGTTGATATTGAGGTCCACCAAGTTTTATCCAAGTCTCTCTAGAACTTAATGTTATGTCAGACCCCGTATCAATTTGCAGCTTAACAGGTTTACCACTAAAAATGATAGTTACGTACCTCCAGTTAAATGAGAATTGAGCATAATTTGTGGCCAGGACAACATTCGAACTATGTAGTATTTTTTTTGACGTCCGCGTCATATTTCTTTTACGGAACTTATACTGACGGTCGGCAATCTTTGGCCTACTTTTACAACATACTTGAGCATGACCATATTTACCACATCGGAAACAAACTTTAAAATAGCAAACATTACCAAAATGACACTCGCTGCATCGGCAACTGGACGTTTTGGATTTCATTTGATTTGGGATTCGCTGGTAGTACGAATCCTTATTTCCATTAAAAGATTTCCACAAAGCATTAACTTCCACGTGTCTGCTGCTCCTTTCTACGAGGTTTGTATCATTCTTCAAATTCAATATTCTTTGACATTCTTCTGATACTAACTGCAGACTGATATTAGGATCTTGTTCGATCCTCGCTAAAATCCGTGATCTGATGTCTGCATTCATTGCAGATTGCAACCCACAGACAAAAATAAGATATTTAAACTGATATAAAGACATTTCCTGTAAACGAAACCGCTCACATTCCCGGTCTACGATGCTTTCATACGTCACATAATCGTCCTGTGGCTTTTTTACACTGTAAATTTGTCTGCATCCGAGTTGTCAACCTGAGTACCGTTCAATTAACTTGAAACATGTAGAGATGATGCAAGTTTAGTAAAATAAAATAATTTTGCAAAACTGTGGTATACTTTGACGTTTAATTTAATAATTGTGAATGATGTTTCAGTTTGTTGATCATCCGACGTTTCTGACTGAAGGGACTTTGGAGTAATTGCTCATTGGTGTTAAAACCATTTAATGAGTGCTGCTGAAGTTCGACGCAGGTATTAGGCAAAGATGACAAATTGTTCGTTGAGTTAGTGAGTCTTCATCAACTGGAGTGATCGGGACATATGTTACGCATACTCAACCTACTACTTTGTTGGGTGATTGTGGTGCAGATTAAAAAAATCAAAAGGTGGTCAAACCAATACATGGAAGCAGTCAATAAAGTTATTCGCTATTGAATTAACCCATATTAGTAGGTGAAAAACAACATTATCATAATCAGATTAATTATCGTAACCATTGGGTGACATGGCTCTTTATCGACCACAATGGTGTTGATACACTCATGCCTTATCTTCTCTTCTATCTTAATTTTTAAGATCATTTTATACGCATACTTCCACAAATACATTCTCTCTTTTTGAATCATATTGCTTATTGTCATTATTGATACCACTAGTAATTTCTAATACTCTGTCATTTGTCAAGGTAATTTCTTATCACTTTAGTGGTATGGTATTGTAACTTGAACCTAAGAATATGTGTCTTGAATTTTACGTTGCTTACAACTGACTCACTGTGTTATTTATGATCTGTTTAAATTTGATAAAACCCCACTATGAACGTAAAAAAATTCACCGTCTACACCCACTGTATATATATCATCGGTAAAATGTATATAAACGAATAGTGAATAAACCATACATCATCATTTCTCCCTTTACTGCCCTATCATTTCTATAGTTGATCATTAAAGATAGTTGCTATTAGAATTTGGGCAATCTCTGTTCATAACTATATTCATATCTTTGTTCTCTAATGACAGAGTTATCGTCGAGTAGGTAATGTCTTGGGTTATTCTTGAGTTTTAATTAAAATAAAAAATGAGTCCGTTTATCAATTTTTGAATGTTTTTGGCCAAGTTATTAAATTGTCTTTCCTGATATCCTGTGCTAGCTATAAAGCCGAAGTACATTAAAAGAATATATAATGAAGAAGTACCTTGATATGGTCATCCCTAATCTTAAAATCGTGGAATTGTGTTACTTACTAGTTACCGTATTCATGAGATGTACATGTATCCGCTGTTTATCATTCAGTCTCTATTCATGTTGAAAAGTATAGAAGTAATGCACAGCTTTTCTAAATAAATCAGAAGCTATAAGTGTTGTGATGTGCAGTGTCCGAAATCTGATAATGATACACGGTAAGTTATACGCTAACCGCCCAACTGACTACGTGAACGAGAATACAAAAGTGAGCGAGAAAATGTGTTGAACTACTGAATAAAATGCATGAATACTCATCCATACATATACCAGTCTATTCTTAGAAAATTGACCCAATGAAATCCGATTGACCTTTTCATTAGGCTACTTCTGATGGGTACTCCATATCAATAAGGATTGAGGTAACATTCCAAGTCTTTGTATTCAAAAGAAATTTGTAACACCCTTATTTCTTCCTTAAGCCAGATTTAACTTAAGAATACAATTTTACTTATTTTTCATACCATTCGTCTGTTTTTCCTTATCCATTCTTCTCATATATACATCACTATCTAGTTATTTAAATACCTCATATGAAGTTTACATAACTCACTGACTTTCATTAAGAAACTAATAAAAATCGTGAAGCAGTGGACAATTGTTTCATGTTATGAAATAGTAGTAATTATCAAGAAACCATTGACCTATGTTTCGTGCTCGTTGTCACTCATCTGCAAGGTACACGCCTGCAATCTTGATAGAACTGACACTGCCTTTGGGATTCGAAATCGCATCATCCAGCTTCACAGGATGAGATGTTACCACTGTACTATTCTAGCAGCGACTAATGTTCCTGTAGAACTGAGATATTTACAATTGACTTATCACTGAGTGAGAGATTAGTGAGTGACGGATTTCGTATTTGCCTAGTCCATTTTACGTTAATCGAATTCTTTCTACTGATCACATTGCAATTAAATCGATAGAATTAATATCATATCTAAAGTATTATGACTGATCTAATTGATATACATTTCCATCACATATCGGATCTCATCTTGTCGTTTGTCCTTTCGTCTGTCTGACTGCCTATTTCGTTCACTTGTTTTTTTCTTTCTAATTGATCTATGATGATATTCTATATACTAAGGTTCGTTTACATTGAGCAATGATAATTATTAATAATCAGTCGTTATATCACACATACATAGTAATAAATATATTCACTGTATATTATGTCGAATATCCTGTCTGTGTACGTATATGTATATGAAAAAGCTACATGATTTGTTTATTTTTATTCTGTTAATTTCCATGTCTTTAGTTTTATAAATTTTTCAAATCTTTTTAGTCCTATGACTAGATATTTTTCTTCTATTTTTATCAATTTATTGATTCACCTTCATTTCCCTGAATCAGTGCGTTTTATATATTTAACGTTCGAATTTGTGAAGTTGGCCAACTGTTTTTCTTGATTATTGACGTACCAATCACGACCAAGGAAGGGACACTTCAAAGCAGTTATGCCACCGTTATTAAGTGTAGATTTCAACTACCAACTGTATTATTGAAGTTTGTTTCAATGAAGAAAACATCATTAAATACTTACAACGGTTTGAATTGCTGAGAAAAACACTCATTTGTGAAAGCAATTTTAAAGAAATAACAAGATAGAGTAATACTTCGCTCCTATGAAGTTTTTTGTATTTAAGCACATAAACATTGGTAAAAAGGGGCACCAATCATGTGTGGGTCACACAAACCATTGACTTTGTGTCTGGGCTAGGATACTGCCCGGGTGCTTAAACCTAAGCAGATAGTTTTCTTAGAGAGTCACTCACTGAACTTTTGACTGGGAGGTCTAATCCAAAAGGCAGTGGAACATGTGTCTTTATGGCCCGACAGTTACAATAATAATATATAGATCAAAATAAAGCTTACAACAAGGGGAATATGGATATAGATAATCTAGTTACTGAATATTTATACCATAAGAATATATAAGTAATATTAGTCCATTGATAGGTCTCAGACGTTACTCGTAATATAGTCTTCACTAGGATATAACAGAACAGCGTTAGGAGACGCGGGCCTATGATAGCCGGTAACCAAAGATAGGTTCATATGCCACTTGCTCTCTCAGGATCCTGCAACACATGTCTACCATTTGTTTGGAATCAAGGTTTTCCAACTCCCCTAGGTGGATGCTCCGTATCTACTAACTGGGTATTTACTTTCCGCTCCCTCAATATCGTAGACAACACCCCCACCATGAGAAGGCAGTAGAACTTCCGTGGCATTATTTATATACATTTGGTCATATGAGAGCATTTCGAGGAGGAGAGTAGACTCTTCCTACCCCTAGCCGTAACAGGGTATTTGGGTATAAAATCGACTTCATAGGGATGGGATGAAGTTACAATTAGAGTTAAAATTAGCGGTTATGATATATTAACTAACCTTAAACTATAGCGTTTAAGAACCTGTAGTTAACTTAGAAATGCTCTCTAATCATGTACAAACAATAATGTCGTGAACTCTAAGAAGAACACATTTGTATTATATTTCGGGTATGTATGATCGGGTCATAATTATATGAGGAGTTCGATGACCTGATCTGAGTATTGATTAAGTCACCTAATTTTTCCATATAGAGCCGATGACACATTAACCTTCTTCTAACTTGTTGGTCCAAACTTGTGTATTATTTTCTACAAGTGGGACCATGTAGAATTTAGGACCATTTCATGGCTACGTGAGTTATCCTAACTTTCCAATAATCAATTAATCTACTGTTTTTGAGTTATTATCCACATGTATATTTGACGTTTTCATTGTTATCTTGTAAGATCTAGATTTTGTCTACATCATTACCGATTCGATCATAATCGAGTCAGATATTGGGCACTAAACCAGTCCTATGCAGTTATCTGTAAGACCACGGTTCCATATAATTGGAAAAACTACCTCCATTTTATCCATCCCCACTCCTAGTGTTGGCAGATGATGCATGATGTGGAAGTCCCTGGAATAAGATTCGTAAAACATAACCAAGCCATCTAAGTTAGTGTTTCGAAAATCATGACACTAATTGAGTTACTATCCCTGTGCCTTGGACTATACATTATCAAACCTTGTCATGACCACTAAGCTTCAGGTTTGGTTGTCATTTTTTCGCCGAGTAGTTATCACAAACAAGCATTTTTGTCCACATGGATAATTTTATTTTGTTTATTAATCAATCATTAGTGTCCAATTTTCCAACCAACTATTTCATGAAAATCAAAAATTTCTGTTTCCTTTCCATATCACAGATAAATAGTCTTTGTTAGATTGTGATATATGTGTGGGCATATATTTCATACAGGTGTATATGATTCAAAGTTTCTTGTATCACTTTATCTCGTCTTCTGTTCGCTGAATTTTAAAATGAATATTGTTAATTGTTCCTCACTTTGATGAATAAAACAGTACTCTGGTTATATTCGTTATTCTACCTACCCGTAACACTCAAGGATTTCTTATAACCTGATTGTATGTTCTCTTTGCATTTCATTGGTGTATTATTACTATTGAGTTTTTCTGTCATTTGTTATTATTTTGAATGTCTAAATATTTTCAAACAAAAATATTAATATGTATGTAATTTATTACAGATCTACCGACCGTTCCGCGTTTGTGCGGATTATGCGTAGAAGTATGGGTTCACAGGCATTGCTTAATCTTTGTCTTGGTGCCAATGTACGTACAAGTACAACATCACCGACACCCATAACAGGTCCTCGGCAAACAGATCGTAAGTTCAATATATATATATATATATATATATATATATATATATATATATATATATATATATATATACTATGCTATGCTATGCTAAGCCCATATAACTTATTCTAGCTTCTTGACAAGCCCATTCATTCTCCTTGGGTCACATTTTGACTGTTTTTATGTGGTACATATGAATGTGTCCTTATCCCATTATTCATCACATGTCTGTAACTTACTTTTGTGTTAATATGACTATCGATTAACGCTTGATTAAACTGAGTTGGCTCGCACTCCTCCACTGCGCGAAATTTCGCTTCGCTCTTTTCTTCGCTTCTTCAATCTACCTCGCTTCTCCCTCTTTGTTTCGTCACCCTGGTTACCTGTTCAAATCAATGAGTTCATGAAATATACATATTCCAAATCCATTCTGGTATTTGATTTATTTAGTTCTGTTATTCACTAAAGCGGATTAAGTCAATAATAATATACGAGAATAGTCAGGATGTATATTTCGACAGCAATCATTTAACCGGATTGGTGGACATGGAGAGTCGACTTAGGAGAGTTGGAAAACCCTGATCCCAAAACAATGGTGCACATGGGCTCCAGTATCCTGAAGGAACAAATGGAGTATGAAACAATTGTTCGTCATTGGTTACCATGGGTATGCATCTCCTTACGTTGTTCCACTACATCATGGATCAGACCTTCAGGTCAAAGGCTCCGGGTGTGGCCCCTAAGAAAACCACCTGCTTCCGTCTGAGCACCCGGGCAGTATCACAGCCCTCGCACAAATCAAATGAGATTTGTGTGGCGCATACGTATTTGGTGCCTTCTTGTACCAATATCTGTGTTCAAATAATAATAACGATCGACCTGGAATCAGATACAGGGTCATTAAACATAATCCGGAAAGTTATCGAAACATGCAAAAACTTAGTAAAAAAAAAACAATCGATAGTCGTTCAATCAGAATGTGACTCTTGATTCGTCTAGAACTCTATGAAGAGTTCCTATTCCACGCTGTTTAAATGAAGTTTTCAGCCTTCTTAAGGTTTCTGAAAACTTTTCTACAGAAATCTCGAAGGCTGTCGACAGGTCTGTTCCTTAGGCTTATCATTTGGAACAATGATTTTACCAAACTTAGTATGTATCAAACTTATGTGTTAATCCAAAATACTCACCATTTCTGACATTTAGATTTGTTTCATCTTCATTTTTCGTAGTTCAAAACATCTCTAGCCGGACGATACTGTATGTTTGTTCTTATTATGTTCATGACTCATTTAGTGGTAATCTGTGTGAACTAAAATACTATTAGAGGTACATCGCGGCGGTGTTCACTTTGCGGTTGAACACACTATGCAAGGATACTTTTTCATGAGATAGCGATAGCCCTAGTTCGCTCCACTCACTTTACTTACTGAACAGTGTCACCTAGTTTTTTCAACGTGTTGTGGATGCGCAGGAATAGACCAATAATTATCATGTTAAGTCCAATGGTGTCCTTGGACTTTAAATGCACATTTCCTATTGGTCGGTATCTGTTCACTTGTTGAATATTGTACAAAATGTTGTTTTCTATTTTTATGGTACGATGTGGTATGCTTGACTGGTATATAAACAAAGTATGTTTGAAATATAGTGATTCATATCTCAGAGGCTGTGAATTGCGTTCTTGACTCAACTGGCTGGGACAGACTGCGAAGCGGGACCAATCGGGGCTCTAGGTCGTCCATACGTGTTTTCCGTGTCACTCTCACCGAATCGATCAATAAACGCTGCTTATCAAACCCTGCAGTCCACAACTTAAATTCATAACAATTGGCGACGGGGTGGAGAAAAATTTTGAACCTTGTAATTGGACGAGATTCAGGTTAATTGTTTCGACCAATCAGCATCCAGATTGTCACCAGCGTCCTTGAGCAACATTGGTCATTATTCCTACAGTTAATTTTCATTGCAGGTGCTGAAAAAAAAGACTACCTTTTCCGATCGATTACAGCTTCTACTTGAGCAACAACAGCAGTGCTTCAAAAATAGCCAGTTAAATTTTTTAGAAAATTTACGCACACTGTTGGTAAATGTTCCATGTTTCGGAGGTGCAACAGAAGTTGGTAAATTCATTTCTCATCTGCAGACTGAGCTGGAAAACAACTGCAGAACATATGAAGCTGTTTATAAAAGCCTCTGTGAATCCCGGACGACCAGTGATGTAAACGAGACAGTTATTCATGGTCCGCCCAGTTGTCCAGAAATGTCAAATTCCGAAACGTTCCCTGTCGTGGGTTCAAATCCCACTGTTCCTGAAACGTGTACAGACAGTGATGTACCCAGCTCACAGGAGGATCTCTTATTAAATGCTCATAAATTAATTGCAGTACCCGCCCACAACGGAACAGGGAACAAATCGTGCGGTACACTGAATCCAGCTGTTTCAAATGGTCCTCATCATTCAACAACAGGAGATTCTGACGAATCTTATTATCTAGATCTTTTTGTACCAGAAAATGTGTTAAATGCATTAAATGATGATCAGAAATCTAATACAATTTTGATAGATGTTGATTATCGCAGTGATCAACTGTTTACAAATGAGATTTTCAACAAATCCCGTGACAATGTTCCAGAAGAATCAAACGTTGGTGACCTCATATCAAGCGACATTGTTCCCCACTATTTAATCACTTTCAGTGACTCCCCTGTTCAATCTGACAATTATGTGTTAAATAAAGTCAAATTAATTCTAACTTGGGAATATGAGGACCCAACATTATTTCGTGGGGGAGGATGAACCCAGAAAATTTCAAAATCCGGATATCAACTCCGGATCTTCAAAAAAAAGGGGAGGTGTTGTGGATGCGCAGGAATAGACCAATAATTATCATGTTAAGTCCAATGGTGTCCTTGGACTTTAAATGGACATTTCCTATTGGTCGATATCTGTTCACTTGTTGAATATTGTACAAAATGTTGTTTTCTATTTTATGGTACGATGTGGTATGCTTGACTGGTATATAAACAAAGTATGTTTGAAATATAGTGATTCATATCTCAGAGGCTGTGAATTGCGTTCTTGACTCAACTGGCTGGGACAGACTGCGAAGCGGGACCAATCAGGGCTCTAGGTCGTCCATACGTGTTTTCCGTGTCACTCTCACCGAATCGATCAATAAACGCTGCTTATCAAGACCTGCAGTCACATCAGTCATAACACAAGGACTTTATCCGAATGACTAAGTTTCACGTGAAATCTTGAAATCAAAAAGACAGGATTATATTGGAATACGGTACTAGTTAAATAGTGTGCGAACTTTGAATCTTAGGGTGTTTAACTACCGCTAATTAGCGAACTGATCTAAACACTATGTATTGGAGATGTAATACTGGTTGGATAAGGTTTCAGTAATAACGTACAATGGGAGTTAAATACTGAAAAGGTTATACAAACACCACTATAAATAAGAAAATGAACGCTACTGTTCATGTTCATGTTATAACATAAGCTATTTGATATCGATAAGTAGTATAATGAAATGTATAAAATCTCGTTGCGATGACGTTACCTATAGGTTACTAAGTTAACCGGAGAATTAGATATGGGTACTATAGGACCCCAACTCAATGTGTTGTTAACGTACTTATCGTGAGACCTAAACTCTCCTGGATCGATATTTTGTAGGATTTTGGATTCTCGAAACTCTCTGAATGTCTCATGATAGAAATAAGCATTTATAGGTCTGTTGATATTCTAGAGCCTGCTGATAACACGCTGAAATCACTGACAAAATCGGTAGTTTTCCACTCAGGATAAAACACAATATATTATTACAGTATATGTTTCATGATAAGTGATACCCATCTGCATAATGGACATACAATGTTGAAGAGAATCACTACTCTCGTATTTGAACTCACGTGACCCGTTATCACAATTAAATACACTTAACCGTTAAGTTAATCTTCGACCGTATCATCCAATTTGTTTAGAATTATTTACATATTGTTGTCTTTCATTTTGTTCCTATATAGATGGTTATGCATTTTCTCAAGAAGAACATGGTGCAGTCAGTCAATCTCAATTGATTCGTGCTTATGATTCAACCCGACGAAAACCTGATGGCAGATAACATATTACTTAACTATGTATATTGAATTATCCATCATGTTGTACATACACGTATACATTGACATATTGATTATGCCACAAGTAACAACCGAATTCGATAACTTTTCCTTTTGCTGAACAAACTGTTATTACCTAGTGTTCCCCATTTTTTATGTTGCGTATGAATGTTCGCTTTTTTCAGCCAAAAATAGGCAAAAACAAGAAATATATACCGGGCACTAACACTTTTTGCTACTAACAATGGCACCGATGATGACCATTGTCAGTTATGTTCATAACTAACCAATTAAATTGTTGCTAAAACGCCTAACACGTCAATCCGGTTTGATGTGTCTGTAGGCTATCCCTGTTGCATGTGACCTGCCAAGTTAAGGACACTATTATCCTTTTATATTAGTATGACTCATAATTTTTATTCGTTTCGATAAAACACTCAATACTGGTCGGTATGTTTGTGCGTTCCACTTAATGACTGCAATTCGTCTAATTATTATAGTAAGCGAATTGTTATTTTTACGTTACGAAACAGATAAAGAGTTTAAAGCCTAGTTGTCTTTGTTCTAATTATAACTCTCACATGGACTCTGAGTCGTCAGTATCGCATCTACAGTTCTGGTAGAATAGTCTGTAGAACAAATTAAATCCTACACCGATTTCTTCTCACTGATGGAACTTTCTAATCTAACGGCACATAACCGACTGTTAATGGTGATTGATCAACCCTACTGTATCAGAAAGCTTTTTATTCGGTTTGATATTTTTATTGACATTTAATATTATAACATTTATTGTTGCCAGTGTTGTGACTTCCACGCTTTCTTCATACCTTATGATTTATCCATATACCATGTACAGACTTATGTACTCAACTTTGAGCCACATACTTTGGTTGTGTGTAAAGAAAAAAAGAAGGCTAAGATGAGACCTTGATAGTTTTGTAACATGCCTGTACCTTACTACCACGTGTAAACAAATCACTACCCGTAAATACGATTGTACCATTGTTAGGTTTGGTTAACCTTGAGGATACTACTGATTCGACTTATTCAGAACGGAACGAAGGCTCAGGATTCAGAGACTTAATAGACTATTCTGGTCCATTGTCTTCGACTCAGCTAACTCGATTAAGAAGTCTCGGTAAGGCGTAGAAAGTGTATTCTACAAACAACTGCAGATACCAAGTCAGTCAGGCAGATCAGATCAAGCATACAAGTCAAGCGTATTTATACAAATATATATCGATTTTGTCATAGGAAATTTTTAAACAATAATTAATGAGTCATCAATTGTCTGCTATTTAAAAATTTAAACGATAATTTCGTCAACTGACTGCCATTCAAATATTTAAACATTTAATCGATAATTTAATCGATATGATAAAATTACAAAATATGAGTTTGGTGATATATCGGCCCCAACACTCCTCCCCTTTTTAATAGCGTACTTTTCTGGGGTCGACTTGCATTTTGACTGTGTTTCGCCTCTGACGGAGAGGCCACCTTCTGGGACGGGGCTCAGCTTGTTGTTGAGTTTCTTCTCGTGGTGTGGCTGGTGGTAAGTTGAAGGTATCAAGCAAGATGTCGAGGGGAAGATTTTCTCCTTTTGATGGGCGGTCTGAGGCTATCCGCTTCCGTAGTTGATTTCGGTGTCTAGTCCACGTGTCTCTTCCCACCTTTACCTCGTACATAACTTGGCCTAGTCTTCCGATCACACGTGCTTCGATCCAAGGACCATAATTTGCTCTGTAGTCTCGAGCAAACACCGGGCATCCGACCTCGTAGGCTGGAAGCTTCTGAGATTTGGTGTGAGATGGTGGTGGTGTGGTTCTTGGGCACATCAGACTATGGATCGTCCTCAATTTCCTTCCCATCAGGATCTCTGCCGGGGACTTCTGCTGTGGTAGCATATCACTAGGTGTTGTTCGGTAAACAAACAAGAAATTCTGCAGTGTTTCTACTGTCGTCCCCTCCCCTTTCGACTTCATTAGAGCTCTCTTGAATGTATCCACAGATCTTTCTGCCTGGCCATTTGACTGTGGGTTGTACGGTGGAGAGCGGAAATGCTTGATCGATAGGCGTTTGCAAGATTCTTGAAATTGACTTGAGGTGAATTGCGAACCGTTGTCGGATACGATTATATCCGGTAATCCGTTGCGGGAGAACATCTCTGTCAAAAGTTGCGTCGTTTGGGTTGTCGTTAGTGGCATGACGGGAACGATTTCTGGCCATTTCGAAAAGGCGTCAACAACGACCAGAAAGGTGATTCCATTAATTGGGCCTGCGAAATCGACATGTATCCTGGACCAGGGATACTGGCAGTACTTTCGTGTTACATTTAGCTGCTTGCTGACACTGTGTGCACTTGCCTACTAAATCCACAATATGTTGGTCCATGAGGGGCCAATAAGCATAGCTTCTGGCGATGGGTTTCATTCGTTTTATGACAGGATGACCAGTGTGGAATTGCTTTAGCACCCTTGATCTTAGGGACTCTGGCACCACTACTCTATATCCAAACATCAAGCATTCGTTTACGATACATAATGAGTCCCGACGGTGGTAAAGCTGCTTCAAGTCACCATCCAGTCCAGTTGGCGGCCAGCCATTGGTGACGTATTTCATCGCTCTCTTTATGATGGAGTCATTCTTGGATGCAGATTGTATTTCAGATGCTGAGACTGGCAAAGCACGAATAGCGGTTGTCAGGTAACACTGCGCGTAGTCCTCTGTCACTAGGGAGGCAATAACTGCATCTTCGCCGGCCGTATGGTGTTCGCTGGTTGACAACTCCGTCAGTAGTTCCTTCGAATATGCTTCAGCTTCATGAGATTGTTTCATCATTTGGCATACGGTGCTTAAAGGAACGTCGGCTAAACATAACTGGTCAAACCAGTCTAATCCAAGTAGATTAAGATCAGATGGTGTAATGTAACATGCACCGGTAAACGTCGAATCGTGAAAAGACACTTTACAATCTAGTTGTCCAAACAAACGTAGGTAATTACCACATGCGGTTTGCAGTTTTTGTGTTGTTGGCACCAGGCGTGGTCTTCCCATCCTGATCCAATATTTTCGTGAGAGAATTGTTACATCAGATGCAGTGTCTATTTGCAATCTAAGCGTGTGCCCATTAATATTAAGGGTAATAAATTTCCTCTCAACTGGGGTTGAGTTCTCACAGCTTGCTATTCAACTCAACGAATTCGTGTTGGATCTAGGCGTAGGTTTTCTGGTACCTCTGGAGCTGCTCGACTTCTTTTTTCGGCAAAAACCATCTCTATGACCCACCGCATTACATTTCCTGCACCAATGTTGCTTATATAGACAGTATCGCACAAAATGCCATGCACCGCAGTGCCAGCATGGAGCAGGAGGATTTGTTTTTGTCTGTCGACCTGAACTAGATGTTGCTGGGGCAGAATTATGGGAGTTGTGTGGACTACAGTGACAACACCATCCAACATTCGGTTGTACATCGAATAATCACGAAAAGCCAACCAGTTCTGACACTCCACATCGATTGCTGCTCCAGATGGTACCTAAGCGGGATCAGGATAGGCGACCCTGTGGTTATTATCGGTCATTGAATAACTTGGCGTCACATGATCGTTATCCCAATCCCCGTTTGCACGACTTTTGGATTGTTACACCGCAGACAAATTTTTCTCAAAATGGATTTTGTGCGAACGTATCATCAGATCACAGTAGCATCCGAGGATATAGCAAAAACAGATATCATTACTCGTTTTGGTCTGTCTGAATTTCTAAGAATGCCATTTGTATTTGAGAACGCCGCACAGATATTTCAACGATTTATGGATGAGGTCACTGAAGGCTGAAATTTTGTTTTCGTTTGTATCAACGATGTATTAGTAGCTAGCAGTCTGTTCCACGAACATATAGATCACCTACATCAATTATTCGAAAGATCTCAGAGATACGATATGAATAATAATCCATCCAAATGTATTTTTGTAGTCGAGAGTTTTGAGTTTTCAGGTCGATCGACAAACATGGTATCAAACCGTTAGACAGAAAAATCGCAGCCATCAAAACTTTTCGAGAGGCAGATTCATTGAATGAATATCGACGTTTCTTGAAGATGACTAATTTTTATCGTCGGTCCAATTGTCTTAATAACAGGCAACTGAGAACAGCCCCATCAACAAATATTTACAGGGAGAAGCTGGACCTTCACTGGAAGACAACCCGTCAAGATTAACACAGATTCACCAACCTACTATCCATATTACTGAAGACCGAAGACTGGTTGTAATCTTCATTTGCCACGTCTGGCTGCGTTACGCTGGATGTGGATCGCACTCTGAAATGATATCCCAAGTCAAAGTAAGTTTATTCACATCGTTGATTTTTTCTTCAAGTAGACCGTAAATGAGTAATGTTACTGGATAAAGGTTTGCTGAGCTGTAAACTATGTTTTTAGGTGACTGCTGTCTTCAGTCTCTAAACAATATCGTTTATCTCCTGTTAGGTAAGCCTTACAGGTTTATAGTTCGTGCTTTGGGTTTATAGGCTTAATTAGTTACTTACTTGCTCACTTGTTTACGCCTGTTACTCTCAGTGGAGCATAGACCACTGACCAGCATTCTCCAACCCACTCTGTCCTGGGCCTCCCTTTCTAGTTCTCTCCAATTTTTGTTCAATCTTCTCATATCCGTCTCCGTTTCTCAGTGCAATGTGTTCTTTGGTCTTCCTCTTCTCGTTTGGTTTTGAGAATTCCAAGTGAGGGCTTGCCTTGTGACGCAGCTGGGTGCTTTCCCCGATGTTTGTCTCATCCACTTCCAGCGCCTCTTCCTGATTTCTTTTTCCGCTGGGATCTGGTTTGTTCTCTCCCACAGTTGGTTGTTGCTGATAGTGTCTGGCCGACGGATCCGAAGTATTTTGCGTAGACAGTTATTAATAAACACTTGTATCTTCTGGATGATGGCTTTCGTAGTTCACCAAGTTTCCGTCCCATACAGTAGAACTGTCTTGACATTTGTATTGAAAATCCAGACCTTGGTGTTGGTTGACAGTTGTTATGACCTCCAGATGGTTTTTAGTTGTAGATATGTTGCTCTTGCTTTTCCGATCCGCACCTTCACATCTGCATCAGATCCACCGTGTGCATCAATGATGCTGCCCAGATATGTAAAGGTTTTTACATCTTCCAAATCTTCTCTGTATTTGAAGCACGTAATGAAGCGGACCAGTTTAGCAAGTAGCGCTGCATACTCATTTGCGTTAGCATGTGCTGTGATTCCAAGCTTCGGAGGAGCTTCACCCCGTGCCAATTGTCGTGTCCGTGACTGAAAAGATTAGAGAGCAGTGTATTATAGATGGAATCAGTGACACGTAAAACACGCACGAACGGCCTACAGTTCTGATTGTTCCTGCTTCCCTGTCTAGCCCAGCCAGTTGAGTCCAGAACACAAGTCACAACCTCTGAGATATGAATCGTTATATTTCAAACACACTCTGTTTATATACCAATCAAGCATACCACATCGTACCATAAAATAGAAAACAACATTTTGTACAATATTTAACAGGTGAACAAATATCGACCAGTAGGAAATGTCCATTTAAAGTCGAAGGACACCATTGGACTTAATTATTGGTAATAATTGGTATATTCCTCTGCATCCCTAACACCTCCCCTTTTTTGAAGATCCGGAGTTGATATCCGGATTTTTACAATTTTCTGCGTCCGTCCTCCCCCGCGAAATAATGTTGGGTCCTCATATACCCAAGTAACAGTTAGTCTGATTCTAGTTAAAGCATATTTGCCGCATTGAGTAGAGTGTCCACTAGAACTGACTAGACGATGAGGATCAGCCACACTAGATATGAGGTCATTAAGGTTTGATTTTTGTGCAACATATTCATCAGACCTCTTCAAAATTCCATTAGTGGATAATAGATCA